ACAGTGTAACGTCAGCAATACTACAGCTATATAACGGTGGTCCACACAGTGTAACGTGAGCAATATTACAGCTATATAACGGTGGTCCACACAGTGCAACGTCAGCAATACTACAGCTATATAACGGTGGTCCACACAGTGTAACATCAGCAATATTACAGCTATATAACAGCAACGTTAGCAATATTACAGCTATATAACGGTGATCCACACAGTGTAACGTCAGCAATACTACAGCTATATAACGGTGGTCCACACAGTGCAACGTCAGCAATATTACAGCTATTTAACGGTGGTCCACACAGTGCAACGTCAGCAATATTACAGCTATATAACGGTGGTCCACACAGTGTAACGTCAGCAATATTACAGCTATATAACGGTGGTCCACACAGTGTAACATCAGCAATATTACAGCTATATAACGGTGGTCCCACAGTGTAACGTCAGCAATATTACATCTATATAACGGTGGTCCACACGGTGTAACGTCAGCAATACTACAGCTATATAACGGTGTTCCACACAGTGTAATGTCAGCAATATTACAGCTATATAACGGTGTTCCACACAGTGTAACGTCAGCAATACTACAGCTATATAACGGTGGTCCACACAGTGTAATGTCAGCAATACTACAGCTATATAACGGTGGTCCACACAGTGTAATGTCAGCAATACTACAGCTATATAACGGTGTTCCACAGTGTAACGTCAGCAATACTACAGCTATATAACGGTGGTCCACACAGTGTAACGTCAGCAATACTACAGCTATATAACGGTGGTCCACACAGTGCAACGTCAGCAATACTACAGCTATATAACGGTGTTCCACACAGTGTAACGTCAGCAATATTACACCTATATAACGGTGGTCCACACAGTGTAATGTCAGCAATACTACAGCTATATAACGGTGGTCCACACAGTGTAACGTCAGCAATACTACAGCTATATAACGGTGGTCCACACAGTGTAACGTCAGCAATACTACAGCTATATAACGGTGGTCCACACAGTGTAACGTCAGCAATATTACAGCTATATAACGGTGGTCCACACAGTGTAACATCAGCAATATTACAGCTATATAACGGTGTTCCACACAGTGTAACGTCAGCAATACTACAGCTATATAACGGTGTTCCACACAGTGTAATGTCAGCAATACTACAGCTATATAACGGTGGTCCACACAGTGTAATGTCAGCAATACTACAGCTATATAACGGTGGTCCACACACAGTGCAACGTCAGCAATACTACAGCTATATAACGGTGTTCCACACAGTGTAATGTCAGCAATACTACAGCTATATAACGGTGGTCCACACAGTGTAATGTCAGCAATACTACAGCTATATAACGGTGGTCCACACAGTGTAATGTCAGCAATACTACAGCTATATAACGGTGGTCCACACAGTGTAATGTCAGCAATACTACAGCTATATAACGGTGGTCCACACAGTGTAATGTCAGCAATACTACATCTATATAACGGTGGTCCACACAGTGTAACATCAGCAATACTACAGCTATATAACGGTGTTCCACACAGTGCAACGTCAGCAATACTACAGCTATATAACGGTGGTCCACACAGTGTAACATCAGCAATATTACAGCTATATAACGGTGGTCCACACAGTGCAACGTCAGCAATACTACAGCTATATAACGGTGGTCCACACAGTGTAACGTCAGCAATACTACAGCTATATAACGGTGGTCCACACAGTGTAACATCAGCAATATTACATCTATATAACGGTGGTCCACACAGTGCAACGTCAGCAATACTACAGCTATATAACGGTGTTCCACTTAGTTCAACAAATATAAATAACCCAAAGTTCTACAGCAGTGTGGCTTTGTCTACACGACAATAAGACTGTTTCACTAAGGCAGTTACCGTCACTGTGTTTCACAAAATACTCCCACAGTATGTTACTTTCTATCCATCTGTGTCCACGCAGTTAGCATACAAGACGTCACATGCGCCGTGATAGATTGCAGACACTAATTATAATAGCAAGCTGCAGTGTAATAATTCGGGCGCCTGTCACACAACAATTTCAGCACTGGTTATATTAATTCCTGTGTCGGGGATGACTTAATATATTATGTTTTTATGCTAAAATGGACACATAATGTTGAAATAACAGATGACCTTAGACCAGAAGTATCTAGAGATTTATGCAGGGCTTTCATATTACCTTCGCAGCTATTTTGCCGTCTACAACAAATGGATTATTCGTGATGAACGAATATCATGTGGATTCTTTTTGTTTGAGAGAGAGAGAGAGAGAGAGAGAGAGAGAGAGAGAGAGAGAGAGAGAGAGAGAGAGAGAGAGAGAGAGAGAGAGAGAGAGAGAGAGAGAGAGAGAGAGAGAGAGAGAGAGAGGTTGCTTGGTTGGTTAATTGGTTGCTTGGTTGGTTGTTTAATGCCTCACTCAGCATCATTCCGGTTACAGAATGAGGGGCTGTAAATAATCGAGTGTGGACCAGACAATGAAGGGATGGACACAAGAAACTATAGATCTGATTTTATCTTCATCAGATATTGTATCTTAAGTCAGCGACATTGTATCAAAACCATGAGCTTTAGTGCCTGGTCAGTACTCAAAGATGATTTCAACATGGCTTTATTTTATTTTGAAATTCAATAGTATTTTTAATATTTCAAAATTTACAAAATAATGTCGCATAATACAGAACTGCTGATAGGTATCCTAATTAGACGCTTACCCTTTATAATCAACAATATGCTTCTTTCCGGCATAAAGTTTAAAAGTTTAAAATATTTCAAACATGGGAGGGATCATGTGGTTGTAATTTCATGTTTACCCTAGTCTTCATTGAACCAACATATTTTTACAGAAAAATACCCACCTACAGATTATATTTTACAAACTGTTGCATTAATAAGTGATGGTTAAACAGACACATTCAAATTAATTAACAGTTATTTCAATTATATTTAACCAAACTTGGTGTACCTTATTTTGCCCCTCAGATTATGTGTGCGTGCATACGTGGCGCCTGTCCATCAGGGCCTCGTTCCTCAAGCGATCGTAGCGCTAAGGTGATCGTAACTCCCATACTTTAACATAGACTTACGACTGTCGTAGCGCTAAGGTGATCGTAACTCTCATACTTTAACATAGACTTACGACTGTCGTAGCGCTACGATCGCTTTGAGGAACGGGGCCCAGTACAGTCACTTCAGGGGCGGTGGGGTAGCCTAGTGGCTCAAACGTTCGCTCGTCACGCCGAAGACCCGGATTTGATTCCCCACATGCTTACAATGTGTGAAGTCCATTTCTGGTGTCCCCGCCGTGATATTGCTGGAATATTGCTAAAAGCGGCGTAGAACCAAACCCACACCCTCACTACAGTCACTCACAGGCAACCATCCCCACATTCGTCGTTAGTCCTTCAATCGTTCGTAAAATATCGTCGAACCTCCGAATCTTAATTTTCCTGCAAGAAGTGTCTTTTGGCCTGTAATAAAGACCCTGTGTTGTACATTTAACTTATACAACTGAAAAATCACATGCATTGCACTGCATTTACAACCCGACATCCTGTGGTCGCTTATATATAGCTTATATTGGTCATCGGTGTTGTAGATGTCGCATGACTAGGATAACGTAAGAGGAGCAGTACATATCGCAGTGAAGAGGACACGAGTGTCCCAGCCGTTAAGGACGAAGCAGTTAGCTCTGCAGAGTAGCGTCCCTTAGGTACGCCAGAAATCTATCATTGTGGGGTCGAATCTTTGCTCGCTTCGATTGTGCTTCTCGGTAGGTCAGTGCTCGTGAGTTTCACTAAAGTGGTAAAAGCTTGAGTGAATGAGTGAGTGAGTATGATTTTACGCCCCTTTTAGCAATATTCCAGCAATATAGCGGCGGGAGACAGTAGAAATGGGCTTCACACATTGTACCCATGTGGGGTATCGAACCCCGGACTCCGGCGTGACGAGCGAACGCTTCAACCACTAAGCTACCCCGCCGCCCCAGTGAGACGTGCATCATTTCGGGCTTTCCTACCATATTAAGCTGACACCCTGTGATACACCTGGATTATTTATTTTTTTAAATCATTTGGATCCGGGTTAGAACTGGACTTCAGCAACCCATGCTTGTCGTAATACCCGACTAACGGGATCGGGTAGTCAGGCTGTTGACTTGGGTGACGCATGGCATCGCTGTTGATGTGCATCAATCACTTGATTGACTGGTCCAGATTCGAAAATTTACAGACCGCCGCCATATAGCTTGAACATTGTTGTGCGGCGTTAAACAACAAACCAACAAGTATGTGGGATACTGAGGACCTGTGTTCCATTGTGTACTCACGGGACTCCAGGGGCGGTGGGGTAGCCTAGTGGTTAAAGCGTTCGCTCGTCACTCCGAAGACCCGGGTTCGATTCCCCACATGGGTACAATGTGTAAAGCCCACTTCTGGTGTCCCACGCCGTGGTATTGCTGGAATATTGCTAAAAGCGGCGTAAAACCATGCTTACTCACTAGGCTATAAATTCAGTCGAACAATTTAGCACAGGTTATCTGAAGACGAGTCTGGTTATGTTATTATGATCGTACTTAATGAAACAATTTAGGGATCAAACCTACAATGTGTTCACCAATAACCCTAGCTAACCCTGTTCTGTATATTCAATGGTTTTGCGATATAAAAATATGAAAACGGCAACAGATGCATCGATATACCGAGTTCGGCAAAGCATACGTGCGTGAATACATTGCCACGTTTGTAAAGTAGCATCCAATTGAGATTTGGTATGGATCCATACTTTTCAGAGGAAAGCAAAATAAATGAAGAATTTAGTAGTTTCTTATTTACTGCTTGCAGAAATCATATAATTGTAAATTTATAAAGCTGTCTGAAATACAAATACGATCTATCGTATCTGTGAAGCAAACGGTGTCCAAACGTGTCGACCAACCGCCACGATTTGTGCAATAAATGCTCCCTTGAAAATAAGTCTTCTTTCTGAGAGATAGGAAACTCCAAGTGAAACAAAATGGCGGATTCAGTGCTTTCTTCCGAAAATATTCAAAAGTTGAAGGTGTGTTGCTCACAGATGCATGTCTATTTCGTTTTGTTATCAGCTGCACTAACTTACTTTGTGTATTCCCTGTACAATTCCTGAAAAGGTTACAAAGTAACGCTTTGAATTCTTTGATAATGTAAAATGTAGTATTCGGCTCGCACGAAGAATAACAACGCACATGTATCGTTGTATGTAGATGTGGACACGATACGAATACCATAATGTTCATGAAATGCAAGTATTACTACCAACATGTCCTATATTAAAAGATGTACTTGTTCCATTTATTCTCTACTGAATTGTTTAAAATATACTATTTAGCAACTTCAAGTTCTCTGCAAATTGGTGAGTAAATCCCAAAATGGCTTCAGTTGAAGTATTTTAGCCCAATGAACTTTTTGTCTCGGGGATGTGGCTTGTAAATATCTCTTTCACTTGCAGGTTGCAGACCTGAAGAAAGAGCTGAAAGAGCGAGGTCTTGCAGTTTCAGGGACCAAGGCAGAACTTGTGGAGCGCCTTATGAAGGGACTAGAAGCAGCAGCAGGTATTTCTATTCTCGCGGTAATGCGGATATCGACTGAAAAAATAACACAAACATTTCTTATTGTATGAATGCTTTTTGTTCTTAAATGAAGGGCCTTCTTCATCAACATCTGCATCTATCAGCAGCTAGATCCATCAGGTGAATTACCACTCGTGAGCCCGGTGATAAACAATGTCATCCGCCATTGACGAAATGAGGCTTCTCCTATTCTTGTGGTTAGGGCTGGATATTGCCCTGATTTTCCTATTGCGATATATTGGAATAATTTAGTGATATTGCAATGCATATTGTGATATATTGACTGGAAGGTTTCTGCCCAAGTGCGTACATCATAAATTCATAATAGCTCTCTGAGTGCGACATCATCTTCTAATTTGCTGTTACACCATACTTTCAGGCTCCCCACCTCCATTGTGTATGGCTGTATGCCAATCGTTTACAGATAATTAAAATAATATAGAGCCTTAATGTGGAATATATTGCACCAATGTTTTGCGAACATAATGATAAAGGTAATAGTATAACATGATTTTCATAGTCAGTGTTGTTTGCTTAAACAGAATGCACTTCAGTGCAGTATATTATTATTGTTACTGTATGTGATTCATTCAGATTCTACTAATAAGTCCAAATAAAAATTGGTACATTTGATGCCACTTAATTCTTCCTAATGAAACCATTCAAACTCATAAAACGTAACGTATTTGGTAGACTATTTGGCAATTTTGGAGCCACTTATGATGACACTTCCACTTGTAAAATGTTACATGAAACCAACAGAAATAAAAGTATATTTGGCACTTTTAGAGCACATTTGTTTGCTATGGAAATCGGGGCGGAGGGGCAGATAATTCAAATGGAGCTAACTCTGGATGACCCAATATATTGCAAAATCTGAACCATATCGCGATAATCGTATCGCGAGATACTATACCGGTTTACCAGTAATATTACACAGCTCTACTTGAGGTATAACGAGGAAGTAACGTTATGGAGTGTATGGAAGAGCAATTCTACTTGAAAGGGCGGGGAAAAGTTGTCCAAGTTGGTAAAAACTCACCAATAATCGTGACATTGCAAGATTTTGATCTCTCCCAGACTTGGGCCACTTCCTAGTTTTCGGTCGGCAAAGAAACATGTTTACTGTGAGAATAGGAGAACAGAATTATAGAAGTTTTTCAACCAGATATCTTGGTCAGGATTTTCAAAATCCATTGAAAATTATTATTGAAATATTGAGTTGAACAGGAAAGAATTGCCGAAGCCCGGACACAAATGTAAAGATTGGATAGCTCAGAGCCACAACTGGGTCAGCCATCTCTTACATGCATCTCTTGACTATATCCTGGGTTAATCTGGAGGCTGATTTTTCTTGGCCTACCAAAGTTTGATCAAGTAATCATGCTTATAAAAGACAGACTTAAAAATAAACTTAAGTAACAGCAGATTAGGATTTTAATCCTTTGTAATAATTTTAGATCACATGACAACATTGTGTCATCTTTGATCAGGAAACCCTATTATCACTGGCAATGACCATAATTTTTTGTGGGAGGGGTTATTTGATGCTTTAATCAAACTTGTTGGGGTCACACCTGAGTTGGCTTGTCACAATGATTTACCTAATATTGGAGGGTCAAGCAGGGCTCCAGATAAGGGCCGTATCGGCGTATGTACGGATAAAAAATATGCACGATGCGGTAGGAAATAATTTAGAAAACGTAGCAAATACGCACCACAGCAATGGTGTACTGTCTTAGAATCATTTACAAACATATTTTATCTGAAAAAGTCTTGTTTTATTGTTCATTGCCCTTTACACAAGTATCAATGTTGTGGTGCAGGTTCCATCCTTCAAGATGGAGACACTTCGCTCGGTGATCTCCTCTGTTTAGCCCGGCGATTGGCTTATGTCGATCGATCTAAAGGATGCGTATCTACATGTGCCTATTCATCCCGCGGTCAAACAGTTCATCCGGTTCTCTTACGACTGGATGTATTATCAGTTCAAGGTGCTCCCCTTCGGCATATCCACTGCCCCGAGGGTGTTCACCAAGCTCATGTTTGTGCCGGTGACTCTCGCGCGGTCGCACGGAAGGCATTGTCACCCTTACCTAGACGACTGGTTGCTGCGTGCACTAACTCAGCCAGCGAGCCTAGATTCTATTCACACAGTAATAGACATTCTAGTACTCAGTACTAGTTTGACTGGGGTGGATCATAAACCTCAAGAAATCCGACCTGGTACCCACCCAGGACTTGGTTTTTCTCGGGGCGCAGTTCACAACTCACAATGGTCTTGTGTCTCTGTTGCCCGACCGGATCACCAGAGTACGGGAGATGGTGTCTTCGTTCCTCTCCCAGCCCCAGGCACCTGCGCGGACTTGGCTCCGTCTGCTAGGTCATATGGCGGCAACTATCTCTGTCGTGTGGCATGTGCGGTTGATGATGCGCCCTATCCAGCAAGTGTTGATGAGTCTGTTGGCGCACTCGGAGGATCTGGAGAAGTGTCTCACAGTTCCCGGGTGGTTGTCTCCTCACCTTCAGTGGTGGACCAATGTCTGGAATCTCTCCAAGGGGGTCCCTTTGGAAATCCCGACGCCAGCTCTTACAGCTCAAAACGATGCGTCCCTCACGGGCTGGGGTTGGGTGGATTGCTGGGTTTCCTGGCAGTCTGTCGGTGTCAGGACGCTGGTCCGAAGCCGAGACCCACCTTCACATTAATGTCTTAGAACTGAGAGCTGTGCGGTTGGTTTTCGAGGGCTTCTGGGAGCATGTTGAGGGCCAGGTGGTTCGTCTTCAGTTGGACAATATGGCCATGACGTACATCCTGAAGCAAGGCGGCACAGTGTCCCTAGCGCTCCTGCGGGAGACATGGGAGTTTCTCCTCTGGTGCGCCCAGTGCGACTGTCAGGTGATTCCTGTTTATCTCCCGTGGCTGGAGAATGTATGAGCAGACGCTCTCTCTTGCCGGATCCTGGACCCGCACGAGTGAATGCTCGACCGGCAGATATTCAGAGTTATCTCCCAGTTGTACAGATCATTCCCGGTGGATCTGTTTGCATCCGGCGGGACGAATCAGATACCCGTGTTCTGCGACAAATACCGGACCAGAGGGCGTTGGCTTCCGACGCCTTCCTGCTGGATTGGACGGGCAAGGTGCTGTGGACGTTTCCGCCTCTACCACTCATTTCCCGGGTCCTCTCCCAGCTGTCCACCCAGCCAGCTCGGCTACTTGTGCTTCTGACACCGCTTTGGCCGTCACAGAGCTGGTTTCCAGTAATTCTCAGGTTTCTGGCTCAGCCTCCTATTCTATTACCTTCGCGACTGGACATGCTCACTCAGAACGGCTCGCCATACCCCAATCCAAGGATTCAGTGGGTGGCTTGGCCTCTGTCAGGTCTAGCCTCGAAGCACACAGCAGGTGCAGACACAACTCTGGCTTTGAGGAGGGATTCGACAAACGTTCAGTACAAGGATATGTGGTCCCGCTATGCACGCTGGTGTTCAGATTGGGGAATTGCAGATCCCTTTTCTGCGGAATAAGTCCAAATATTGGAGTTTCTGGTGGCGGTGACATCTGGGAGAAGGGTCGGTGATTTACATGCCATGTCCGCAGACCCGGCACTGACTGTGTTCCATCCAGATCGTGTCAGTATTCGCCTCCCGGATAGTTACCGTCCGAAGATCAATCACGCTTTCAATGTGCCAGCTCCTATCAAACTTCATACCCTTACCAAGCCTTCCACATCGGGGACCTCTGCAACGACCGCTCACCCGTTGGATGTCCCAGGGGTGGAAATAACCCATTGCCCGACGTCCGAGTCCAGTGTTTTTTTTGTCAGGCAAGCAAATTTGTATATCACACTGTACCGGTGTCCGGTTGACTTTCCAATGTTAATTATGTTGTATATTTAAAAAATCAGGAAGAAAACGATGGGAATAGTGGAAAGATTATCAGGGCAATTGACTTTACATGTGCCACTGTACCGGAGTACACTATCAATTTTAAAGTTATTTCCACCCCTGTGTCCGTAAGACCCTCAAAGTCTATATCAAACAAACACAAGGGATCCGTACGGGTACCCATCTGTTCTGCTGTTACGTTGGCGGGAAGGCTGGCATGCCGGCTAGCAAACAGACCCTATCACGTTGGCTTGTATCGGTCATTTGTGCTGCGTATCAGGCTAAGGGCAAGCCTCCCCCTGAGGGATTGAAGGCTCACTCGGTCAGGGCAGTGGCCACGTCAAAAGCTTTTGCAGCAGCACTGCCCATTGAACATGTTGAAGAGATTTGCTCTGCCGCTATTTGGAGCTGGCCTAGCACTTTTATACGGCACTATCAGCTGGATACACACTCCCGTGATCGAGAACACTTTGGCCGTTCTGTTCTCTCCGGTGGACAGTGTCCTGCAACCCTGACCGAGTGAGTCTTGTTTATTTGGTTTCTAGTGACGCTGCATTCAATTGTTGTTTAATTAACATATCCGCTGTTGATTCTTGCCACCTTTCAATCGCTCAGTTGAGATTTCGGTTGTAAGTTCTGGTTTTCCCCGTACTGTGCTCTCTATAGACTTTTCACTCTGTGGGCGGGGTTTGTTTACACTCTATATGATGTGTTGTCATGCTTAACTAGTTGAGGTTGGTCCTCAGTACGATTTCTCCCTCTCGAGTCACCTCCCATAATGCCTCTCGCGAAAGCTTCGGGGACCCATGGCAGGTGAGTTTTATGGCGTTAGTAACTTTTTGTAATTACGAGATTGCTATTTATTTGTACTGTGACAGAATTCCCTTCTCCCTAGCCTCCGGTCTTTGGGAGTCTGTGTTAATGCATATATGTACCCCAAGGACAATCTCTATGAAATAGAATTAGCTAAACCTGTAGAGGTTTCCAATTCTTTGAAGAGAATCGTCCTTGGGGTAGGGGCACCCACCTCCCTGCAATTCTGTTCACTGACTTGTTCAGCAGAAGGAATGATGATATGGGCCTAGGTGCTTACCTGGTTGGCTGCACATGCGTAGCAGGGAGGTAACTCCACGTGGTGGGGGCCGTGTAATAATTAAAAAAGATTTTTATTTATTGTACAGTATTTTTATTAAAACATTGATACAACTTTCACATGACATTTTCAGCCGCAGAAAATGCATATATGTACCCCAAGGAAGATTCCCTTCAAAGAATTGGAAGCCTCTACAGGTTTATCTTAATTTTTAGGACATAAATTCTGCCAAAAAATCACAGTTGGTCTGATGTTTTTTTTATGATCATTGTTTCATCGAGTATTATATGTTTAGTAGTTTTCGAGTTACATTGCAATTCATCGGTCCGATTTTGAGCCAAATGGACTATAAGATATTAAATAGATCTTTTTGTGGAATTAGGCTATTACTTATGAACGCCCGGAGAACGGTTTGTGTTAATTACAGTTTTCCTTATTTGAGTACCTTATAACTAATGCAGTCATGTAATGTGCCTACTTTGATTTCAGGTTCTGGTGAGGCTGCAGACATCAGTCTCGGAGAAACCCCAGAAATCAGCCTTGGTGAAGAAAATATAAGCTTGGAGGTAGGAAGACATCATAATCAGCTCTACATCAAATAACAAGCAAATAAATCTCATACACTTTGCTGTGGCTAGTATTTTTATATTCTCTGCAAAGAAAGTGTTTTAGTATAAGTTGCCTGATAACTGATTACTTACAGCTTCATGTCTCTCTCTCTCTCTCTCTCTCTCTCTCTCTCTCTCTCTCTCTCTCTCTCTCTCTCTCTCTCTCTCTCTCTCTCTCTCTCTCTCTCTCTCTCTCTCTCTCTCTCTCTCTCTCTCTCTCTCTCTCTCTCTCCTTGTACCTCTTTCTGCAGCTGATGTAGCCGCATGAAGTGAGTCTTGGGCCGATGGGTCATTCTCTCTCTTCCCCCTTCCCCCCTCCTCCCTCCTGTCTCTCTGGCTCTCTGTCTCTCTCTCTCTGTCTCTCTCTGATTTCACGCTATCATCATTTGCTCAGAAGAGATTACCATGTATGAACCTTGTATTCTGCAAGTTGTAAAGTTGATTATTTATTTTTCTCTAAGGTTAGTTTCATCACTCAATTGATCTTTTGTCTGACAATATATTCAAAATCATCCTATCTTCATGTATACTGGAACTCTCTATTTTTGCGGCATGTCATAACATCAGGAAAGCAGAAACACCACGCCCAGGGTCGGCTGTTTACATCAGCAACTTGCGCAAAAACAATTCATCCCATTTGAAAAAGTTATTTATTTCATTAGAATGTATTACTGGTAGAAATATTAAAGTATTCATCTTTGCAGAAAGTTCTGTAACATTTTGAAACTAGTATCACCCGTACCGCCATTGCATCTTGCATGAATCAAAACTTACTTCGTCAAGAGTAACCCTGCAACAACTATAAGTCATTTGCATATTTTCTGGAAGTGATATATTGTGTAACTTCACCCAGCACATGGCACGCTTGTTTACAGGAGCATGACGACGACATGGTGTTGAAGGAAATCAAGAAGGACGAACCTGATGAGCCACCAAAGAAGAAAATAGCTCTCATAGCCCCTGTCAAAGTGTGAGTATAAGCAGTGGGTGTGTTCCATTGTCTACTGGTACAAGTCACTGTGCAGATGGCATCCCTATATAACTTGGCCATGAACATATATCATGGGTTCAAACCCCAGTAGGACCTTGATTTGTTTTCGTTTGTTTTTTGTTCCCCTCCGCAACACAGAACGGGGGATTATGTATTCAGCAGCGTCCGTATGCGCGTCCAACCTTGATCTTACAATGGGGATTATGCTAAGACACCGATTTGGGTGACCTTGATCTTATTTCAAGGTCACCCCCAGGTCACCACCACTACTTTTTCTGACCACTTTACAAACTCTTCTTAGCAGTACCCAATGTCTTCAAAATATATTATGATTATGTAGACACCAGTCATTAAAAAGCTGTCTTTGTACCCAATGTCTTCAATTATGTTGACAGCCTACATTGAGTGATTACGCAGGAATGAACCAATTAATTTGGGTGACCTTAACCTAATTTCCAGCTTCTATCACCGGATCGTTCACTTAAGCTGACTTGGTTGACCATATAGCTGGGATATTGCTGAGTGCGGCGTAAAACTAAACTCACTCACTCACTCTATACATTCATATCTGTTATATTCCTGAACTATCTTCAGTGTTCGGGGAAGATTCTTAGAAGTGACAATGACTAAAATCTACATTAGACAAATGGTAATCTATGTGACCAACAGATAAAAACTAGTAAATATATTTCATCAAAGGGACCAAGAAAAAAATCAGCGTCACACAAAATAGAGTTAGCCTCCATTATGCAAATTAAGTACTGCATATTCTTATGTATCATTGGGCTGTTATTTCGGCTTTTATAATTCAGGGAATCGAACTGTATTCGACAAGGTTTCTCGACCAATGAAATTGCAGAAAACACACACTTTTGGTTTACAATTCATTCTTCTGTAGTGGAGGGAGACATTGCCATGATGTCTTATTTGTTCTTCTGTCAGCAGAATCAGTAATTATGGCGCATCTACGAGTGTTGAAAGTTAGGCATCTATAACCTGCATTATTATGAGTTTCCTTGCTAGATCAAGCTGACTCACCACGACTCAGTGAATGTATACATGCCTTGATTGTGTCAGGATGGTGTGTTGTGCTGACTGATGTGTTGTCATTCTCAGTTTGTTCCTTAAATGTGTGAAATCTCGGTGACTTGGCTCATAGTGTATCCCTGTACCCAGACAGCATGGTTTGTTACCCGCAAAATATCACAGGGTATGTTTCATCCAGGCTCAGGGTAGGCAAGTGGTTAAAGCGTCCGCTCACCGCGCCGAAGACCTGGGTTTGATTCCCCACATTGGTACAATGTGTGAAGCTCATTTCTGGTGTTCCCTACCGTGATATTGCTGGTATATTGCTAAAAGCAACGTAAATAAAACTCACTCACTGCCCACTCTTATACAGTGGAATCTGTCAAATCTGGACTCTTTGTAAACCAGTTTTCTCCATAATGCAGACTACTCTGAGTCCCAGCAAAATTGTTCATAATTTGCTTTATAATCTGGACTCTCTCAATTATGGACTAAAATAAGAGTCCGACAATCAGCTTGCTATGAGAACAATGCTTTGTAATCCATTACATAGCTGACTAAAATAACAGCCCATTGAATAAACATCTCCGTTTCTTCTGTTCTCGATGGTTTATTTATTTTACCAAGCTTGATTGGTGATTATGAGATGGAGAATGTGTTTAACTGTGACGAAACTGGACTTTTCTTTGCCCCTTACCTGACAAGACACTGTCCGACAAAGCCGATGCTGCAAAGGTGGAAAAGTTTCCAAAGAGAGATTTACGGTGCTTTTATGTGGTAACAGACTAAAGTTGACAAATAAGTCCGTCCCAGGCCAGTCCTTAATAGACAGATTCCACTGTACTTGGAAAATATTGCTGAGTGTGGCATAAGAGAAACCAAAATATATCGCCATACACCTGTAAACTCTCCAAACAGAACATACTAGTGTCAGCTGTCACTTTTGACTTTACTCTATCATTAGAATGACACCATCATATAACTGAAAACTGTTCAAAAAGTAACTGTAAGGGCTGTAAGGGACTGTTCATAATTTATGGCTAGGGGGTATGATGATGATTTTAAGGGGAGTCAGCAATTTTGTACATATAAATGTTTAATATTATGCTTAGAAATTATGGGGCATTGATTTTGTACATGACATGCAGGGAGTCACTTATTTTGTAATAATAATAATAATAATAGTGAATTTATATAGCGCATTAATCCATGCACAATGCATGCTCTAAGCTATTATATATGTGGGTATTAAAGAACCACTAAACTTTGTTTTTGTTACTCTTTTAACCATTACATAAGAAAGATGTGTGGTTAGTCTTATCGCCGGAACACCAAATTTATTCTTTAAAACTTGTGGTTAATTAATACCAAAGCGATTAAAAGTGGCGAAAATTAAGCCTGCTTCCCTCTCGCCCGCCAACGAAACCACAGACAGGTTACGTAACTCTGTCGCCAGAGCACTGCAGTGGCGTCATATGAGGAGCGATTTTCAGTTAGTTGTATAGAAATGTGTATGCACGCTCATCATTTTGATGATTTCTCGACATCAGCGGCGACATGCGAATCGTTGCTTTGTAAAGTCAATTGCTCCTAGGGGTCGGGCGATGGTGTCCCCATGCACAGATTTCCACAGGACCCGCGGTTAAGTGCAAAATGGGTTATGTTTGTGAGTCGCGGCGGCGTTGTGGAAGCCTGAAGCGATATCTTACTTGTGTTCAGATCGCTTCACGGAGTTAAAGAATCAAAACTACTTACTAGTTGTAGTAAAATATGCATATGATTGATGACCATAAAGATTTTCTATGACACAACTTGTAACATAACGATTTCTTCCTCGAAGTGAGGTTGTGGTCGAGAAGTAACAATAATATTGTAAGTAGTATTATATTGACACCCACCTCGCTGCCACGAGAGAAATTGTTATGATATACGCTATGTCATGCAAAATCCTATTAGCCATCAATAAAATACATATTTTACTACCAGTAGAAAGTAGTTTTGATTTTGTAACTTTCGGTGAAAACAAACCTAAATACCATTTATCCTCAGACTGGCGGATGTTCCCGACAGAAGCCGCCATTTTAAAAATAAAAAATCTGTTAGAATTAATGAGATTATAGTTTGTTTTCATCAAGTTAGAAAATCAAGACTACTTTCTACTCGTTGTTAAATATGTATTGGAATCATAACCAAAAGGATTTTGCATGACACAACTTATAACATAACGATTTCTTCCGCGGAGGCGAGGTGGGGGTCGAAGTCACAATACTGCTTTGCGATAAATTTCTTGCTACATTCCCATGGTTAATGTCCACTCACCAGTATGTAGATACTAGTCAATAAGCGTCTTTATATTTGGTCTTATAATCCTAATTAGTTTATTATCACACTTGTATGCATTTTGAAACTAAATAAAAAGCAGACGATCTGCTGATACTTATAGTGAATGTATAACAGAACTGTAATATCTAGACATTTTATAGTTTGCCAATGTGAATCACACACACCCTAGTGCATGTTGTCTGTCTCATTGAAAACAATGATTCTGTTGAATGCTACGACAAATGAATAAAAACAAAATGCAAATATTAAAATTAAAACAGATTAAAGTTATAGGAACAATATCAGGCCATTACCTTGTTCGAGGAATGTATCCATCAATATCCACAAAACTGTTCCAAATGATGTGTCTTTTAACAGTTTAATATACGGAAAAGTGATAAATCTTTTCAGGTATTGGTGTATAGTCTCATTGGTCACCCAAGATAGCACACCTGGCAACTAATTGCATAATGTCCGCCTTTCTTTAAAAACAGTAATTTAGTTAGCCAATAATGGGCAATCAATCAATATATTGCCGGTTAATCCTTTGAAAGATGGGCGTTGTTTTTACGCTGAACACCGACCACGACAGAGTGTATTCAGTATAGATTAGTAAATCTACATACATAAACACTACCTTTTGACAATTCCGGCTGTGTAAGATAAAAGTAATTAATCAATCAGCGTGTTATCGGTTAATCCTTTGATCGATGTTGATAATGTTGAATATTTACTTCAGACACAATTAAATGCCAAATGGGAACCTTTGTCGGGTAATCTAAGTGTGTCACCACTAATTATACCTGTTATAAATTCATTAACTGACCATCAAGTGAATGATGACAAATAACATGTGTAGGTTTATACCACCTAACACGGGTTACTTGAGGGAGTATTAATTGCTGTATTGCATGTGAAAACTTATGGGCCGACACTGTTTGAGAATACAAACAGATTTTTACATGACATGATTAAATATCGAGGTAAAAAAACACAGAAATGGGATCAATTTGGATCAGTCATTATACAAATAGGGCCCTACTTGACACCAATCAATTGTGACAGAAGCGTCTATGAAAACAAGTTGTAACTTCGGAAACTAGGCAAAGCAGGAGACAAAATTAAATGCAAGTAGATTGTGAGAACATATAGCTTTCATTTTCCACAACAATTGTCACAATTTCAGGTTTATACAAGCCTGTAAACAAGATAATTTAACCCCTAAAATGTAGATGAATTCTGCATCGGCCCTCAAAGCTATTCCTCATATGGCGTCACAGTCGCTACCGCTCTGATTGGTTGAAATTTAAGTTGTGGTGAGAATTGTGCACTGTTGTCAAAAGGTCGATTTAAGTCAATTAAAGGTCGAAATGAGTAGTTTTAATGGCCGGGGTTTCATTTATAACGATGCCAGTTAGTGATTTATGTATTTTACCCCCTAGGGTTTATGTGACCTTTAAGAGTCATTCTAGAAAGGCACTATTAAATAAGTAAGTCTTTAGCTTTCGGTTGGAAGGAGGCAAGAGATGAAGACTGTCTGAGATTGACTGGGAGATCGTTCCATTCCTTTGCTGCACTGAAAGCAAAGGAACGTTATCCATAGTTCACAGATTTGACAGATGGAACTTGCAACAGGAGCTTGTTTTCTGACCGCGAAAGGTCGAGCTGGTTTGTACTCTGTGATCAAATCACACAGATATTGTGGAGCATCTTCAGACAGGCATCGAAACACATGACACAAGATCTTATAGCTGATTCTCTGTCGGATGGGCAGCCAGTGTAAGTCATGTAAGATGGGGTGATATGGTCGTACTTCCTGCAGCTGGAGACTATCCGAGCAGCTGTATTCTGGATGTGCTGTAGTTTGTTGGTAACAGACTTGGGTGCACCGGCAAGGAGGCTGTTACAGTAATCAATCCTAGATGTTACCAGGGTGAGAATCAGGATTATAAGTGATTCTTTGGTCAGGTACTTTCTGATGTTGCTGATATTCCTCAGTTGGAAAGAGCAAACTTCGGGGAGATGTGGCTGACATGTTGCTTCATGGACAGTTCTGAGTCCAAAACAACACCCAAGTTCTTCACAGAACGAAAGTGACATCAATACTTGAGCTTCCGATCTGAACTTCACGGTGAGACCTGACTGGGTACATCTTGCAGATGGGCCTATTAGCATGCACTCCATCTTGTCAGCCATTAAGCTTGAGTTTATTGATGTTCATCCATTCTTTTATCTGTGTACAGCAGTTGGTAACATCGCAGAGGCTGCTTCTGCTATGGATGCTATTGGTCGAAATATTTTAATGAGCTCGCGTATCATCAGCGTATAGGTGTCTTGGCAGCTTGTGCTGGTCGATGACTTGACCCAATTCCTTGGTATAAAGAGTGAATAATATCGGGCCCAATACTGAACCTTGAGGCACACGCAGTTTAGATGTACTGAATCTGAGTACATACATTTTTATTTTTATTTTTTTTGGGGGTGGGGGTGTCGTTCACATTGTACATGCTTCTCCATAAAGTCATCATAATCATCACCCCGGATTGGGAGGTTTCCAAACTTTCACTTGAAGGAATGGGAAGCATGTTATTTATCCTTGTGTATTGTTTACAGAAAGCGAGCCTGTGTCAGCCACCTGTGTCATCAATCAAATTCGCCATTGTCGGGTGATGCCGAGGTTGAGGTTTGTCCTTAAAGCTTTCTACAGAGCTTGTGTATTCATAGCTTTCAGGGGTGGTGGGTAGCCTAGTGGTTAAAGCCTGCTTGTCACGACAAAGGCCCAGGTTCGATTCCCCACAGGGGTACAATATGTGGAGCCCGTTTTCTGGTGTAACCACTGTAATATTGCTGGAATATTGCTAAAAAAGTGGTGTAAAACCTAAGTCACCCCCTCACTCACTCATAGCTTTCAGCGATGGGAGGCATGCAAGTTTACACTTTACCTTTACTCACAATTCTCAGAGGAATGCACAAAGTAAGGTTGATAACCATCGCTTGTCAGATTTCCATTGTTATGAACCCTGGTAGCTGAGTTTCAAGCGCAGATGTAGTGTCTTGGGCAGTAGGTGCCTCACTCTAAAAGTGTAAGTTCAAATCTTGGATTAGAATCCGCCCGAGGCGGAAGGTCAGCGGGTAACGATCCTCGACAGCGTCATACCAAAAAAGACTTTAAAAGATGGTACTTGTTGGTCCCTGCCTGGCTCAGCATTAATGGGTACAACAAGGACTGGTCGGCCTCGAGTCAGTATAATGTGTCTGAGTAGGGTATTCATGCTTCACTGCGGCATGGTATCTCAGTGAGCTAGCACTATAAAACCAGCTTAAGTCTGGGCTAGTACAAGCAGCCGCACATTACATCGCGCATGCACGTTGTCATATGAGCCGAAATATTCTCAAGCACAACGTAAAACCCAATTTCACCTCACCTCAAATCTTGGATTGGAGTCAAACCAAACAGTACTAGAATCTGTATTTTTCTGAGAAAGTGTTATACCAAATATACTAAGAGAAACAAATAAAGGAACACAGGAAAATTCAAGCATTCCTTCAAAATTTGCCACTTTTCATCACCAGCTTTGAAAAGGGCTGTGGTGATGAAAACTGGAATATAATAAAGGAACGCTTGCATATTCCAGTGATCCTTTATTTATTTCTCTCAGTATATAACATGTTGCTTATATACTTAAGGAATGATGGTCCCAGACTTAAGTGTAGATCTGACCTAGTAAGCTGATAAATGTGCATGGCATCATGATATAACACTTAAAGATGTTAGGAACCAAGTTTGGACCTAGAGACCCTGAAGACTAGTGTTGGGAATCGGAAAACAAATCCACTATCGATTATCAGAGGACTTGTGGTGAACGATTATCGATTATAATCGAAATATATACATTTTTAATGTAATCACCAATTTTAAGGGTTTTTCCCCAGGTTTTTTCTTATTAATGTTTTTTTATATCTAATACCGTCATGCAATGAAATGCACGCATGCAAGTAAGACACTGGAATTGTAATTAAACAATAAAAGTGGCAAATATTTTACAATGGGCATAGCTTTACGCTGTTGAGTGCATGTTTGTTCGTAAATATTCATCAAATTAAATGGTTAGTATACTTAATTCAAGAGTGTTATACAAAAACAACAAAATTCTGATTAATCAAAAATATTTTTTTTACAATCAATTTAAACCTTCTTTCGATCGATTTTTTTTTTTTCGATCAATTTTCGATCATCGAACACCACTACTGAAGGCGTTGGAACAGATCAGAGTATATATACATGACCTACATGCCCACGAAGATCCATCCGTGTTACAATTAGTCTTCAGCAACCCATGCTTGTCGTTAGAGGCAACCAATGTGATCTGGTGGTCAGACTCGCTGACTTGGTTGACATATATCATCGTATCCCAGTTGCGTAGATCGATAGTCATGCTGTTGATCACTTGATTGTCTGGTCCAGACTCGATTATTTACAGACCACGCCATAAAACTAAACTCACTCACTCACATTAGCACCAGCTGGTACTTAGTGTCCTGGGCCTCGTTTCACAAAGCTCTCGTAAGCTTAAGATCTAAGTAACTTTTCTCTTAGCAGAAAACTGTAACATGGGAGGTGCTAATGCTACGAGAAAAGTTACGAGATCTAAGGCTTACGAGAGCTTTGATAAACGGGGCCTTGATGTAGGATTAAACAAGATCAGCTTGGTGTCACTTGGCCTAGTGACTCGGTTGTTGATGTGTCATTGCATCCTGGCGGCATGGATCATTGCTCTTGATATCAGTCACTGGATAATCTGGTCTAGACTCAGTCATGTACATCATCTTCAAACTGAAATATTGTTGAGGGTATGTGTTGAAAACCACATGCATGCACATGCACACAAAAATGCACACACATACTCAGATTCTCGCATGATGATATTGTTCTGATGATCAGTTAAATTTGTCTTGTTTTAATTCTTCAGAGACTAAAAAAGAGAGCAGAACGGTTTGGTGCTCAGTCAGAAAAAACGAAACTACAGCTGCGAGCAGAAAGGTATAGTGACAAAATTCTTGTCTCATTTATGCGATATGCAAAAACTGCGAATATCTTACTTATGATGATAAGTAAACATACCATGCCATCAGGATTTGCCAGGTAAGAACACCCCATGAGATGTGATGTGAAAAATGCATAAACATCACACTTATTGTCAACTGATCATGCATATTGTGTAATCTTACATTTTACACATTTGGGGAAGCAGCTGAACAGACACAAACTAGAAGCCACTTGAGACAGCATTTTAGCAGAATTGTTTGGGTTTTCATTTAGTTCTTCTCATTGATGTCAAATTGCCCAGGAGATTGAAAAATATATTGAACACTAAGGGAAAAACTATCAATATCCAATATGAAAGATCACTAATAAGTAAATATCCAGTACCACTGATGCTATAAGATTCTCAGGGGTGGTGGGGTAGCCTAGTGGTTAAAGCGTTGGCTCGTCACGCCGAAAACCCGGGTTCGAATCCCCACATGGGTACAATGTGTGAAGCCCATTTCTGGTGTCCCCCATCGTGATGTTGCTGGAATATTGCTTAAAGCGGCGTAAAACTAAACTCAGTCAGTCAGTATAAGATTCTCAAGACTCAAGTTGTCTGATTGAGAAAGTTATCATCGAAAATGCTAACTAAATTATATTGTGTTGTTTAACGCAGCTCACGGCAATGTTCCAGCTATATGACTGTGGTCTGAACATTAAAGTCTGGACCAGACAATCCAGTGATTCACTTCACGTGCATCAATATACTCAATTGGGAGATGATATCGTGTGTTGACCAAGTCAGCAAGCCAAACCTCTCAGCTGCTTCTTACGACAAGCATGAGTTGCTGTAGACAAACTTAATCTAACCCACATCTTCACAGGTCCCAAATCACTCAGTCACACTCATGAATTGAGTGTTATTTTCTACACAGGCTTCAGTATCTTCCTATCTGTCTCAGAACTTGAAGTGACCAGGTTAGAATTGGGCTTCAGCAACCCATGCTTGTCGTAAGAGGCGACTAACAGGATGGTTAACACATGTCATTATATCCCAATTGCGCAGATCAATGCTCATGCTGTTGATCACTGGATTGTCTGGTCCAGGCTTGATTATTTACAGACCCGCCGCCATATAGCTGGAATATTGCTGAGTGCGGCGTTAAACAAAAACAGAACTTTAAATGCTGATTCAGACGAAGATACAAGTTTGTTTCTTTGCAGTCATTATTTTCCAACATACACAGATGGGAATCATAGAAACAGTGTCTGAAGCCCATAAAGAACCATTACATTGTGCACTGTATCTCAAAACTTGCTCCAATTTCCAGGTTTGGCATCAACGCCAGCAACACTACAACTGCCAAAACAACCGCACCAACAGCTGTGGAAAAGCCGGGGAAACTGTCACAAACACCAGTCACAGTAAGTGATATAAACTCCCAGAACTGTCATATTTCCCTTGGTGATTCCAGATCAGAATATTTCACATACTTGTCTTGATTCCAGTTTAGACCCTCAGTGCTCCCTCATGGCTGTCCCGGCCCATTTCTTGTGTCCCCCGCCGTGATATTGCTGGAATATTGCTAAAAGTGGCGTAAAACTAAACTCAGTCAGTCAATCAGTCATGGCTGTCCCACAGCACATAATACCTGTCTTCCTTGTGGTTATTCCAGCAGAAAATAGGTCCCTGTACTCATGTCTGTCCCACAGCATAAATACCTGTCTTCCTTGTGGTTATTCCAGCAGAAAATAGGTCCCTGTACTCATGGCTGTCCCACAGCACATAATACCTGTCTTCCTTGTGGGTATTCCAGCAGAAAATAGGTCCCTGTACTCATGGCTGTCCCAGAGCACATGTCTGTCTTTCTTGTGGGTATTTCAGCAGAAAATAGGTCCCTGTACTCATGGCTGTCCCACAGCACATAATACCTGTCTTCCTTGTGGGTATTCCAGCAGAAAATAGGTCCCTGTACTCATGGCTGTCCCACAGCACATAATACCTGTCTTCCTTGTGGGTATTCCAGGAGAAAATAGGTCCCTGTACTCATGGCTGTCCCACATCACATAATACCTGTCTTCCTTGTGGGTATTCCAGCAGAAAATAGGTCCCTGTACTCATGTCTGTCCCACAGCACATAATACCTGTCTTCTTCCTATGTGGAGAAAATATTCCAGCAGAAAATAGGTCCCTGGGTACTCATGAAAATGTCCCACTCATGGCTGTCCCATAGCACATAATACCTGTCTTCCTTGTGGTTATTCCAGCAGAAAATAGGTCCCTGTACTCATGGCTGTCCCAGAGCACATAATACCTGTCTTCCTTGTGGGTATTCCAGGAGAAAATAGGTCCCTGTACTCATGGCTGTCCCACAGCACATAATACCTGTCTTCCTTGTGGGTATTCCAGCAGAAAATAGGTCACCTGTACTCATGGCTGTCCCACAGCACATAATACCTGTCTTCCTTGGCTGGGGCACATTATTCCAGCAGAAAATAGGTCCCTGTACTCATGGCTGTCCCACAGCACATAATACCTGTCTTCCTTGTGGTTATTCCAGCAGAAAATAGGTCCCTGTACTCATGGCTGTCCCACAGCACATAATACCTGTCTTCCTTGAGGTTATTCCAGCAGAAAATAGGTCCCTGTACTCATGGCTGTCCCACAGCACATAATACCTGTCTTCCTTGTGGGTATTCCAGCAGAAAATAGGTCCCTGTACTCATGGCTGTCCCACAGCACATAATACCTGTCTTCCTTGTGGGTATTTCAGCAGAAAATAGGTCCCTGTACTCATGGCTGTCCCACAGCACATAATACCTGTCTTCCTTGTGGGTATTCCAGCAGAAAATAGGTCCCTGTACTCATGGCTGTCCCACAGCACATAATACCTAATACCTGTCTTCCTTTGTGGTTATTCCAGCAGAAAATAGGTCCCTGTACTCATGGCTGTCCCCAGCACATAATACCTGCACATAATACCTGTCTTCCTTGTGGGTATTCCAGTATTTCAGCAGAAAATAGGTCCCTGTACTCATGGCTGTCCCACAGCACATAATACCTGTCTTCCTTGTGGGTATTCCAGCAGAAAATAGGTCCCCTGTACTCATGGCTGTCCCAGGCACATAATACCTGTCTTTCCTTGTGGGTAAATAGGTCCTGTACTCATAGCTGTCCCAGAGCACATAATACCTGTCTTCCTTGTGGTTATTCCAGCAGAAAATAGGTCCCTGTACTCATGGCTGTCCCACAGCACATAATACCTGTCTTCCTTGTGGGTATTCCAGCAGAAAATAGGTCCCTGTACTCATGGCTGTCCCACAGCACAATACCTGTCTTCCTTTGTGGGTATTCCAGCAGAAAATAGGTCCCTGTACTCATGGCTGTCCCAGAGCACATAATACCTGTCTTCCTTGTGGGTATTCCAGCAGAAAATAGGTCCCTGTACTCATGGCTGTCCCACAGCACATAATACCTGTCTTCCTTGTGGTTATTCCAGCAGAAAATAGGTCCCTGTACTCATGGCTGTCCCAAAGCACATAATACCTGTCTTCCTTGTGGTTATTCCAGCAGAAAATAGGTCCCTGTACTCATGGCTGTCCCAGAGCACATAATACCTGTCTTCCTTGTGGGTATTCCAGCAGAAAATAGATCCCTGTACTCATGGCTGTCCCACAGCACATAATACCTGTCTTCCTTGTGGGTATTCCAGCAGAAAATAGGTCCCTGTACTCATGGCTGTCCCACAGCACATAATACCTGTCTTCCTTGTGGGTATTCCAGCAGAAAATAGGTCCCTGTACTCCTTGCTGGTCTCACTAGAGGTTTCCAGGACAGTGAAAGTTCTCAACTCCTAAGACCTGTCAAGTTAGACTCCCACCCAACTATACTAAATTCTGAAATACTGTTCATTCTGAATACATGTTCTTCTTCAGGCAGAAGACTTGGACAAACTCAAGAAGCGGGCAGAGAGATTTGGATCGACTGTTTCCACTGCTCTGTCTAAGGTAAGACAGGAGGAGTAGAGGTCTGCTTTAAACAGATTCTTTCTTTCCGAACATTTTGAAATAGAAATGAAAAACAATAAAGGAGGATGATGTTACTGTGATATGTGTAGGATTCTGGGTGGAAGTAATCACTTTAAACGTATGGTTGCAAGCTGTGACATAATGGGTCGTATCATTGTACCCTGACATCACAAAGGGGTGGTAGGGTCACTGACGTCACAAAGGGGTTGTGCGGTCACTGATGTCACAAAGGGGTTGTGCGGTCACTGATGTCACAAAGGGGTGGTGGGGTCACTGACGTCACAAAGGGGGTGGGTCACTGGGGTCACTGGCGTCACAAAGGGGTGGTGGGTCACTGATGTCACAAAGGGGTGGTGGGGTCACTGACGTCACAAAGGGGTGGTGGGGTCACTGATGTCACAAAGGGGTGGTGGGGTCACTGATGTCACAAAGGGGTGGTGGGGTCACTGATGTCACAAAGGGGTTGTGCAGTCACTGACGTCACAAAGGGGTGGGGTCACTGATGTCTACAAAGGGGTGGTTGGGTCACTGATGTCACAAAGGGGTGGTGGGGTCACTGATGTCACAAAGGGGTTGTCGCGGTCACTGATGTCACAAAGGGTGGTGGGGTCACTGACGTCACAAAGGGGTAAAGGGTCACTGATGTCACAAAGGGGTGGTGGGGTCACTGATGTCACAAAGGGGGTGGTGGGGTCACTGATGTCACAAAGGGGTGGTGGGGTCCTGGCGTCCACAAAGGGGTGGTGGGGTCACTGATGTCACAAAGGGGTTGTCTGGTCACTCTTGTCACAAAGGGGTTGTGGGGTCACTGATGTCACAAAGGGGTGGTGGGGTCACTGGCGTCACAAAGGGGGTGGTGGGGTCACTGATGTCACAAAGGGGGGTGGGGTCACTCATGTCACAAAGGGGTTGTCGCGGTCACTCATGTCACAAAGGGGTGGTGGGGTCACTGATGTCACAAAGGGGTGGTGGGGTCACTGACGTCACAAAGGGGTGGTGGGGTCACTGATGTCACAAAGGGGTTGTGCGGTCACTCATGTCACAAAGGGGTGGTGGGGTCACTGACGTCACAAAGCATTGCATTTACTATCAGTCACTAGATTGTTAAATCCAGATTTATTTACTGGAATAGTTGTGTGTCTGTTGCATTAAACAACAATCAATAGTCTCACAATACGACAGACCTGTGAAGATCCGGGTTAGAATGAACCTTCAGTAACCTATGCTTGTCATAAGATCGGGTGGTCAGGCTCGCTGGCTTGGTTGACACTTGTCATCTGTTCCCAATTTGCGGAGATCGATGCTCATGCTGTTGCTCACTGGATTGTCTGGTCCAGAAATGATTATTTACGGACCACCACCATATAGCTCACTTTAGCTGGAATATTGCTCAGTCGGGCAATGGGTTATTTCCACCCCTGTGAGTGCGGCATAAAACTAAACTCACTCACTCACTCACTCACTCACTCACTCACTCACTCACTCACTCACTCACTCACTCACTCACTCACTCACTCACTCACCTCACTCACTCACTCACTCACTCACAATACGACATCGTCCAGTAATTTTTTTTTTTTATGATCTGCAGCTGGAGGAGGAAGACCGCATCCGGAGGCGGAAGGAGAGATTTGGAGCCATGGTGTCTTCGGACAGTTCTGCACGAGGAAAGACAGCGTCCCTCCCCGAGTTAGATGTAAGTCTTCAGGGTTTCAGTAGGATGGAAATGTAAAAGCAGAAACCCTTTTGGAATAGTTAATATTATGAGATGATACATTTGTGAAGTGCATTATTCAAAGCTAGCGTAGACTTGTAAAATTTCAGAAAAATGGAATGGTCACTGATGACATCTACGACCTGTGTTACTTGAGACTTTCATCCCATATTTATCTCTCATGCTATGTTGTAACCCAATGTTCAAAGCTGCAGTCAAATCAACAGCTCCCTCACTTTATTTGACTGATTAATGCATCAGGGGCTCCTTTCACGAAACAACCTTTTCTAAGGTTAACCCATCCTCGATAATCTCCAGGGTATACGTTCTGATAAATCTCCACTATATCCTGGATGCATCTATGGCTCTGCCCCATGATTTTATTATCTCCCTTGGCTGGCTTTTTATCCTATCAGGTGTCTACGCTGGGAAGTTGAGCGTACCAATCACAACTCACTTTCGCTTCTTTTATCTACCCGATTAAACTTGGCAACATAATTGTTGCAGAGCTACTCTGAAAGCGGTAAAAGGAGTTCTTGCATATATATTAAGGTTTCCTACCTGTCATTTTGTCTGTATGATTTCACCCCAAATCTGAGGAGGTCCTCCCGTCCTCTAGTGGTTTTGATATGTCAATCATCACTCAATGGTTTCAGCAGCACATGGACTCCGTGAAGTCCCTTGTTCATGAGTCCGTTGGAATTATCCGCCAACTCTGAACAGGGGACCGAGAGTCTGGGGATGGGATCGCCGAGCCCGGCTCGATCCCTTAGCCTGGATGCGACTGTTGATCCTTTGCCTTTGGTTTCGGGTCCAGACGCATCGGCTACCCCGGAGGGGGAGGGTTCGCTCCCAGTCCCCCTCTCGGTGCTGGCGCAGGGTCCGTTGAGGATTCCTGGGGTTCCGGTCCCTGCGCCACCCCGCCCCATAAGAGCGGGGTGGCCAGAGTGTCCGGACTCTGGTCCGAAGCCCGCCTTCACATCGCGTCTTAGAACTGAGGCTGTGCGGTTGGTTTTCGGCGTTTCGGAGAATTGCGTTCAGGGCCAGGTGGTTCGCGTCTTCAGTTGGACAACCGTGACGGCCATGATGGCGTACATCCTGAAGCAAAGGCGACACGGTGTCCCTAAGCTCCTTTGGGAGACATGGGAATTTCTCCTCTGGTGCGACTGTCAGGTGATTCCTGTTTATCACCCGGGGCTGGAGAACGTGCGAGCAGATGCTCTTTCTCACCAGATCCTGGCCCCGCATGATGCTCGACCGGCAGATATTTGGAGTTATCTCCCAGTTGTATGGATTGTTCCAGGTGGATCTGTTTGCTCCAGCGGGACAAATCAGATACCCGTGTTCTGCTCTCGAATACCGGACCAGAGGGCGTTGGCTTCCGAGGCCTTCCTGCTGGATTAAACGGGCAAGGTGGTGTGGGCGTTTCCGCCACTACCACTCATTCCCCGGGTCCTTTCCCAGCTGTCCACCCAGCCAGCTCGGCTACTTGTGCTACTGGCACAGCTATGGCTGTCACAGAGCTGTTTTCCGGTAATTCTCAGGTCTCTGGCTCAGCCTCCTGTTCTATTACCTTTGCGACCGGACATTCTCACTCAGAACGGCGCGCCATACCCCAATCCAAGGATTCAGTGGGTGGCTTGGCCTCTTGTCAGGTCTAGCTTCGAAGCAGCAGTTGCAGACACAATTCTGGCTTCGAGGCAGGATTCGACAAATGTTCAATATGAGGATAGGTGGTCCCGCTATATGCGCTGGTGTTCAGATAAGGGGATGATGATCCGTGTCCCTGGACACAATTTTTTTCTTGTTTACTTTCGCACTGTGTGCGAATTGCTTTGCTTAACCTATGAGGTCGCATCTCAGTACTTTCCTCCCTGTCGGTTACCCTCCCATCATGCCTCTCGCGGAAGCTTCGGGACACGTGATAGGTGAGTGTTGTGGCGTCCGTTACATTCTTCCTAACAATCGCTATTTACGTGTACTGTGACAGAATTCCCTCCTCCCTAGCCTCGGGTCTTTGGGAGTCTGAGTTAATGCATATATGTACCCCAAGGACGATCTCTATGAAAAAGAATTAGCTAAACCTGTAGAGGTTTCCAATTCTTTGAAGAGAATCGTCCTTGGGGTAGGGCCACCGAACCTCCCCGCAATGCTGTTCACTGATTTATTCAGCAGAAGGAATGATGATACGGGCCTAGGTGCTTACCTGGTTGGCTGCGCATGCGTAGCAGGGAGGTAACTCCACGTGGTGGGGGCCGTATATGTATTAAAATTATCAAATGACATTTTCAGCCGCAGAAAATGCATATATGTACCCCAAGGACGATTCTCTTCAAAGAATTGGAAACCTTTACAGGTTTAGCTAAATTATCAGCATCCAGGGTACTAGTGGAGACTTATCGGAAAGTTTACCCTGGAGATTATCGAGGATGAGGTTAACCTGAACTCCCATTCTTTAACATTGCACTAAGGTTACCTTAGTGACTTACGATCACCTTAGTGACTTACCATCACCTTAGTGCTTTGTGAAAGGAGGCCCAGCTGTAAACACAATGTATTCTAAATGTGACTGCATCAACAGTAGGGGTTATAACATACACAATGCCTGTCAATGGATCTCAGATTTTTGCACCTTACTCAGACCACTCAGCAAGTGTCATTTGGCAATTCACAAACATTTTAAAGTACAACTGTTAATGCAAAAATTGTTCAGAACAAATATTCAGTCGAGTATTGAGATAATAGTTTTAGTTATGTGCAACAAGGCTGGGGTTTTGTTTACAGAAGTTCCCTATGTAAATACTTTTCAAGACACGATGGGGTAGCCCAGTGGTTAAAGCGTTTGCTCGTCATACGAAAGACCCGGTATGATTCCCCACATGGGTACAATGTGTGAAGACCATTTCTGGTGTCCCCGCCATGATATTGCTAGAATATTGCTAAAAGTGGCTTCAAATCCTACTCACTCACTCGTTCATGACTGGTAAAATTTGCTATTAACCATATAATGTATAAAGCCTCACTCACTCACTCGCTCATTCATTCACTTTATTGTTGCAGGAGAAGAAGCGGAAACGAGCTGAGCGGTTTGATTTGTCATGATGGAGAGGAAGTTGTCACTGATACATCATTCATTCATCGTCCATCCTCACGTCAACCTATTAGTTGCCATGGTTACACAGTCAGCCTGTCACATACAGAAGATATTCTCCTCACATAGTGCCTCATTTGTCAACTGACTGTTGTGTACCCAAGGCTGTACCGATACATGGTACACATTGTCATGGTACACAAATAGTACCTCAATCATTAAACCCACCGACACAGACATTTATAGATAACGTGTCACTTTACATAATACACATCCTCATCTAAGTCACAATCTTAGATTTTATGGGTGGCCCATTATTTTGTTTATCGATACATCCCTTAGGGTCCGAATCCCAAATACACACAGATTATGTTTGTGAGCACCATACCCTAGTATGGTAAAAATCTGCATCCCTTTTGGCACTATATTCCACACGAAGATGAAATGATGTTGTTACCCCACCAGATGTAAGGTCAGGTAGGCCCACGGACAGTATGAGTTGTCTGCATGGGTAGCTATGTTGAACTGCTGCGGGGTATCTCCTGGACAAGCACTATGAGGCTGCCATTAGTCCAGACCAGTATTCACGCTCCTACACACTCCCACACAAACACAAACCACTGCTTAAGTGCAATAATCTTTGACTGCAACATTAAACCCATTTCACTTCAGGGGCTGTGGGGTAGCCTAGTGGTTAAAGCGTCCGCTCGTCACGCCGAAGACCTGGGTTCGATTCCCCACATGGGTACAATGTGTAGAGCCCATTTCTGGTGTCCCCCGCCGTGAATTGGCTGGAATATTGCTAAAAGCGGCGTAAAACCATACTCACTCACTCACTCATTTCACTTCACTTCACCATAAACCTGTGAAGATCCATGTTAGAACTTGTCTTCAACAACCCATGCTTGTTGTAAGAGACAACTAATGGGATCGGGTGGTCAGACTCGCTGACTTCTTAGACTCATGTCATCGTATCCCTATTGCGTAGTTCGATGCTCATGATCTTGATCACTGGATAGTCTGGTCCAGACTGAATTATGTACAGACCACCGTCATATAGCTGGAATAACGCTGAGTGCAGCATTAAACATCAAACAGACACTTCACCATAAAACATCACGTGCATCTTTAAGAAATGCAATAGTGTATCCTCCGATGACAATGTGTATCAGGTCAAAATAGCCTCATGACCTTTAATACTGCAGGGATTGGGATAGAGAAATTTCACAATGGGCCATTTTCAGGATTCAAAAACTTCAAAATTGTATTGGGCCGTTTTTTATTCCTATGTGAAAAATGGCCCATGGCCCCTGCTTTTCCCAATCCCTGATACTGTCATGTTTTTGCTTGTTTAAAACAAATGAATTATCAAATCAAATAATTTGCTGGCATTTCCCACATGTTACAAGGGAGCATTCATTGTATGAAAATAGACACATGCCTTTTAGGGACCACTGAAAGATTTGACGTTCCACAACTACAGTTGACAAACAGTCAGGGGATATTATTTATAAATATGTGTATATTTCTAAATCTGATTATTAAAGATTGGAAAATATTTTAAATCATGATGGCAAGTGCTGTCAGTTCGTTTAATGAAAGAGGAGAGGTATTTCTCCAATAACACTACTGAAGATGAACATGGCTGTACATGCTTTTAATCAAGTGTTTGTTCCCATTTAGAATTAAAACATTGTTATTTTACAATGTAAATATAGAGTTTCAGTTACAACAGATATCATTTTTGTCAATATTTGTACTTAGATCAGTTAACACATTTTAGTAGTCAAGGAACACTACATACAATATTAGTAATTTTTTTATATTTCGGGTGAAGGAAGTACGAAAGTAAATAGGGCCATATTTTATTTCTTCTTCTTTTCATTCATTCTTGGTATTTTTGATTTAGAAGGATTGTAATAGATAATCTAAATTTTCAAACATGCAGAATGTGTCATCATGATGACTTTTGTGTCATAATTGATCCATGTGGTCTGACGGTTTGAGATTGAGTAGAACAGTGCATTTGGGTATAAAAGTTATAACTTTGAATTTATATCTGCCTATACTTCTACATGTTACTTCATAGTACTATTTTATGAGAAGTAGAACTTTTTCATCTCAGGTTTTAATGTCAGTCCTAACTAAAAAACTATGAATTGGGATAATATTGATGAGTGGTGGCCGTGTAGCTATTTTAATCAATTACTTTTGTCTCCATTTTAACGAGCCCACAATTATTCAAAAGGATTGATAATTGTGCTTTGATAATAACTTTGAAAATTTAATATTTTGATTTTGAATGTAAATGTAATGGTTAAAGTTTTCAATGTAAATTGAACAAATATCTAATCAGATGGGAGACGCTATGGCTGCTTGGTTCGCTTGTAATGTTGTAAGGATGTAATATATCAAATACATATGCTACTCAAAAAAAGTTAAGGAACACTGTGTACCCACCAGTGAAGACAGGAGTTGCATCAAAACATTGGATGTTCTTTAAGTTTATTTGAGTGGTATATTTTAGGTTGCATGATGAATAAACGAGAGAAAGATTCTAACTGTTGTTGCCATGTCACATTGGTGACTGCTGTCTAGGCCAAGAGCGAACATTGAACCAAACTGAATGAACTGTTCATGTACAATGAACTCTCTTAAAATCCATTTCACAGATCGTATATTGGTAGTCCAAACTGAATTGGTGCTTTCTTATTCCAGAGGGGCGGTGGGGTAGCCTAGTGGTTAAAGCGTTGGTTGCCATGCCGAAGACCCGGGTTCGAATCCCCACATGGGTACAATGTGTGAAGCCCATTTCTGGTGTCCCCTGCCGTGATGTTGCTGGAATATTGCTAAAAGCGGCGTAAAACCAAAGTCAGTCAGTCCAGAGGGGCGGTGGGATAGCCTAATGGTTTAAGCGTCCGCTCGTCACATTGGTTCAGCGTTGGCTCATGGCCTTAAACAGCAGTCACAAAACTGAAGGAACATTTTTAACCTGCTATGAACTCTCTTGCTTAAAATCCATTTTACAGATCGTTTATTAGTCGTCCAAAATTTAACTGAACTTGACTGGTGCTTTCTTATTCCAGAGGGGCGGTGGGAATAGCCTAATGGTTAAAGTGTCCGCTCGTCAGGCTGAAGACCAGGGTTCGATTCCCCGCACAGGTGTGATGCCAATTTTTGGTATCCCCTGCCTTGATAATGCGTAACACTATACATGTAGTCTGTTTGCAGTGAAATTGGACCGATGAATTTCACTTAAAAACAAACAAATAAGTAAAATTAAGATTGCGAATCCTCATAATTTTACCTTGCCCTTTGAACATTTGAATCTCAGAATTTTATTCATCTTGGGATAAAAGTTGTTTAATAAACGATCATAGATTCAAATCACTATTATTGGTTTGTATTACAAGGGGGTAAGCGCAGTAGTTGGAACACTGAAACAAATGCACGTGATGAGCGTTAACTTAGACATACTTGACTAGTTCTCGGTGTTTCATTTAATGTGCATACACCCTTGTAATACAAACCAATAATGATTTGAAACTATGATCATTTGTTAAACAACTTTTATCCTAAATTTAATAAAATTCTGATATTTAAATGTTCAGTTGGCAAGGTAAAATTATGAGCATTTGCAATCTTAACTTCACTTTATTCGATTTACTTTGTTTGCAGTGAAATGTACCGATGAATTTCACTCTTATTCCAGATGTTCTGTGTTCATACTTGGTTTCACTGTCTTCACTGCTGAAAATTGTTTCAGTCTACTTAAGTTTGGTTTGAACGCCATAGTTGAGGTAGTTCTTTGCTTTAGAAGCTCTGAATGATTAGATCTTATTGTCAGTGAAGGTGAAGTACCAGATGATTCTGTGAGGCTTGTAAATACTGATTAGATATCAGATCTTTTAGTTGTATTTATGGGTTATTTGCTCATGAAATGGTTTCCTATATTCTATGTGTTTTTATTAATATTTGCAAGCATGGAGGAAAAAGCAGGATAATCCGTTTACACATGGCATCAAATTGCATGATGATTGGATTGATTGGATTGTCTGGTCAAGACCTGATACTTTACAGATTGCCGTCATATAGCAGCAGCAAAGAAACAAATTTTAAGACACAGGACAACAGGATTATCAAACAATCTTTATACAGTTAGAATGAAATATTTACAAGTAACAATCAAGACAACTGTACAAATTTCCCACCACTCTTCTTCAAGGTAACACAAATCCCAAACTTTAGGAGTCTGCTTCAGATTTGTTTGAGGTATCTGAACTTCCTGTTCAAAATTGATAGCAGAACAATTCAGCCAACACGACCAATTCCGTTTAGATGTTATGTCACTGAATGATATTTCAGTTACATCATGGCATGCTGGAGCAGAGTCTGAACTGGAAGAAACCCAGATGCTGCCAAATGCAGCATCATAAATGGTGCCTACAATCGTGGCAGCTGTGAACTGTAACCTCTGAGTCACTAATCTCCCTTCATTCCTTGAGAAACCTGGAGTTGTGGCAGACGACCTTGGCTGCAACCTTCCTGCCAGTAGCGGTGGACATGTCGCAGATCTGCAGCACCTGACTGTTGCTGTACACACCGGGGATGGTCTTCATCATCTGGGGGAGCTGTAGTAGACAAACACTGCAATTCTACACAGCCTTTTTCCACAAAACCATCTCTGTTCTATACAGTGAGTGAGTTTAGTTTTACACCGCTTCTAGCAATATTCCAGCAAAATCACAGTGGGGGGGGGGACACCAGAAATGGGCTTCACACATTGTGCCCATGTAGGGAATCAGTAGAGTGGCCTAGTAGTCCGAAAGTTTGCTTGTCAGGCCAAAATATTGGGTGTGAAGCCCATTTGTGATGTCTTCTGCCATTATAATGCTGGAATATTACTAAAAGCGGCATAAAACCGCACTTAATACAACATCAACAATCATAAATTACCAGTCCTCTCACCAACTTAGTTTGCTGCAAATAGATGTAACATTTCTAAAGCAGCATTATGCAATATTAACTCACCATTTTAGGTGGCATGAACTGCAGAGCAGATTGGGAGTATTGGGGTCCGCACTTGATGGCTTCCTCGATGAAAGACACAATGAAGCCTGTCCTAGGGGTGAAACTACCATCGTGGATGATGGCATTCATCAGTTGGAACAAATTCACTGGAAAAACAACATTACACCTTATTTCATACTCAAAGGATACTCGCAACAAACTGAAGTATGTTTAAATTGGTATCTTACCCATCTGTTACTGCAAAAGTTGAAAAAGAATGTTAAGATGAATAGTATTTATTCAAAATGTTCAAGCACAACACTTTTACTTCAGTCAATTTATTATCAGCATGTAATGACAGCTGTGGTCCATACATGCTAAACGAGATTGAATCCCTCCAAGAGTATCGTTAACTGAAGTTTTTGTATATTTACCAAAGCTGTCTGTGAGGTGCTAGCAGGATTACTCTACCATCCCATCATCCTTGCTTCCTATTCACTGCACAGTTAACAGAGGCTCGATCATTTACAGACTGCCGCCATAAAGCTGAAAGATTGCTGACCCTTGAAGGTCCGGGTTAGAATAGGTCTTCAGCTGAAGTTTTGTATATTTACCAAAGCTGTCTGTGAGGTGCTAGCAGGATTACTCTACCATCCCATCATCCTTGCTTCCTATTCACTGCACAGTTAACAGAGGCTCGATCATTTACAGACTGCCGCCATAAAGCTGAAAGATTGCTGACCCGTGAAGGTCCGGGTTAGAATAGGTCTTCAGCAACCCATGCTTGTTGTAAGAGGCAACTAACGGGATCGGGTGGTCAGGCTCGCTGACTTGGTGGACACATTTCATTGGTTCCCAATTGCACAGATCGATGCTCATGTTGTTGATCACTGGATTGTCTGGTCCAGACTCGATTATTTACAGACCACCGCCATGTGAAAACTAAACTCACTCACCATATAGCTGAAATATTGCTGAGTGCGGCGTAAAACTAAACTCACTCACTCACTCACTGAAAGATTGCTGAGTGAGGTGTTAAACAACAAACAAACCACCAGGCTCTACTTTAGCTTCACTCAGTTATCCTTAAATTACCACCAATAAAACATGGAGAGACTGCGGTAAAGGACCCACCCAGAGCCTTGTTGAGGGGTTCCTTGGTGTCGAACGTCGGGGACGCCTCACCATCCTCCTTCACTGAGATGTCCTCTGTCATACATCACAAACAAAACATGGAATTCACAATGGTGGAACAAACTGATGTGTACATACGTTCAATAGCAAACCAAACGCTGATTTATTTAAAACAATATGTAAACATATATTGATGCTTGACTTTGGTTGTTATATTATTCTCTTTGGTATGTAAACAGCTACTATGATATATTTCCTATGAAGCAGTTAGATCCATGGTCAGTTGAGATAGAAATTTCAGAAAACTGTTGATTTCCATAATCATGAAAATACTTAAAATCAAATCCCTTGACATGTAATGACAGCTGTGGTCCATACATGCTAAACGAGATTGAATCCCTCCAAGATTATCGTTAACTGAAGTTTATGTATATTTACCAAGATTGAATCCCTCAGAGTGTAACGTCAACTGAGGTTCATGCATTTTCCGTACTTTGGCCGGCCGCACATCAATCTCCTCTAGTTCCTGTAAAGAAAAAATTGTTTTGTACGACACATTGTAACTTTGTGGCAAATTAAACCAAATGATTTGGGGGTTTTCAACTTGTCATGGCTTGTCAGCTGTAGGGGTACAATCATAAGTGATCTAGGTTGATGGTTTTACCCAACAAAGTATCATTATGGGACTTAAACAATCATGAGATTCTAGCGTGTCTGACGCTGCACAGCAAATCGCAGCATCTGTAATGGATGACAAGGTCAACACTATACTACCATGTCAAGAACCTCACATCAGAGGGTTTGTTCAACAATCAATAGTGAATCAATCAGAAGAGTGAATCAATCAGAAGAGCAACTCAACCACACCTCCATCTCCACTTCTTTCCTTGATCTCTTTCTCCCTCGTCGTACAAAGGGCTCTGTAAAATACAGGGTTCATTAACTCCAGTGTGAGTATTACGCCATAATGAACTGACATGTACATACTCATCAATAACTGAGAGGGTGAGGACCTGGGAAGTCATCTCCACTCCTTGCACCAAAGTGGGAAATTTAACCCTGTACTTGACAACATAGACATACATTCCTTCAGTGCCATTTCTGGCTATCCTGATCACTGTGTTGAGACAGGTATCAATGGTCCCTTTGTCACGAAGCAGAGTCCCATAAATCACAAGGCCACCCTTACACATTACATCATAGCCATGCAGGCTTTCAGTGCCATCAATGCCTTAGAAAAATTCATGAGGGATTTTGCTTTGATTGGTGATTATTTTTTTAAACATTTCCTCTTGCCTTTAGGCTTTCTGAGGACAAAAATCCATGCAACCTGCCCTGCAGTAAGACGGTCAATACAATGTGACTGGAATTGATGGGCCAATATCATGAAGCAGGGTCCCTTATATCACACCCTTATATCACACCGCAAGTACCTTCTAGCCGCAAGTACCTTCAGGGCCACTCCCAGCCTCCAGTACCACAGTCAATAAGACAAGTGAGTGAGTTGGGTTTTACGCCGCATTTAGCAATATTCCAGCAATATCACGGTAGGGGACAACAGAAATGGGCTTCACACATTGTACCCATGTGGGCAATAAGACAAGACTGGAATCAATGGCCAAAAACAAGTTTTGCCTCCACAAGAAGCTACGTACCTCCAGGGCCCTGAATCACACACTCACGAGGACACACCTTCAGGACCACTCTTGGCCTGCAGTGACGTTAGTCCCTAGAATGAGACTGGAACCAATCTCTACAATAAGCTAGACTTGGCTAAGCCTCAACAAATAGCCATGTTTAGTCAGGGTACGAAATCACACACTCACAAGGATAATGAAACCAATCCACCCAATAGGCTAGACTATTAGACTAGGTGTCCACAGGGAAGCCACGTACCTTCAGGGCCGCTCCTGGCCTCCTGGGCTGCTGTGATACACAGGACACAGAGCTTGGCGAGCGTGTATCCGCGGGGGTCGATCATGAGGTGGAGGCGTGTCTTGGTGTGGAGGATGCGGGGCAGCGTGTGCAGCAGCAGACTGAGAGTCATGTGTTCCAGGTCCATGGAAGATGGAGAACACCAGACTCAGGGACTGACACAGGTCCTCCGACTTGTTGTTCTCCAGCATTTGCTGCAACACAATCACAGGATCATCTAGTCCATGTAGGGTTAATTCAAACGTACGCTGGATGGACGAAATATACTTCTGAAACTGTTGCTTGGCAGAATTTGCTGCAAAACAATCAGGGCCTAGACTTCCAAGCTCTCTTAGCACTAAGATAGTCGTAAGTCTATATCGAAATCTAGGCCCAGGGGATCAATTATTTGATGTAGGGTTAATTCAAATATAGCCTGGATGGCTGGAATATATTTTCCGTAACTGTTACTTGGAAGCATTTGATTCTTTAACTGTTGCTTTGCAGCATTTGCTACAACACAATCTGAGGATCAACTTTTCATTGTAAAATTAATTTTAAAGTAGGTTGGATGGCCACAATATGTTCTGTAACATTTGCTTTGCAGTATTTGCTGCAACACTATCGGGGGATCAACTTTTCAATGAAGAGTCAATTTAAAAAGTAGTCATGACGGATATATTTTCTGTAACGTTTGCTTGCAGCATTTGATGCAACAGGAGAGAGGACTTCTGAAGACTATAAACACCATCATATTAAACATCCTATTCAAGGCAAACTGCCCACACAAGTTCACAACATTCCCCTCACACAGCCAGCCAAACCTAACAAGTCACCAGTGTCATTCTTTCACACATCCAGATACCAGCTCACAAATCACAAAGACTATCCTCTTCCAGTGAATCAAGCAATAAAAACTAACCAGGACCATCCTGTCACACAGCCAGGGTCATTCTTTCACACATCCAGATACCAGCTCACAAATCACAAAGACTATCCTCTTCCAGTAAATCAAGCAATAAAAACTAACCAGGACCATCCTGTCACACAGCCAGGGTCATTCTTTCACACAACCTGTCATCTGCCCAAAAATCACAAGAACTGTCATCTTAATCAAGTCAACCCCTAACAACTCACCAGGACCATCCTCTCACACAGCCAGTCGGAGCCACACAGGTTGAGCAGCTGCTCCAGGGTGTGGAGACACTTGAGGTCGATCCATCCCTTGGTGAAGATCTGGGTGAGCGTCTGTTGCAGCACATCACTGGGCAGGGCCTTTGGGGGAATGTGGATGTGTGCCGTCTGACGCTGGGGATGGTTGGTCGGCAGGATGTCGTTGACGATCTTCTCCATCACAATTGACATCAGATGGTTTCGACTGAAGGTGGGAATGATATTTGACTACAGCACAAGCAACAATTCATTTCGTCACGATCCTGATCTCATTCAATTCAGATTATTTTACTCCATGGAGTGAGTGAGTTGGGTTTTACGCCGCTTTTAGCAATATTCCTGCAGTATCACGGCGGTTACACCAGAAATGTGCTTCACACACTGTACCCATGTGGGGAATAGAACCCGGGTCTTCGGTGTGACAAACAAACACTTTAACCACTAGGCTACCCCACTGCCCCTTATTCTATGGAGGTGTCTTCAGATGTTCACTTGGAAATATATCATATCACACTATGAGATCTCATTTAATGAGATTGCAATGATCCCGAATCCTCACGTGTCATCCAAAATGTCCATATAAAGGAAACTACATTTACAATGAAAACACACATAGCAACATACATGTAACGAACTGGGTTTTTTTCATCTCAGCCACTAGATTCATATTTGAGTCTAACTGTACCTAAACCCATGAAGGTCCAGGTTAGTTATGGTCTTGAGCAAACCCCTTCTGCAACTTATAAGAGGCAACGAATGGGATCAGTCATATTGCCATCTCATCCTACCAGGTACCCATTTAAAGCATCTCTATTAGAGTGAGTGAGTGAGTGAGTTTAGTTTTATGCCGCTGTTAGCAATATTCCAGCAATATCACGGCTGGGGACACCAGAAATGGGCTTAACACATTGTACCCATGTGGGGAATCGAACCCGGGTCTTTGGCGTGACGAGCAAACGCCTTAACCACTAGGCTACCCAACCGCCCCCATCTCTATTAGAACTGTTACTGGTGATTACAACCAAAATTAATTCAGTTAGAAATCTTATCCCCACTTGCTGCAGACTTTGGACTGAATATTTAACCTTTCATTAGATGCTGCGGCCTCTCCCTTGATGGGTTTGGTGAGATGCTCCAACATCAGCAATGGCTTCTCTCGTGCCTCCTCGCCGACGGTGTTCATGTAGCTGCACAGCCACACACATGCCACCACCGGCAGACAGCACATGCGGCTCTTCACGTGGTCCAGGATCACCTGAGCAGACAATCCACACATTTTACTTCCTCCTAAATATCTTAAACTGAAACAATCACTTGGTATTCAGCATAGGTATTAGAAACCTCATATTACCATGGTATGGTGCCAACAAACCAAGAATCATAGCCAGGGTGAAATTGGGATTCAAACCCGCAATCAATGTCTCCAGCATCACAATAGAAGGTGCCACAGCACCTCAGCCACCCCAGTCCCCAGTGGCCATCTCAGCACCTGAAATCCCAAATACAGGAACCGCCTCCGTGGTGTAGTGGTTAGAGCGTCAACCCGGTGAGCTGAAGGATGTGGCTTCGATCCCCTGACCGCGTCATACCAAAAGACGTTAACATATGGTACTAGCTGTTCCCTGCCTGGCGCACATCATTAATGGGTACAACAAGGACTGGTCGGCTCAGAGTCAATATAATGTGTGTGAGTGGGGTATTCATGCTTAACTGCGGCATGGTATCTCAGTGAGCTAGCACTATAAAACCAGATAAAGTCGGGGCTAGTACAAGCAGCTGCATATACACATGCACACGCATGCACATCGTCATATGAGCGAAATATTCTTAAGTGTGACATTAAACCCCATTTGACCTCACCCAACACACAGTGAGACTGACCTTGACAGACTCTGCACTGACTGCCCCATGCTCCCAGGCAAACAGTACTTCCTGTACGGCGAAGGGGGTGTTGTTACATACTTGATGCCACCTAGTCACACTGAAACAAACCGAGGATGGAGAGTGAGTCCTGAGTCCTAAAGTCGACAACAGCTTCAGATTGCACTTGTGACAATAAGGTTGTTTAATGCCACAAGGCTGCAGGGGCGGATACAGCTTTTTGAGAAAGGGGGGGTGCACACTCCCCCTCTGGATCCGCCTATGGGCTATACAGCAATATTCCAGCTATATGGCGGCAGTCTGCAAATAATCGAATCTGGACCAGACAATCCAATGATCAACTTCGTGAGCATCGATCTACGCAATTGGGATACAATAACATGCATCAACCCCGTCAGCGAGCCTGACAACCCAATCCCATTAGTCATCTCTTACGACAAGCATGGGTTACTGAAGACCTGTTCTCGCCAGATCGTCACAGGTGTCGCAAAGATTTCTTTAACTCCGATCACCATGACAACTCAGATCTCTACGACAACTCCGATCTTTTCAACACTCCTAACCTTGTTCTGAGTTCTCCTCCTGAGGTGAACTGATGGAGGAGGTTGTCGACCTTGTTGGGGTCGTTGGGGACGCAGATCTCCACGTTCTTGTATTTCCCATCTTCTGGCAGCCATCGCTGGCGCCCACTGGATGATGAATGATTCAGAGGGATCCTTCAGATTTGTCACAATCTGCAAAAATATCATTTAAATCTGCCAGATTTTCCAGAATGCATTTCAATATAACAACTTACCAAAAGTAGATCATCAAGATTCCAGATTCTTTATTCAGTATCAAGGCCTCCAGCCAGCCAGAGTACATGTATATTATTATTATATTATATTATATATATATTGTGTATATATAGTCACAATGAATATCATTAACATTTATAAAGGTTAAGTTTCCCATCACCAAAAGTAAATATAGTGTTGGTACATAGCAGATCATCACCGACAACTGACAACAGATTACAATTTCTTTTCACACAAAGTATTCAGATCATCCATGCAATTAATGCATATAACATACATCTACAGAATCCCAGAGGCTTGTAACACAAAATACTGGCTTCACGGTATATATAGTCACTGACCAGGTGTTAGCACTATATAAAAAAGAAAGTGATGTTATGAGGCCAACACTCCAAGTTTGTTTCAGGGAGAATTCAACAATACCCATTATCTTGCCTCACACATAAATGTTGTTTTCTGATTGGCTGAGCACTCTTCTATTATTTTCAATGTACCCCGCTTACAAACGAGTAACATTTTCTATATACCCCGCTGTAAATGCTGAACTCATTTGGTACTTCGTAGTAGTAAGTCTTTATCTTGAATAACATTGAATCACGTATGATGTACGGAAATTACCGATATTTTGCGAATTCAAATCGATGTAAGGGAGATAACTGTTAATTTGTTTTTCTTGTCGTCTGGTACTCCATACTATGATCCGATACCTGTGCTTCAAACAGTTCCAAATTACCATTGAGGTGTTCAGTAAGATAAATATGTTGTTCACTGGTCCCTCGGGGCCCATGGGTTGATGTACCCCTCGAGACCAGTGAACAACTCATAATGTAAATACCCATATAAAACTACACATGCATTTCAAGCCAATAGATTTACCTACAAAAATCGAAGCTGTACTTTAGGAATTCAAACCCACACACTCATAATGAGGCTCACAAAGTCAGCAATCTAACTCACTCAGCCACCACGGCTTTCACAGAATGGAATACTTTGTGCTACCCCACCGCCCCAGTGCTGTGGTGAAATGTAACAGGGTTGACTACTGAGGGGGAAACAACTATTGTGATAACGATAGTTTATTGAAACATACTATTGAGATGGTGATAGTCTGTTGCGCCCCAACTATTTTTTCTCCTTGAATTGTCTCGTTTAAAGTCATTTCCAAAATGAATGTATAGTTCATATCAAACAAAAACAATCTGAAGTAGTTTTAGTCTCTTTTAATAACTGACAAGAAACCTGAAACCCAAATCAAGTTTGTTTAAGAGGTAACAGGGGCGGATAACTCTAAATCGAAGTGAACGAATCTGGTACTTCCTGTATTTTGCTCTGAGCATTTATCAATGGAAGTCAATTACTAAAGTATCAAGTCACACATACTATCAATGCATTAATAATTTTTTGTTTCTACCATCAATTCATTGCTATCGAAGACTCAACAATTGCAATCTATCAATAGTTCGAATCATCGCTACAGCCTTTGTAACATAAGTTATATATTTGTAGTTTACTGTGAAAGTTTAATCCCAAATATAACATGTTAAACCCCTCAAATATTCCAACATGCATGTATAAGATAGATGACTACACAGTGTAGCAGCTTGACTCACCTCAGTGCCATACAGCTGGATAATGTGGCACAGCATCAGGAAGGTGATGTCAAACAACTGGGCCCGAGTTTGAGCAGCCTTGCCGCCATCACCCATCGCTTGACGTGCAAACTCATTGATTCTGAAACAGATTGTACACCATCACAAATATAAATTCAAAATAACACAACATTTATTTCTAATTCCTAACATACAACACACAAAACATAAAATTCATATAAAAGCAACAAGTTGTCTTCTGAACAGTATCAAAGCGTTCCAATTGAATGGGTTCTTAATATCAGAATAGCAAGATGTTTTTACCCCCTCCTTGTTGTAAGATTCATATGAATATCACACCCTGTTGATCACACCTCTGTTGTGTCTGTTATTTAACGCCAATTTTTTAGCAATATGACGACGGTAGGTATATACTCTGAGTCTGGACCAGACAATCTAGTGATGGACATAATGATGGCATTGATCTAAGCAATTATGATACGATGACATGTGTCAACAAAGTCAGCGAGTCTGACGTCCTGATCCCATTAGTCGCCTCTTACGACAAGCATGGGTTGCTGAAGACCAATTCTAACAGTTCTAACCAAGATCTTCACAGGTCATTTGAATACTGCTTAGTGTGAGGATATACAATAAATGAACTCTTCTCAAACATAGAAACAAACACTTGAGGACAAGATTTCCAGCAATTGGAAAATGTTCAACTTAGACTGCTACAACGTTGAAACGTTCAACCATGTTACAATATTCTACATGATTTTTTACCCACTTGATCAACTTGACAGCAAAGTTCTGTAGTTCTCCCATCGCTGCACCGGCTGCTAGAATAATCTCAAAGCTGCGTCCCGACAACATGTGATTGAGGATCCCAACCAGAGGGTCTTGATTCTTCTGGTAGTCTGCGTCAAGGGTCTGTACAGACAGTGCAACACTCACACAATAATACACACACACAGATGCATGCTGGGAGCAGAATATCAACATATCAGAATAAGCTCGTTAACAACTAGCGGATACATGATATTGTTTCCATTCACCACGCTATCATCACAGCAAAATATATAGTCAATATTGTCCATTAGTATTCCGATTTCTAGTAAATATATATTAGGCCAGTATTGATCTGACCAGATACAAGTACCACAAAACAAAATATCAATATTGAATTTTTCTCATCGTCATAAAAATAACCAAATTCAACAATTACCCATTAAATGACAATAAAATTTAAATTCTCAATGAAAAATGCTCTTAACAAAATCTCCTCAAGCACTATTGACATTTAATAACTGTTTCAGCATAAAGTCCGTGCAGCTACTGGGTTGCAGGTGACTGATTCATCCTACTGATCAAAGGTGTTTAGTAGCTAGCTGTGGGATATAGCTCGTACTACATGGGAAAACTAAATATATTCCCCCGCTTCACTTGTCGCAATATTCATACAACCTATGTTTTATAAAGCTGTTCTTCAAAGAGGTTATCTGTAAATATATTCCAAAAGTATTCTATACATTTTAAAAACGAGAAAATAAAGGTATTCCTTCCTAAGGTATTACAAAATCGAATGACCTTTTCTAACTGCCGATGGTGTTCTAGCATATCCAAAGATCAAGCTCGATGATGGAAAGCAGGAAGAAAATATGATGAATAACTTCTTTGAGTGGCATTTTAGAAGTCGGGAAGTAAACACGGACAAATTTATGGATAACAACTTCTTTTATTTTGTGAGTGTGCCGTTTTTGTACCGATTCTTGTACAGTAGGCTAGCAAGGCAAGAATCTGTACCGAAACATCACACTCATTCCTGCAAGACAGCGGCACAAGAATCTGTAACAAAACGTCACATTCATTCCTGCAAGACAGCAGCACAAGAATCTGTACCGAAACATCACACTCATTCCTGCTAGACAACAGTACAAGAATCGGTACCGAAACATCACACTCACAAAATAAAGAAGTTGTTTTCCATTAATATGTCAGTATAATGTGATGAAAACTATTGTTTCTGCATTGAATGTTAAGGCAAGGCGTCACTAGGATAACAGATTAATAATCAAGCATGGCTTTGTTAGCTAATTAAGCAAATCAAATAGTCCAGCGAATGGAAAATTTTTTTCATGTTGAACATTGTCACAATTTTAACTAAATAGGAAGAATCCATCTCAAGAATTATCATTCATAAGTTTTAACTTGTATCTTCACCTTAGTCAAATTTCCAGATACAATAAAAACGTACATATACGTCACATAACAGGACATCAGCTGCTCCGAGTTCTATAACTCTCCTGTGTCCTGAGTTTTGTTTTAAGCCACTTTTAGTAATATTCCAGCAATATCACGGCAGGGAACACCAGAAATGGGCTTCACACATTGTACCCATGTGGGGAATCGAACCTGGGTTTCGGTGTGATAAGCAAACGCTTTAACCACTCGGCTACCCCACCGCATCTCAATTTGATGAAAACAACAAAATTTAGAGAAGTACCAATAAGACCCAAATACTACTCTAATTATTGACATGTTTTCTTAATTTCAGCGTAATATCAACTGAATGTGCTGTGTTAAACAACCCTAAGACAGTATAGTTATATGTGTCAGCTAGCAATATTTTTGGCTTTGCTACAATGTGTGGGTCAGTGATTGATATAGTGAGCAAACTATCAGGATACGATGACAGCCAGTCAACCACATAACCACCCCATACATTATCCGCCCCTAACCACCAGCTCAGGATACATTCTAATTTGTTTTTTTCTTCTTTTCTTTGTTGTTTAATTTTAATATTAGAGCTTTATGGCGGCGGTCTGTAAATAATCGAGTCTGGACCAGACAATCCAGTGATAACACCACGAGCATCGATCTACACAATTGGGATACGACGACATGTGTCAACCAAGTCAGCGAGCCTGACCACCCGATCCCGTTAGTCGCCTCTTCCGACAAGCGTGGTTACTGAAGATCAATTCTAACCCGGATCTTCACGGGTCCTAATGTCATCTACCCCTAAGGAGCACCATCGAAGGAACATTTGTGTTCTTTGTGGGTTTTCATGTGTACAAATTAACTTTGCCACATCATGAGGTTAAATAAGAAGCCAAATCATTGTAGAAGGCTGGCATTTGATTGGCTCAAGTGCCTTTGAAGCCCTCCATAAGACTGGACAGTCAAGGTTCGCCTTTAATCATGTGATGTGACCTTCTATACAGGTGTTGTCAGATTTCAAAATGTAGGTATCACAACGGCATAAATGATGATTTTGTTCCAGTTATAAACAATATCACAAATCTCAACTGCAATTCGTTCTTAGCTTTCTTCCCTGACCCTTCTACACATAACCTATCACAGATTTCACTTGTCTGACATTAATCTATTGCTGCACACCTAACGGCCAAGTCCATTCTTGAATATCCTTAAGTCCTGATATTCTGATAAGTTAAGACAAAGTGGCCACATGCATATGGCTATCTTAGAGCTAAGGCCATCGTATGTCCTTGTTGGAGTACGAGAGAAATGATGTCGTAGCACTACAATCACTTTGTGCAGGGCCCCGTTCCTCAAAGCGATCGTAGCGCTACAACAGTCGTAAGTCTATGTTAAAGTATGGGAGTTACGATCAACTTTGCGCTACGATTGCTTTGAGGAACGGGGCCCAGGTGGCCGCAGAACATTAATTGACCTTCACATACATTCAACTAAATCAGCTGTTAAAGTCGTCATGAGTTGAATATGACATAAATGAGCGATTTACGAAGTCAGTACATGAGTTTTACGTGGTGGGATTGAGTCTAAGATGACAAAAAAAAATGAATGATTTGCGATTTTGTGGGCTGGAGCATAGCTTCATGCAACATACCATGCAACAGGCGGTGAGAATCACATTTCACACAAACTGCCATGTGGGAAAGGAAATATCTCAAATACTCTCTCTTACGACAAAAATAAAGCCCAAACTGCAGTTTTAAACTGGTACATTCCTGGAGTCACCCAGCAGGGAATAAAATTGACAAGCTCTGTACAAACATTTGTATTTAATCTGTTAACTTTGTCTAAGGTTCCCAGTGATAAAGATGTTATTATGTGAGAGCATACGGTGTCTGTGTGTCTATCTATTAGTGTCAGTCTGTGTGTGCATGTATTTTGTGTGTCTGTGTGTGTATCTGTGTGCATGTATCTGTCCGTGTGCATGTATCCGTCTCTGTGTGTATTCGTCTGTGTGCGTGTATCTCTCCGTGTGCGTGTATCTGTCCGTGTGCATGTATCTGTCCGTAAGTGCGTGTATCTGTCCGTGTGCATGTATCTGTCCGTAAGTGCATGTATCTGTCTGTGTGTATATATCTGTCTGTGTGCATGTATCTGTCCGTGTGCGTGTATCTGTCCATGTGTGTGTATCTGTCCGTGTGTGTGTATCTGTCCATGTGTGTATATCTGTCCATGTGTGTGTATCTGTCTGTGTGTGTATCTGTCCGTGTGCATGTATCTGTCCATGTGCATGTATCTGTCCATGTGTGTGTATCTGTCCGTGTGCATGTATCTGTCCATGATGTGTATGTATCTGTCCGTGTGCGTGTATCTGTCCGTCCGTGTGTGTGTATCTGTCCATGTGCATGTATCTGTCCGTGTGCATGTATATGTCGTCCGTGTGTATATCCGTCTGTGTGTGTATCTGTCCATGTGCATGTATCTGTCCGTGTATCTGTCCCGTGTGTGTGTGTATCTGTCCGTGCATGTATCTGTGTGTGTGTGTATCTGCCCATGTATCTGTGTGTGCGTGTATCTGTCCATGTGTGTGTATCTGTCCGTGTGTGTGTATCCGTCTGTGTGCGCGTGTATCTGTCCGGTATATGTATCTGTCTGTGTGTGTGTATCTGTCCATGTGTGTGTATCCATTCCTCTATGTGCATCTGTCTGTGTGCATGTTGGGCTGTGTGTGTGCATGTTGGGCTTTGTCTGTGTGTGTGCATGTTGTGCTGTGTCGTGTGTGTATCCGTGTTTGTGTATCCGCCTGTGTGCATGTATCCGTCCTGTGTGCGCGTGTATCTGTCGTGTGTGAGTGTATCTGTCCGCGGAGTGTATCCATCGGTGTGTGTTATCTGTCTGTGTGTGTGTGTGTGTATTTGTCGTGTGTGTGTATCTGTCCGTATGAGTGTGTATCCGTCCGTGGTGCGTGTATCTGTCCGTATGAGTGTGTATCCGTCCGAGTGTGTTTCTGTCCATGTGTGTATCCATTCGTGTGCGTGTATCTGTCCGTGTGCATGTATTTGTCCGTGTGTGTATCTGTCTGTGTGCATGCATCCGTCTGTGTGTGTATCCATCCGTGTGCATGTGTGTGTATGTGCATCTGTCTGTGTGCATGTTGGGCTGTGTCTGTGTGCATGTTGGGCTGTGTCTGTGTGACTGTGTGTGTTTGTGTCCGTGTGCATGTATCTGTCCGTGTGCGTGTATCTGTCCGTGTGCGTGTCGGGCTGTGTCTGTGTGTGTGTGTGCACGCGCGCATGCATTTGTCTGTCTCTGTGACAGGGACATGTGTGTGTACCTGTGTGTGTGTGTGGCTGTGTGCACCGGAGTTGTCAATAGAATGAGCATCTATGTGACTTTTCACAATACTATTTACACCAGAGCAAGAGAATTGGGTCTTACACAGCTATTGACACCAGAAATAGTCTCACAAATTGTACCGATGAGAGGAATCTAACTTTTAGACGTTTATGATGTATGAAAGCTTTATCGATTAGGATAACAGTTATTTTGTCCATAAGATCCGCAGACCCCTGAGTCAACTCTTTAGACCAAGCATTAGATATTTGGACTCTGTCATGGCCAGATTCGGAAACTTGCACCACAGACAAGCAAGACGACTATACAGGGACACAGATTCTAAACAGATGCGCTTAAACTCTTCCTAGGATATACTACATGTGTCAAAACACCAGTAAACATTTTGTGCAAACTTTCATAAACATAAGGGTTTACTGTGCATGTTCAGTTTGTATGAGGTTTCTGTTTATTATTTTTAATGCCAATCTCAGCCTTTTGATGGCAGTCTGTACAATAATGATGATTTGAAATGTGAAACTAGTTAAACCGAATACAACCTAAATGCTGCTTGTAGTTAAGTATGCTTGACTGCAGCCTACAGGATGTAAGTTATAACTAAGCTCAATGGTATACATTGCTTTTGTCTTGTTGTTGTTGTAAACATTTATAGATCAAACTGACAGCATTAGAAGCACTAACTCGCAATAACTACCTTCAATATAAAGAAAATAAAGAAAACAAAACCTTATTTTCAAAATATTTGAAAATATTTCATAATACAGTTCTAAACATTTGAAATCTTTCTTACATAAAAAGGATGTTTTTGGTCTATTTTTATTTTTATTTTTCAGAAATCATTAACTTCCAACATTTACTCTTTCACTTCATGGAACATTAAAAATGCTACCAAGTACTGATAACATAAAAAAATCGTATAAATAATATTAAGTCAGAAATCACCACCAAGGCTGAGGAAATTAATTATTGTTCAGGCACAAATACCCATAAAACTCCCAGTATATATTTCTCATCCCACATTGCAAAACTAATAATTAAACCCCTTCTCCTGCAAGGATGGGTGTTGACATAGGTGTGCCAGATGTGGGGAATATGTCATGAGTCTAATCCCCCATGACAATCAGCTGACACGCAAACTGTTCACTGACAATGTCACAGCGCCATGTTGTACATGACAATCGTGCAAGTGCCCAGGTCTGTTTCAGACGACCAAAATAAGTCGTGCATGCTCCGGGAAGGGTGCCCACAGTCAGATTCCCGCTGTGATCGAGTGTTTAGTCTGCACTAAAACTGAATAAAACAGGATATATTCTCTCTGGTAGAACACTATGGTGAGTGAATAAGGTTTTATGCTGCTTTTAGCAATATTCCAGCAATATCAAGTTCGGGAAACCAGAAATGGGCTTCACACAGTATACCCATGTGGTTAATCGAACCTGGGTTTTCGACATGACAAGACAGCGCTTTAACCACTAGGCTACCCCACCGCCCCCGAGAACAGTAAAGGCAGGCTAGTCCAATGACAGGCCTAACAAACAAAGAGCCTAACTGTGAAATGTGTATGTTATTATACTAAACCTATTCACTGGTTTAAATATCTTTATATATTGGACGCATACACACCCCAAGAAATCTTCTCATATGTCTTCAAGGTAACATTATAGTAAGTAAAATAGACAAATAGTATAACCCTACCAGGGATGGAAATAACTTTAAAATTGATAGTGTACTCCGGTACAGTGGCACATGTAAAGTCAATTGTCCTGATAATTTTTCCACTATTCCGACCGTTTTCTTGCTGATTTTTTAAATAAACAACATAATTAACATTGGAAAGTCAACTGGACACCGGTACAGTGTGATATACAAATTTGCTTGCCCAACAGAAAAAAAACACTTGACTCGGACGTCGGGCAATGGGTTATTTCCACCCCTGCCTACCTTTGATTTTGGGACTGGTCATTTATCATTGAGAGGGGAGTCCCAAAAGACGTTAGATGTGCAGTTTTCTGTAAAGTTTGCTTGAGTGCTAACACATAAAGGTGTCCTCTTTCTTGACGTTTGATGTCGTAGGATAATTTTAGTCTCTATATTTTCTAATGTGTCAGGAACATTTCACTTTTGTGCTTAACTTGGAACAGACCCTCAGCTGACCATCTGCAGTGAGCACCCTGGAGCTGCCCCCCACAATACGCAGACATGGGCACTTTCTACCGTACTTACACATAGCCTCACGTTATTGCTTGAAGCCAAATGATAGTGGAGGCAACAAAAGTGTCGACAATAACGACAGGAAGACGAGACTAGGCAAACGTAAAGAAGCCAGAAAGCACTGTGTGTCCGACAGTGGAAGAACTACCTCTACCTTCAGAATACTCGTCACAGTCATCTCGGCGCGCATTATTAAGCTCACCGTGCCGCTACCCGAACTACATTGCTCGGGTATGCGGTGCTCACGCTCGCTGTTGCTGAAAGAGATATAAAGTAGCATTTATATGTGTTTCAGCATTTATAAGGAATATCCGTGTACTCGAAATAGGGCTGGAAATTATGAAGATAATAGCTTTAATATGTCAAACAGGTGACCTCATACCTGGGTTTGGGGGTAACAACATGTAAAGGCCATGTAGGTGTGTTTGTACCTGGGTTAGAGGGTAACAGCTGGTAAAGGTCATTAGGTGAACTCAAACCTGGGTTGGAGGGTAACAGCATGTAAAGGTTGTTATGTATTTGAATACGAAATTAACACGTATAGCGTAATGGGTTATCTCTCTTGGAAGCGCACATCATACAACAGTTCCGGTAATAAACTTGCACAAGGGTTCAGTCGTGTTTGTGATAGCTCTTGTGTATAAGTTATATTTGTGTTGGAACCCGAGCCTGGGGACACTAAAAAGGCCATGTAGGTGTACTTGTACCTGGGTTAGAGGGTAACACAATGTAAAGATCATGTAGGTGTACTTGTACCGGGGTTAGAGGCTAACAGCATGTAAAGATCATGTAGGTGTACTTGGTTTAAACATATTTTTATTCAAATTAAATTGAATAGGGATCGGTGAACAAGCTGTAAGCTTATCTTAACACCTAGGTGTACTTGTACCGGGGTTAGAGGGTAACAGCATGTAAAGGCCATGTAGGTGTACTTGTACCTGGGTTCGAGGGTAACAGCATGCAAAAGGTCATGTAGGCGTACTTATTACAGACTGGATTATAAAACCTTAAAAGGTCATATATGTGTTTTTAAGGGTTAAAAGATTTACAGATCATATCAGTGTACTTATTAGGGGTTAGAGGATGTCAGTTTTAATAGGCCATACAGATGTATTGCCGTCGTACAAAACAATCTCAGTACTATGACAGTTAGACGTATTTACTAAGTTATCACTTAATATGGAGACACAGTCACCTTTGCACCAAGTTTGCTTTGTAAAACAGCACTGAAGACCACAAGGTGTTTGTTTGTGTTAGAGAGCTTACCGTCTATTTAACAGACGCTGCCTCTGGTTGTCTGACAGCAGACTAAACCTGTTACACTCGTGCAGCAGCTGGCCCAGACACTCGTACCTGCAGGGAAAATGGCAGCCTGATATTACATTCATCAACAGAAACATAGCATTGGTAGGCAGCAGTTTTAAGACTGACATGTAATAAATTTTCCTCTAAACAGTAACATTGAAATATTTTCCACTGAATATTAACACTGAAATCAAAATGATTTTAACAAAAAATTGTCATCACAAATGAGATCATTAACAGAGCCATATATGAATATTGCTACAACTGAAAGCGTGGTCAAAATGCAAAGATCAGATCAAGGTCAAAATGCAAAAGTCAGATCACGGTGAAAATTGCCTCAACCCTCGGTGAGAGAGGGTCTGTGCTTGTATTATCAATCACTGAATTGTCTGATCCAAACACTTATTTATAGATAGTGTGGCATTAAACTTTAACCAAACACAGCGCACATGAAGGTGAAGGTTACACTTACTTCTGCTTGATATCTGTGAGGTCCAGGAGGTGGATGTAGTTGAGGATCATCTCGAATCCCTGCTCCAGTTCTGCGGAGAAATCCCGGCCTGAAGACTGGAGCTGCATCTTGACTAGGATCTGTGGCAACTGTGGGATACACAGGGTGAGTCAGCAAGTCAGTATGTGAGTTATTGAGTCAGTAAGTCTGTATGTGAGTCAGTAAGTCTGTATGTGAGTCAGTAAGTCTGTATGTGAGTCAGTAAGTCAGTGAGTAAGTCAACGAGTCAATTAGTCTGTAAGTCAGTAAGTAAGTCAGTGAGTCAGTAAGTTAAGGGGGCAGTAAGTCAATAAGTCAGTAAGTTAATGCATCAGTAAGTCACTAAATGGGTCAGTAAGTAAGTCAGTAAATGAGTCAGTAAACAAGCAGTTGTCACTAAGGTGACATAATCCCCCACCACAAATTATCAAATCAAACTTAAAGAGTAATGAAAGTGAAGGTCATAGTTTACAACCTCTCTTGATATCTTGCTCTGCTCTGTAGCTGTTCAAACACACAAATATTTTCAAGACTCACTTTGCCCTTGATATGAATGTCGTGGTGTATGAAATATGCAAAAAATAGTAATAGAGAAATTGCTTATCAAAAAAACATTCAAGAGAAGTCTTGAAGTCTATGAAGAAAATCCAGTGAACCATTCTTGAAATATCTTGCTGACAATCTTAACATACTGAAATCTTCAAAGTGTCGCTGTGACCTTGAAAATTAATTGAAGGTCACCAAATTTAACTGGGCCCTGCGCCTTCCCTATATGAAGCCTGGTATCAAATATGATGAAAATCCAGTGAATGGTTCTTGAGGTATCTCGCTGACAAGCTTAAGATGCAGGCTAACATGTTGAAATCTTCAAAATGTTATTGTGACCTTGAAAATTATGTGAAGGTCACCAAAATCGACTGGGCACTGCGCCTTTCCTATATGAAGCTTGGTGTCAAATATGAAGAAAATCCAGTGATTGGTTCTTGAGGTATCTCGCTGACAAGCTTAACATGCAGGTTTACATGCTGAAATCTTCAAAGTGTCGCTGTGACCTAGAAAAGTTCGTGAATTTCACCAAAATTGACTGGGCCCTGTGCCTTCCCTATATGAAGCTTGGTGTCAAACATTAAGAAAATCCAGGGAACGGTTCTTGAGATATCTCGCTGACAAGGGTAAAACGTTAAAGTGACCTTGTGACCTTGAAATGAAGGTCAAGGTCACCAAACCTGACTGGGACCTTTCTTATGCTGTGATGAACCTAGGTACCAAGTATGAAAAGAATCCAGTCAGTGGTTCTTAAGATATTCCAATTCGTATGCGGACGGACGGACTGACGGATGGAGCCTAATACTATATCCCCCCGCTGCCGCTGCGCGTTCAACAAGTCAGAAGGTCTATATAGAACAATTTTTTATGGATAACAACTTCTTTATTTTGTGAGTGCGACGTTTCGATACAGATTCTTGAACCGTTGTCAAGCAAGAGTGATGACAACGGTACAAGAATCTGCATCGAAACGTCGCACTCACGAAATAAAGAAGTTGTTATCCATAAAAAACTTGTTCTATATTGTACGTCTCAACTTCTAAAATGCCACTCAAACAAGTCAGTAAGTCCTTGAGTGAGTCAATACGTCAGATGATGGGTACTACTCACCTTGAGGAATGTAAATGCTGCCCACTTGAGCTCCTCCTGTGTCTCGTGTGAGTCTACAAGACCCATGAAACATGCACGGAATATCTCCTGATGGAGCTGTGGCCATGACAGTTTCTGCAATATCAGCATTAAAATACATCAGCAATAATACAACAAGTCCTAATTCTCAAAAAGGGAGATTCGGAAGTTTCTTAGTTTGTTGCTCTGTGCCATACTTTGTAATATTCCAGATATATGGCGGCGGTCTGCAAATAATCCAGCGATCAACAGCATGAGAATCAATCTACCCAACTGGATATACAATGACGTGTCAACCAAGACAGCGAACCTGACCACCCGATCCTGTTAGTGGTGGTGGAATTGGGTTTAACGTCGTGCTTGAGAATATTTTGCTCATATGACGAAGTGCATGCATGTGTATGTGTATGTGCGGCTGCTTGTACTAGCCCAGACTGAAGCTGGTTTTAATAGTGCCAGCTCACTGAGATACCATGCCGCAGTGAAGCATGAATACCACTCAGACACATAATACTGACTCCGAGCCGACCAGTCCTTGTTGTACCCATTAATGATGTGCGCCAGGCAGGGACCAACAAGTACCATATTTTAACGTCTTTTGGTATGACGCGGTCGGGGATCGAACCCGCGACCTTCCTCACTCCGGGCGCACGCTCTAACCACTACACCACGGAGGCGGTTCGATCCCGTAAGCCGCCTCTTACGACAAGCATGGGTGACTGAAGGTTCATTCTATTGACAGGACACAATTTTGAACATTATGGAGATACACATCATATACATATATGTGTACTATAGGCCTGTGGCCTCTTCAGGACAAAATAAAGATTGATTGATGGAGATCATGAATAATCATGAATAAGGCAGTTACCATGAGTCTTGCAATGACAAGGATCTGGTCAACGAATGGCTGAACTTCATTGGTGGAATTAAGCACCGCCTCCAGTGACACGAGGGCGTTGAGGGTGGGACAGATGGGTAGGTGGGGCACCCGCAACACCGGTTCACTGGACAGGGGAGCTTCCTGCAGCCTGAAACAAATCACCAAAATGGTTTCAAAATGTACTTGCTGTTGTCTTACTGCACTTAATTTGAAATCCCAGATAAATCCTTGCACACTGCATCCTTGGGGAATCAAACCTGGATCTCAGGAGTGACTCTCTAACACCTGACTATTGGGCTATACTGATCACCCTAGCATCAACATGATGCAAAAGCTGAACTCTGAATGTAAAACAATCTATTCACATCACTCAAAACGATTTTACACATAAGCATGTGCTTGTTGAAATAGAGAGCTAGACACAGACAGACTCCAACTTCACATGTGAAGTCAGTTCCAGCCATTCACCGGTTGTTACTTATCTGTTAGGGGTGTCACAATTCACTTCGATTTGATACGATTATCGATTCAATTTTCAATTAATTTCGATTCGATTCACCACAGCTAAGGACAAAGTCAAATTTGTTGTTATATCAGTTTAATTTTGCAAACTTTGAAAAAATTGGCACAATACACAGTTAGAACACTGGCAAGACAAGTTGTCAACAAATGAACCGAACCGAATCATGACACCCCTATTATCTGTGTTGATACATGAATGAGTGAATGTTGTGTAATGTAGACCAGCAATATTTCCGTGATACCATGGCAACCAAGAAGGCAAACCCAGGGATTTACATGGAGTCCTGAATTTGAGGGTCCCTGGGACTCATACTCTTAATTTTCAGGGGTCCTGGACAACAAAATGGGGGTCCCAGACACTTAAATATTACTATTAATACTGTTAATACTGTTATTGTATTGTGTATCATGATCATGACATTGTTACAGTAATTAAATTGCAAATGATACCATAACCCAGCTAGTTGCAAACTCAGTGATAACTTATTGCTACTTGATTGGAAGTTTTACAAAAGGTATTTGGACTTTTCCTGCGTCCCCGTGGATGCGATAATGAATTTCGTTACGTCCATTATCAATTTTGATACGTATAGGACGCAGGAATTCGTGTCCCGTAAATCTCTGCAAACCAGAGACTGATATCATGAGCAACTCTCAAAAGCCTGAGCACTTGAGTGAGTGAGGTTTTATGCCGCTTCTATCAATATTCCAGCAATATTTCTGGGGGGACTCCAGAAATGGGCCTCAGTAAATAATGACAGTCAAGAAGCACAGTTACCAAACCTGTAGCCATCTCATAAACAAGCACGAGGGACTCAGAACCTACTCTACCCTGGTTAGATATCAACAGGAAGCTAACTCTTTGAACATAATCGTGAGAGGTAGAAGGGCGCCACCTGGAGAGTGAAGCGAGTGTTGCGGACACCTTCTCCCTGGTGGAGTTGGGGATGACATTCTGCTGTAGTTGACTCAGTGTGCCTCGCACATTCAGCTCCGTCTGCTCAAACTCCCGGTAGACATCTGCAAGTGGACAACTTCATGCTTCATCATACTTGTGTAATCCAAACAGATAATTTTTGAGTGAGGGAGTGAGTTTAGTTTTACACCGCACTCAGCAATATTCCAGCTATATGGCGGCGGTCTGTAAATAATCGAGTCTGGACCAGACAATCCAATGATCAACAGCAAGAGCATCGATCTGCGTAATTGGGAACCGATGACATGTGTCATACTGTCAACCAAGTCAGCAAGCCTAACCACCCGCCTCTTACGACAAGCATGCGTTACTGAAGGTTCAGTCTAACCCGGACCATCATGGGTGAGATAATTTAGAAAATCATGTAAGTGGTTTTATTTTGTCTATAAAAGAGTTTATAAAGTGAATTAGTGAGTGGAGAGTTTAAAAAGTAAGTGAGTTTTTACAACACTTTTAGCGATATTCCAACAATATGACATTGCACTTGTATGGGTAATCCAACCAAGGTCTTCGGCAAGACAAGTCAGCACCTGAACCACTAAGCTACCCTACCGGCCAAAGACTTTATAAAAAATAATACAAATTTCAAATAACAGGAAACAACACCTAAACACCACTGACCTGTGACCTCTGACCTTGAGATCTGCAACAAAGCTATGACAGTAGACTTTTCCAGGATCTTGAGAACAGCGTTGCTGGCGTTCTCGATAATGACGAGCTCCTGATGCTGCTTGCCTTCTTGCAGCTTCTGCAGACACTTGAGGATGTTGAGGAGCAGCCAGTGCACCAGCAGCAGCAGCGACTTGCACAGCTGTAGCCCACTGTCAGGACCGTGCGTGAAACTCAACTTGGTGGCGAATGTCTCCGCCAGGTCTATGAGAGCCACTATACAGTAAGGTCTGGAGCTGTCATCAAAACTGGAGATATGTTTCAACACAGAACTTGTTGGAATAACCTGAAATAGCAATAGACAACAAGTAGATTAAAGACATGTGGCTGTAATGGCAGGATTATACATAGGAGTATGCAAGTGAATGAATTTAGCTTTACATCACCTTTACCTCAGAAAAGGATTTGCATTGTTTGTTTGAATTGGCACACAGTAACATTCATGCATGTGACTTGACATGTATTCAGTTAAATCAGACAAGTGATATGGAAGCTGGAAGTAAATGTTTTACCTGAGACAATACTGCATGTTTAAGATATGACATCACCAAAGTGTTTGGGCTACTACCAACCAGTGCTTGTTGTAACAAAATATCTGCAAGAGAAAACAGATCAATAGTTAATCTCCTACATCAAAGAATATCATGCAATTGCACATAAATAGGCAATCCACCAAATATAGGCAATATTGAGTAACTAGCTAGTAGCTGCTAAATCTGAACAATATGTTAACGTCAAGTTTTGGCCATATGATAGAGCTGGATTTTATCACGTCATTTAAACTCCACAATAGATCACTTGCCATATCTCTAAATTGTTGTGGTTTTTTTGTGAGCTGTGTCCAACTGGCAGTCCTGACAAGTTTGGTTCAAGTAATTAAAACACCACTTTGGAAATTACCTTGACCTCCTCTGAATGTTAATTATGCAAAACATACTTTGAAACAAGTTACTTTAATTTTTCACCACACCAGGGTCTGTGCGACAATGGCATCACACTAACCTGCCAGATCGCAGGATTCTCCACTACATGATGCAAGTATTCGCTTGAGCTGGACACCCCATTGAATATCTGACCACCTCTCCCTCCAGGCCCGCATCAGGGTCAGTTTCACTTGATTAGTCAAGCTGCTCAGCTCCTTGCGCTGTGTCTCCATCTTGCTGGTCAGCAATCTGAAGTATATCACAATTATCTATAAACTACCATCACGTTACGTCTCTGACTGACCATAGCAATAATAACAACAATTGTCCTTGTAGGAAACTCATGCTGCATGTAGGATCTAATCTGCTTTACCAACTTGAAACTTAGGTATGAAACAAGTTAATATAATCATGCTAATGACCAATGCTTTATCCTGAGACTAAGGGTGCTCTTAGTGATGAGGACAACATTGTTTATCTTGATGCACACGTACAATGTGGTAGTCATTTTCCTATTAAAAACTTCAAACAATTTTGAGGATGGTCTCCAAATATTATTGAATCTTTTTATGACGATTGTGAGAAGGCTAACTTATATCTTAACTAACAACTAAGCCTATGGAAAGTAAACAATGATAAATCATGGGTTGGTTCATGGACAAGGGTGACATACTCAAATGACTAGAACCGACCTGAACCCCACTGACCATAAGGATCTAAAAGGCAGTTTCTTTAGCCAGAAACAATGGTACACTTACAGAATACCGGATACCTATCAACCATATTATTTAGTGTCTATCCCTAAATCTTACCCTAAACATAAACCTTACGCTAACCCTAAACCTTACCCTAACCCTAAACTTTACCCTAACCCAAAGTAAACTCGCGTGCTTTCAAAGATGGTAGAAGGTATCCGGTATGCTGTAAATTGTAATCTTACCGAAACAATTGTTGCTACAAGCTAAGCCTGAAAAACTGTAGTCCAGCATATAACTAGACGATTTTGCACTATACCATTATTACCAAGGTGTGCTCGACCTTGGCTGGAATACGAGTTTATTCATATGAACTAGAAAAACTGCAGTGTTTCGGATAAATTGAGAAAAGGATGAGGCAAACGTCACTAACAGTACGCGTTGTCAAATGTCTCGAGCGAGTATCGATAGTGACAGATTAACCGCTGTTCAGTTATGCATCAAAATTAATATTTGTTGAGAACATCAACTATATTTCTAGGTAGTCTTACGGGAAATCATCAGGTTCGGCGTAATGATAACATATGGGGTATCTAACATTTTAAATGTATTCAAGCACATATTTTAAAAATAGCAATGTCAAGATCTTGCACAAAGGCAGACAAAATCATGATGAGATAAATCACTTGTAATATTTGTATTTATGCAGTCATATAGTGTTCTTCCTTTGGTGATTGCATTGCACACAATTTCTGACATTGCATTAAAACAACTGACGAGTTTGTACAGAATGCCTTACCTTACTGACGCATTTAGAATAAAAATAATTTATTTCGGCGCCATATTGGCTTTGCCGGTACAATCCGAATCGAAGTGGTAAGCATTTTCGACTCGGACAACAGCGAGAACCCAACTCCCAACAGCGACACCTCACGCCAAACAATCTCTACGATCATGCGGACGACCACAAAGGAGGCACGCGATGTACTGAAGCTTACGAAAATCGCCGAAGAACGTCGAAAGTAGCCGACAAAAGCAGACTGGTATCTGTATAAAATTCCGGACAGGTTTATAACCAGTTTATTCCGGGCAAACCACACAAATTCAGCTTTACCATTTATGAAGTAGAATGAGATCAACCAGCCGCTTATTTTCAATGCAATACAATTAAAACATTGTTTAACAATGTGTAATATATTTCACTCATACAACACTATTTAGTTGCACTTAAGTGCCATTTCAACCACAAAATTTCTACTTGGGAGTATAAATTAGATATAACTGTTTTTATGTCATTTTTAAAGGTTTCAATTTAACTCACGTAAACTGTATTGTTAACTCAACCAATATATGTTAGCATACATGTATTTGTGTTTCTTGTCAATTCCAATAAATTTCAGTGAATTTTATGAATAATATTACCTTAGTCATTTACTGCCTCCATAGTCATGTGGATAGATTCACAAGATTCATGTCATGATCTTCAGCAACCATGCTTGTCGAAAGAGGCGACTAACAGGATCGGGTGGTCAGGCTCGCTGACTTGGTTGACACTTGTCATGATCTTCAGTGACCCACGCTTGTCGAAAGAGGCGACTAACAGGATCGGGTGGTCAGGATCGCTGACTTGGTTGACACATGTCATGATCTTCAGTAATCCCACGCTTGTCGCTTTGTTAAAGAGGCTTAATTAACAGGATCCGGGTGGTGGTCAGGCTCATACTTGGTTGACACGTGTCATGATCTTCAGTAACCCACGCTTAGTCTAAAGAGGCTTAACTAACAGGATCAGGTGGTCAGGCTCACAAGTGGTCATGATCTTCAGTCGCTGACTTGGTTGACACATGTCATCATATCCCAATTGCATAGATGGATGCTCATGCTGTTGATCACTGGATTGTCTGGTCCAGTTTTGATTTTTTATAGACCGACCCCATATAGCTGGATCTACTTCTGAGTGGGGCATAAAACTAAACTCACTCACACACTTAATTAATAACGACCAGAGGACACCAGAAATTGGCTTCATACAGTTTACCCATGTGGAGAATCATACCCTGGTCTTCGGCATGCTGAGCAAGAGCTTTAACCACAAGGATACCTCACACTCTTAATGCATGCTACCCGAAAAGCTGTAAACGCTGTGATGATTTCTTCTTTCTGTTGATGTCAGCATTTAGGGCTGGGATGGGTCCAAAGTTTCTACCCGGGTACCCCACCCCAATTACCCTATCCTACCGGGATACCCATTATGTTAATTCCCGGAATCAAATTTGTAAGAAGAAAAAAATTTGCTAAAAGAGGCGTAAATCCTGACACGCGCATGTGAATTAAACTCATCTATGGCAGTAAATGTTGAAACAGGTGGCATATTTCACTTCCGAGCTGGCAACCCTTTTTTACATAACATGCAGGGTAGATCTTGAAGTACACCTTGTGTCCAAAGTCTTACCCACAGTGTATAGGAAGTGCCAGTTTTATTCTGACTGACTGACTGAGTTTAGTTTTATGCCGCTTTTAACAATATTCCAGCAATATCACGGCCGGGGACACCAGAAATGGGCTTCATACATTGTGCCCATGTGGGAATCGAACCTGGGTCTTCGGCATGACAAGCCAACGCTTTAACCACTAGGCTACCCACCGCCCCAGTTTTATGCAGAGAACAGAGAAGGCGTGTATGAAGTGAGTGAGTATGGTTTACGCAGCTTTTAACAATATTCCAACAATATCACAGCGGGGAACACCAGAAATTGGCTTCACACTTTGTGTCCATGTGGGGAATCAAACCCATGTCTTTAGCGTGACGAGCGAACACCTTAACCACTGGTCTACCCCACTGCCCTTATATATATGAAGTGCTGGTATTATTCTGAGAAAAGACTTGTCTGACTGAGTTTGGTTTTATGCCGCTTTTAGCAATATTCCAGCAATATCACGGCGGGGACACCAGAAATGGGCTTCACACATTGTACCCATGTGGGGATTCGAACCCGGGTCTTGGGCGTGACGAGCCAACGCTTTAACCATTAGGCTACCCCTACGCCCCTCTGAGAAAAGAAAAGGTATGTACACAGGTCAAGTTATGTTTTCCATTCTCGATAATGCAGTACTTTGAGGACACTAGAAATAGGCTTCCCACATTGTACCCATATGGGGAATCAAACCCAGACCTTTGGTGTGACAAGGGAACGCTTTAACCCCTAGGCTACCCCACTACTGCTTGAAGAGACAGAAGACAACACTAATCATTTGTTGAGCACATTTTTCCTGGATTCTGCAGAATCAATTGCTTTTCAAACACAAAGTAATAAATCACATATCTTTCAAATATACATTTATTACCAGGTTTTGGATAACCCCATGGTTCATAGAACCTGAGAGCCAGTTATTGTCTTCAAAATAATTTTACAGGAAACAGGTGATTGTTGAACAAATAACATGTGATTGATCTGGGGAATAACATCAATATTTTGATGACTCATTCACTCTTCGTACAACTAAACGCAACCACTCATTCACACAATGCCTAGACCTCATGCAACAAAGCTGCCATGTTGCCCATAGGGTTGAATAATCGTGTGGCAACTTTTCGATATTTGTACATGTGGCATTTCAGCTCTTTATGAGGTCACTTCACTGTTGAAATAAATACAATATAATATCATCCATTGTTCATGACCTGACAGAGTGATTACTTTGAGTCTACTCAATGAGTCTACATTAGCGTAGTCTATCTGTAGAACATGTTGTATTCAAAATAACACTTCTCAGCAAAGTACAAATTTTTGTGCATTTTGAGTCCCATCCAGGATTCCAACCAACACTCGCAGTGAGGGACCTAATATCACAATACACAGTCAGCAACTCAGCTTTCACAAAAATGGAAGTCTTACAACTTGCAGAGATGCCAACCACAAAGTGTTCCTAATAGTAGTTTCAAGGATCAACATTAGTAGTTTGACCATGAAATTAGTAGTCGACTAAATAATTAAAATCATGATGGATTCTGAGAAAGATAATATGACACTTATTAAAGTGAAGCTTTAATCTCACATACCTCTAACAGCAGATTTCCAAATTATCAGCATTACATTTCTTCTTGTCCTCTCTTTTAGGCGAAAATGTATTTAATTTATTTAATTTAGTTTGAGGCTAAAATCATAGAGTTTGGCATCTCTGACCTTGGTAGGTTTCGTGTAACCTTCTGACAGGTCAAACTGGCGCGGTACAACCCCCAAAAGTATTAGAATTTATCCGTAGGTTTGTCATTTTATATATTTTTAATATTTTCTCTCTTAAAATGTCAGATGTCACATCTACCAGAACTCTGTGGCAGTCTGCTCATACAACAAACATGTGATCCTTAGAAGATCAGAACATATCCTTTGTCAAAGCACAATTAGACAACTTCAAATAATCATTTTGTTGCTGTTTTTATAATAATTCCTGCTTCTGATTCATACAGTGGGATATCTTATCTAATTTTCATACCTCAATGACCCTTTTCCCCCTGCCCTCCCCCCCCACCACAAACACACACCAAACAAAAACCCTAAAACATACACAGGCTATCCTTAATGGATATAAATAAACTATATTTTTGTTGTCATATGTTCATGTTATGTAACAATGTGATATTACTGAAAATATAGAACAACCAATCAGACAGTTGTTTGTGGTCGGAGTAACCAATCATATTGCTCCATATGACGGTGTCCTTCTATTGTTTTTTCTTCACCATTGTCTTCTCATTAACACACAGGAAATGTAAAACTTCACTCAACGTGAAATCCTCAAAGTACAGTACTTTTGAAATGAAACTCGAACACTTGAGATAAAAAATTGAAATCCTGTCCAACTGGAGATGATAAGCACCAAGTGTATTGCTGAGAATGTTTTCCTTCAGAAACGACCATAGTTCCACACACGTCCAGTGTCACCGGAACAGACTGTTGGCACGGACTTTCTTGCTGAGGACTGGCGGGCGATTCGTAGACATCCAGCCTGGAACCTTCCTCTTGAAGTTCTTCTGGGAGCTGCCCTGGGTCTGTGGAGACGGCACTGACTGAGACTTCACCAGCTTTGGCTGAAACATCAGGAAAATTTATACAAACCTCTAGAGGTTATGAATTCTTTGAAGAAAGTCCTCCTTGGGGTACATATAAGCATTAAAAATGTAATTTTTGGAGTAAAATTGATATTTTATACTTATCCTGACTCATGCTCTTTTTGCTTGTCTTCTTCTTCTTGCGAACATAGTGGAACACTTGTATCTCCCTAATTGAAGCTCCCTTCAATTTAAAATCACTAATTAGTATTCACCACGAGTTACCTCCTTTTCACAAGCGCGGGAACGAGGGCGCCACCCTCACCCATGTGCCTCACTCTCTCCTCATATACTGAGCCCAACATTTGAATTTACAGGGAAATCCAAAGTGTTATTTGGGGAGGATGGGAGGGCTGACCTCATGAGTCAGGATAAGTATAAAATATCAATTACTCTCAAAAATTACATATTTTCCTTATCCTGACTCATGCTCTCTTTTGCTTGTAGCATCCCACTGAACGGAGGTGGGAATATCTAATACTTTGGATTTTTAATAATTAGTGATTTGAACTGTAATGATTGTAATAACCCTATGGGAACTTCATAAAGGCACTGAACTGATGAATTCCTGCTGCTAACTTATCAGCTGCCATATAAAAGGTTATTATCATGTACTTATTATGATAAAGTATATATAACATTAATACAATGCTTAAGACTAATAGACTTAAGCTTGTTAATATGCTAGTATAAACTCCTTAGAGTTTGTTAGCTAAAATACTTTAAGATATAACATAGTACTAAGCTTAAGATATGATTAAACTTAAGCTAATTATATAATAGCAAACTCTTTAGAGTTTGTTAGTTAATATACTTATATGATATAGATATAATGCTGAGCTTAAGATATGAATAAGCTTTAGCTACATATATAATAGCAAAAACTCTGTAGAGTTTGTTAGCTAATATATTTTTATAATATGAGTATAGTACTGTGCTTAAGCTATAATTAACTTAAGCTACATATATAATAGCCAAACTCTGTAGAGTTTGTTAGCTAATATATTTTTATAATATGAGTATAGTACTGTGCTAAGCTTGCATAATTAACTTAAGCTACATATATAATAGCCAAACTCTGTAGAGTTTGTTAGCTAATATATATTTATAATATGAGTATAGTACTGAGCTTAAGATATAATTAACTTAAGCTACATATATATAGCAAAACTCTGTAGGGTTTTGTTAGCTAATATATTTTTACAATATGAGTATAGTAGTGTGCTTAAGATATAATTAACTTAAGCTACATATATAATAGCAAAACTCCGTAGAGTTTGTTAGGCTAATATATTTTACAATATGAGTATAGTAGTGTGCTTAAGATATAATGAACTTAAGCTACATATATAATAGCAAAACTCGAGAGTTTGTTAGCTAATATATTTTACAATATGAGTATAGTATTGTGCTTAAGATATTATTAACTTAAGCTCACATATATATAGCCAAAAACTCTGTAGAGTTTATTAGCTAATATGTTTATAGTGTAACCATAGTACTAAGCTTAAGATAAGATTAGACTTAAGCTAAAAGTATATAGCAAAATAAACTCCTTAGAGTTTATTAACTAATATACTTTTATGTTAAAACATAGTACTGAGCTTAAGTTATGATGAAACTTAAGCTATATATATAATAACAAAACTCCATTAGAGTTTTGTTAGCTAATACCTTTATAATGTAAACATACTGCTTAAGATATGATGAAACTTAAGCTAATTGTATAATATGAAAACAACCCTTTAGAGTTTGTTAGCTATGATATAAACCTAGTATTGAGCTTATGAAGGAAAACTTAAGCTACATATATAATAGCAAGAACTCCGTAGAGTTTGTTAGCTAATACATGTTATAATGTAACCATAAAGCTTAAAATATGATGAAACTTAAGCTTAAATATATAATAGCAAAACCCTCTTTTAGAGTTTTGATTAGCTAATATACCTATATGATATAAACATAGTACTGCTTTTAAGATATGAATAAGCTTTAAGTTACATATATATAATAGCTAAAACTCTGTAGAGTTTGTTAGCTAATACATGTTATAATATAACCATATTGCTTAGAAATATGATGATACTTATAGCAAAAAAACTCTTTAGAGTTTGTTAGCTAATCTACTTATATGATATAAACATAGTACTAAGCTTAAGATATGAATAAGCTTAAGCTACCTATATAATAGCAAAACTCCTTAGAGTTTGTTAGCCAATATATTTTAATAATATGAGTATAGTACTATGCTTAAGGTATAATTAGCTTAAGTTACCTATATAATAGTAAAACTCCGTAGAGTTTGTTAGCTTAATTAACTTAAGCTATGTATAAATAGCCAAAAACTCTGTAGAGTTTGTTAGCTAATGCATTTATCATGTAACCATAGTATTACTTTTAAGATATGAATAACTTAAGGTAAATATATATAATAACAAACTCTGTAGAGTTGTTAACTTATATATTGTATGATGTAATAATCATAGTACTGTGATGATAAAAGGAACTTAAGTAAATTATACATAGCATGAAGCTATTTAGTATTGTTATAAGATAAGTAAAAATCTGTTAGATTGACTTATCTTCTCCGAGGAACTGTCAGCTGTTGTGCGAGGACCATGGGATCAATTGGTGTATACCTGAGACGTCCTCGGTGGTGATATCTCTCAGATAATGGTTTGCAACCACCATATCGTGAGTTCAGAAATAACCCTCCATTATTTCAATCACATTTGTGTAGAACAATTGTAGAAGTTAAGCTATAATATCATGAGTATTAAGCTCATGGAGGGTCGAAAATAGGTCCATCCCATATGCACGTAGTATGACAGTTCTGATCCAAATGGAGATATAGTACATGAGACTTCACTCTGCGTAAGTTGATGATAGAGGAAATAATCTGTTGCATTTTTTCCTCCTGTTTGGTTTGGTGGAGATAAATTTACAGTGCTCTTGCTGGCCAACTTGATAGAATCATCGTATCATGGGGTCCAAGTATGTCATCCAGGCGTGTTCATAAACCTCACCTGTGAGGTGTTGGAGCACTATATTCATATCCCAGGTTGAAGTGAAATTTCCGCTTTATTCTCCAAACAGAAGTTTAGTAGGTTTACTAACCATCTAGTTGTGTTAGTCGCTGATGAAATTCAGCTGTAGTCTGAAACGCTGTGGATTTAGATCCACTTGTATCTTCGTCTAGGTAATTAGCTACGAAGTCCTTGACGATGTAGGTGCACAACCAGGTGTGTCTGTCCTCGTTGAACTTTATGTAAACGCCGCCTGACTGCCCGATCCTCGTCTTAACTTGACAGGGGAGGTCTCTACCTTGAAGAAAGGCAGTCTAATCATGAATGTTCAGGTTAACTGGACTGTAATGAGGCTTGCTTTCGTTCACTGATATATAGTTGTCACTTGTACGTAAGTCTTGAACTGTGAATTGAGATCGACCTCTGTGTAGGTCGTTGTCCCTCCGCGTCCAATCAGAACAAGGCATTTTGATTCTGTATAATACCAGCTGTGATGTCACCGGTGTAGCGGAAAACCCCACCTTGAATAAATTCTTGTCGTCGTTGATATTAGCATAAACGTCGGTCTTCACCGTAGTTTCCGGTTATCCGAGTGACCACGCGTGTTTTGAGGGTTAATGGTAATCGCTAGCGAAAACCTCCGGCGAAATATCTCGCTCTGTAATTTTATGCTGGGTAGGTTATTTTCCTGGTTGTCGTGAAAGTAATTTCAGTTTTGAATATAATTCGACTTCCTTATATATAAGGGTATAAACAACTTGCAAGTTGTGAGCTTGTAGACTGTATACATGAATGTATCGTCATAATTGTAGAATTAACGTTGAACTTGTTGTACATATTTCTTCTCAGAAACTTTGACGATTAAGAGTTATACTCGCTGTAACAAGGCTGCTGTTCAATTTCGATATTGAATTGTCTGCAGATATGCGTAATGGTCACGCATGTAGATAATCGTATCGTCGTCCGGGATTGTATATTAGCAATTTATACGGAATAGTTGATTTCTGTGAAGATCTATGAAATGTCGCTGACTATTAATACAGCGACGTTCTGTGTTGTAAATAGCCTGAGCAATTATCTTCGCGTGGAGGCTTATAGGCGGCATCTGGCATACAGTTGATAATCAACTTATGCGCGACGTCTTGAACGGACTGACGAAAGCAGCTATATATGACGAAAGTGGCTAGTATATGGAAACCTTTGAGGAGACTTCCTCGGTGAACGCCGGAGACTTGAAGTTCTCGAAGTATCCCTTCTAGATCTTCTGGGTGAAGTAGACTTGGAGCCACTTAGCCTTAGCGACCATCGCGAAGGTGTCGAAGTCAAAGCCCGATTAGTATATATATATATATATATAAATATATATATGAGCTTGCCGTGAACAGCCTCTGTGTTTAACAGGATGTGGGATCGCGGCGCTTGCCTAAGTAGGGTCGCATGGATCATCTTATCATATTCAGAAGTAGTGTTCACGAAGTCTGGTGATAAGTGTCTAATTGATCGTTCTAGATCTATTTAGGCCAGCGAACATACGTCTCGTCATGGATTCAACAGAACCAATATCGATTGTAGTTCTTATACTTGATATCGATGATCAACTTGTCTATGGGTTGATCTTCTAGGAGACTTGTGAGGGGAACGTTGATAGTTTCAGCGAAGCTCTTGTATAGTCCCTCGATGTCCTTCTAGATGATGATGATCTGGATTCAGGTGTCGCCGGCGCATGCCTTAGCGAAGCTTCCTCCTCGTCGGTCGGGGAACGACGATATGACCTTCGCGAAGGCTTCCGTGATGTCTGATGGTCGAGTCCACATCTAGGGATGAAACCGCATAAGGTGATGATCTATCCTGCCTTCGAAGTCCTTCAGCGAAGGCTGTACATCTAGGTTCTTTCGCCCAGCGAAGGCTGTACATCTAGGTCCTTTCCGCCGAAGGCCTTCGCCGAAAGGCTGTACATCTAGGTCGCCGTCAAGGTGGTCCGTGACTTCCTTCGCGAAGGTGACATCGTCCTGGCTGCTCACGTTGACGGGGTGCCTCTGGGTGCTGTCGTTGGAGCCTTCGGCTTCGGACCCTGCTACCGCGAGATATAGTGGTCCTCCATGATGTTCATAATTTGTCGCATCATGTCTTCTGGGATGGTCTGCGGCGAGGTCGCCGGTGCTTTATCTGGCGGTGTTAATGGAGGGTCCACCGAAAAATCGTCCGACATCAGTGTAGAGGCATCAGGCTGCATGGTGATCTCTGCTGATGTCGTTGTAGCTGTCACCGGTCGTTTCTTGTGGCGTCGTCGGGGATGATGATCAGCTGATCATCGTAGAGGTCCAGGTCATCGGCTGGAACAATCTCGGTGAGAAAGTCCTAGTAGACTTCGTTGATTTTCCCTCAGAGGTCGGCGCTGCCCTGGGTGTGCGGCGTCGTCGTTGAGTGTTGGTAATGGGACCCTCAGGGCGATCATCGCCATATCTGCGTTGGTACATCAGGCTGCATGCTGATCTGAGCCGACATCGGTCAATCTTTGATGTACTGGTAGAAAAACCCTCTAGTCTTCTGCTGCGGCGATGGGATGTCTGGGGAAGCAGGATGCTTCTTGGAGATGGCCGGACTCGTCCACACCTCTCCACCACTCTAGCGGAACACCACCACGGGAGGAGTCGGCCAAACAGCAGTAGACTGGCGAGGGTTCGGTGTATCAGTCATACTAGAGTCTGCATCTGAACGCGACCTATCTGCTGCCAAGCGTGCCAAGCGCGAAAGTAAATATTAATAAAAGGTAGAATTGGATAAATTAGTACCGCCAACTGCAATGTGAACATAATAAACATGGCGCCGTACATCATATTAAAAGCGGATCAGCAGCAGCATAAAAGCGTAATCTGCAATAGTACAGAATTTTCATCAGCGTAATCCACTGAAACAAATACGGCGTCCCGTGAATAAACTGTAGAAAAGCGACTAAATATCAATATATAATCGTTGAAGGATACTAGCTAAACCTCTATAGATGTCTATCACGAGGTAACTAACTAAATATATTTCAAAGGATATAGTGTGTCGGGAGACACAGGAGCTCTCACGTCCAGCTCACTGGGCGAAGAAGGAGAGAGTGAGGCACATGGGTAGAGGTGGCGCCCTCGTTCCCGGGCTTGTGAAAAGGAGGTAACTCGTGGTGAATACTAATTAGTGATTTTAAATTGAAGGGAGCTTCAATTAGGGAGATACAAGTGTTCCACTATGTTCGCAAGAAGAAGAAGACAAGCAAAAAGAGCATGAGTCAGGATAAGGAAAAATTGTCCATTTTAAATCCTACGACAGTTGTAACTATATTTTCCAATAAAATATTTACAAAACACAAAAACTCGTTTTGTCTTGTGAGACCACCGCTACAGGGCCCCACCGGACCCCCTACAGCCAAGAGCAGGTAACTCTCGCCATCTACCTTGTAGATCACTTTTCATGCTGTCGTTCTGTTGATTAGATGTGTGTCAACATCCCAAACAAGACCAACAGCAATGTGTGAGCATGTGTGTTTGCAGGTACTGCTCTTACAGCCCTCTGAGGTGGCAAGCAACACCTGTCCCACTCAGACAATGAATACTCTGAGCCAACAAATCCTTGTTTTATCCCTCTTTATCCATGCAGGAATAAACATAGTACCATCTTTTAATCTCTTCTGGCATAATGCTGCCTTGGTATCAAACCACTGAGCTTCTCACTCAGACAAAACATACTGACTGAGCAAACAAGACCAGTTGTCCAGGCAAGGTAACATGAAGTACCATTTTTAATGCATTTTTTATGACACTGAGTATAGAACCAGAGAGCTGTTCTCCCTGCAAATGCTCTGTGTACTAGGGTGACCACCTCCATGGTGTAGTGGTTAGAGTGTCCGCCTGGAGAGCGGAAAGTCGCGGGTTCGATCCCCGACCACGTCATACCAAAAGACGTTTAACTATGGTACTTGTTGGTCCCTGCTTGGCGTTCGGTATTAATGGGTACATCAAGGACTGGTCGGCTCGGAGTCAGTATAATGTGTCTGAGTGGGGTTTTCATGCTTCACTGCGGCATGGTATCTCAGTGGGCTAGCACTATAAAACCAGCTTAAGTCTGGGCTAGTACAAGCAGCCGCACATACACATACACACGCATGCACATCGTCATATGAGCGAAATATTCTCAAGCACGACGTTAAACCCAATTTCACCTCATCATCTATGTACTAGGGGTGGGTATTGCTGAGAATTTTCATACTGCGATATATTGTGATGCCAAAGTATATATTGCGATATGTATTGAAATATATTGCAAGATTTTTTTTTCACTGGTCATCAATGAGTAAATATTTAAAACATTCAGATACAAAACATTGCAAAACACTTGAACAAAAATTAAGAACACAACTTCAAACCGAACTTAACCTGACTTCCGGTGTGAAAAACGGAAATATCTGAAGATTTCCGAGTGTTTCGAAGTTTTCCGTAAGCATTTCGAAATACCGGTTTTCGATCAGCGTATCGCAATACGCATCGATTTCATGTCTGAACAGGTAAATATCGGTAAACCGGTTATATCGCGCAGCCCTTCTATGTACAGAGGTGGTTAAATGTGTGAGTGTGTGCGACAGAAGAAATGTTGTGTATAAAAGGGAAATATAATACTCTAACTCATTAATAAAGTGTGGATATCGAATCCCAAGAACTCTATGACATCTACTGGCATAAAAGAGAGTGAAGTGAATGTACTTTAACTTACTAGTATTTAATACAGTCATATCACTTTGTGTCAGTTGATAATAGACAGTGATGCATTTCTTATAACGTTCACCATTTTGACCACTCTGGCAAATATAATCAGGATCAATTCGTATTTAAGCAGTCAGTGAAAGGTTTCTGGTAGCTTTCAGGGATGCGACATTAAACATTGCATTGCCTCAAATCACACAGCCTCCCATGCCTCTCTCCTAATGAGTTATATCATCAAAGAATACTAGCCCAGACTGAAGCTGGTTTTATAGTGCTAGCCCACTGAGATACCATGCCGCAGTGAAGCATGAACACTCCACTAAGACAAATTATACCGACTCCGAGCCGACCAGTCCTTGTTGTACCCATTAATGCCGAGCACCAAGCAGGGACCAACAAGTACCATATTTTAACGTCTTTTGGTATGACGCGGCCGGGGATCGAACCCGCGACCTTCCACTCTCCAGGCGGACGGTCTAACCACTACACCATGGAGGCGGTCTCTGTAAATACTCGAGTCTGGATCAGACAATCTAGTGATCAAGAGCATGAGCATCGACCTTCGTAATTGGGATACAATGACATGTGACAACCAAGTCATCTTACAACAAGCATGGGTTGCTGAAGGCCACTTCTAAACTGGATCTCACGAGTTGTTAGATGATCTACTGTGGGATCAATGATTCAGAAGATGTAATTCATTTGCATACGTCAGAAGAAACTTACTCTGCTGCCCGGTGTCGTGGCCTGTGATGATGGCGGCGGTGATGTGATGCTGTCTTTACCAGCAAGAAGAACCAGGTCACCATGTGCGTTGACTTCCTGTCCGCACTGCTGGACGAGGATCGCGATGACGACCTTGATGTGATTATACTCTACAGCCACAGGAAGCTGGTCCTTGATCTTAGTCAGACTTCCGATACCTATAACATAATGACCTATCAGTCACATCAAAAGTCCATCCTTCGGGGTACCCATTATACAACTTATTATTATACAATTATCATTGAACACTGAATCCCCCATTCACTATGTATTACATATTAAACTTGCCAACATCTATGTTACACAGCCTACATCTGATGTCATCAATCACATCATAAATCCATCCTTCCGGGTACCCATTTTACAACTTATTATTATACAGTTATCATTGAACACTGAATCCCCCCATTCACTATGTATTACATGTCAAACTTGCCAACAACAATGTTACACAGCCTACATCTATGTTACACAGCCTACATCTGATGTCATCAAACACTCCACAAATCCATCCTTCCGGGGTACCCATTATACAATTATATTATTGTACAGTTATAAGAGACCGTTCATAATTTATGGCTAGGGGGTGTGATGATGATTTTTATGGAGAAGCATGTACAATGTGACTGACCCCCCCTAAAATTTATGTACAAAGTAAGTGACCCCCCTCCCCCTTCAGATATTTTTCACGCATAATTTTCAAATATTTTTATGTACAAAATTGATGACCCCCCATAGTGCATGTGTACAAAATTGATTACCCCCCCACCTCCCCAGAAGAAATAGGGGGACCCCCCTTAAAATCATCTTCACGCCCCCTAGCCATAAATTATGAACGGTCCCTAATTGAACACTGAATCCCCCCATTCACTATTCATTACATATCAAACTTGCCAACATCTATGTTACACAGCCTACAACTTGGTGTCAGCAATCACATCATAAATCCATCCTTCCGGGGTACCCATTATACAACTTATTATTATACAGTTATCATTGAACACTTAATTCCCCATTCACTATTAATTACATATCAAACTTGCCAACATCTGCCTACAACTTGGCATCATCAATCACTCCACAAACTAGTCCTTCCGGGTACCCATTCTACAGACACATAAACTGAGTCAGTGAGGGAAGAGTTTGAACAATAATTCTGTTGTATCATGGGAGGCAAGAAAGATGAAAGATGTTCAACTTTTCAAAATTGTCCCCAGATGTGGCGGCTGCTGGTCTCACCAGGCTACAGAGACTTACAGGAGTTTACTGGCGGTCTCCTGATGGCGTCGGTGATCTTGTTCAGGAGCTGAGGAGCCAGTCCCAGTCTCTTTACATCCACCGACAGCCCGACCTTGAGGGCTTCACACAGATGGGTGACAATGGTTGACGTCTTGAACCCACGGAGCGAAGCTATGTCCTCCTGTAAGTAGAGCAGACCTCCAGTCAGTCATGAACATAAATAGATTAAACCTATTAACTGTTGCTAATTTATGTAGATTAAACCTATTGTCTGTCATGGATTCAAACAGAGTAAACCTGTGGCCAGGTCACAACGACACACAATCAGCCAGGTCACAACGACACACAATCAGCCAGGTCACAACGACACACAATCAGCCAGGTCACAATGACACACAATCAGCCAGGTCACAACGACACACAATCAGCCAGGTCACAATGACACACAATCAGCTAGGTCAACATAACATGCGTTCAGCCATGTCACATGCTGATGCTACCCAATACTTAATAATACACTGTCAGGTAACAGGAAAAGACACTCACAAGAGTTTTCGATTGCTTCTCAAACATGATGTATGATGTCCGCTGTGTGTCTGTCAACTGCATCAGCTCAGCATGGAATTCACCGTCTCCCTGAAACAAACTCAGTTGATTATCACCATATGATAAATCTACAAGCCAGGGCCTAGATTTTCGAAGCTCTCTTAGCACTAAGATAGTCGTAACTTAATGTTAATGTAGGGCACTTACGACTATCTTAGCGCTAAGAGAGCTTCGAAAATCTAGGCACAGGACTTATCAACCATACATATTATTTCTTGACCACTTGGTGTCATCAGCCACATCACAAACCCATCCTTCCGGGTACCGATTGTACAGCTGGGCATACTGAGCAAGTCAATAGCTTAAACAGTAATTCTGGGTTGTTAGCAAAACACTGGACAGAAAATAAGCAGGGTAGAATGTAAGTGTTAGCCAGTAGTTATCCAGGTATTAAGACTCTTACAAGGTTTCTGGTACATTGTTTTAATAATGTTGGGAAAGTAAGAGATTCTGATGTTTTTATGTAAAACCAGGGATAATCTACAACATTATATAGTCTCCCTGGTAAAACGCATGTAACTTCTTATCATATTTATGAATGTATTTTGGGCCAGTGGCCTATTACTGAATAAAATGTCTGTCTGTCTGTCTGTCTGTTTTAATACCACACTCAGCAACATTCCAGCTATATGACGACAGTGTGTAAATAATTTAGACTGGATCGAAAAATCCAGTGATCAACAGCATGAGCATCGACCTACGCAGTTGGGATACGATGACGTGTCAACAAAGTCGGCAAGCCTGACTACCCGATCCCATTAGTCGCCTCTTCTGACAAGCCTATGGTTGCTGAAGACCACGCCAAGGAAGCCAACACACCTAGAGAAGGGAGCATTCATGGAAGTTAGGATCACACCACCATCACCATGTCTCAGCCAAGTCAACGAACCTGACCATGATCACCATAGTTTTCACATCCACCACATTGAAACACCTGCTCCTTCAGTCACCTCTCCTGGTGCACGTGTCCCACATCATGGTATCTGAGTATGTGACAGACCACCCCCGTGGTGTAGTGGTTAGAGCGTCCGCCCGGAGAGCGGAAGGTCGCGGGTTCGATCCCCGACCGCGTCATACAAAAAGACGTTAAAATATGGTACTTGTTGGTCCCTGCCTGGCGTTCAGCATTAATGGGTACAACAAGGACTGGTCGGCTCGGAGTCAGTATAATGTGTCTGAGTGGGGTATTCATGCTTCACTGCGGCATGGCATCTCAGTGGGCTAGCACTATAAAACCAGCTTAAGTCTGGCCTAGTACAAGCAGCGGCACATACACATACACACGCATGCACTTCGTCATATGAGCGAAATATTCTCAAGCACGACGTTAAACCCAATTTCACCTCACCTCACCCGAGTATGTGACAGGCATCATCACCAACCTTGTCTATCGTGACAGATGGGAAGTCATCCAGCTTGAGGTTGTTGTCCTCACAGAAGGTGGTGATGATCTTGATGAACGTGTCTCCAAACCTCTGGACCTTCGCTTCCGGGAAGTCCTCAATCTTCAACATGCTCGGCTTGCTTCCTGGTCTAGACACAAAAAGAGAAGACAATCAACTGAATGGGAAATCATATAATTAATCAGTTTGTCAAATACCTATTCATTGTACATTTTGCTAACTTATGAAAAGTGAGATTTGCCCTCAGGAGTCAAAACAAAGATGCTCTCTTCAGAATGTTTTGTCAATAAGCACTTGCTGCAGATGGTTGACTGTTTCCAGGAAGGATACTCCATCTTGTCAGAGAAGCTCGATAAACATTCCAGGACAGAGTATCAGTAACATGAAGATGTCTAAATGAGACCCTCACTTAATGGACCTTTGCCAGGGCCTAGATTTTCGAAGCTCTCTTAGCGCTAAGATAGTCATAAGTGCCATACATTAACATTAACTTACGACTATCTTAGCGTTAAGATAGCTTTGAAAATCTAGGCCCTGGCAAAGGTCCATTAAGTGAGTTAATAAAGACCTTGTTCCTGGCTGAAAATGACAATGACTGCTCACCTGATCTTGGCAAGGTCGATGAGCACCTTGTTGCTGGCTATACTGTGAGGGGTAAAGCCAGTATCCTGTGCCACTTCATTACGTCTCTTCATCAGCAGGATGTACAACTCATTCTGTAAACATAACCGTCTCAGTTTACCACGTACAAACATGGAGGACATGGTATGTCAGCAGAAGGAAGGCACCACACATGGAGTGAGTGAGTGTAGTGGGTGGGTGTAGTAGGTGGGTGTAGTTAGTGAATGAGTGAGTGAGTGAGTGTAGTGGGTGGGTGTAGGGTGTGGGTGTAGTTAGTGGGTGTAGTTAGTGGGTGAGTGAGTGAGAGTGAGTGAGTGAGTGAGTGAGTGAGTGAGTGAGTGAGTGAGTGAGTGAGTGAGTGAGTGAGTGAGCGAGTGAGAGGAATTCTTTAGGTTTGACTTAATATCCAAAACAATGACAATAACATCAGCTTTGCCTGTTTGTTTGCTGTTTAAAATATTCAAATTTTGCTGTGTAAGATGCAAGAGGAGAATGGAAAAGAAATACACCAGCTATTACAAATGCAGAGACAATACAAAAGTTTTAGTTTGTATCAACAATTGTAAACTTAATAGTGTCAGAATTCATAATCTCAGCACTTATTTACACAGTATATGTCAGTTCTAAGCGAGGACCCCATCAGAATATAATCAGTGATGAGACAACTGTATACCTGTAGACGAGCTGTACGTTCGCACACCGGTGCTGGTTTCGGAGTTGGCTCTGGCATGCGGACAGCAGTACTGGTTGACGCGGGAGGACGATAAGGAATGCTGGGAGGACGGGCATCAGATCTGCATAAAATAAAAAAAACACTTGAAGAATACAATAAACCTTTTTAAACTTATTCACAGTGAATTTCCTTTTTGCAGTTATTGGATGATAGCCTACAAATGATAATGTGTTCGGGCCAGAATGACAAAGTTGGGGTCTGACCACCAAATCCAGATGGAAAGCCTTTTACGACCATTGTAACTGACTGGGGACCTATTCTAAAACTGACAGAGTATTCTTCTCCCTTGAATGCGACATGACGTCACACACACAATTTAACCTTAGCTTAAAGAGGTACACTCGCGTGACCTTGATTAGTTGATATAAGGGAAATGCGGCGAATGAAACGTTTGTTTACGGAAGCCATTTGCAATCATCACCCATTCATGCGCACACAAAATGTGACGTCACCTTGTTTCGTGGATAACGTAGCGGGTACTTTATACCACTATGTACGACAGTCCATTGCAGTAAGTATTGACACAAGGAAAGCAGACGACGAGATGTGAGATGCTAATGGTATCTTTGTTACTTTACATTTTGTAAAAATATTATTTGGTATTGGTGGTATTAGTGATCTTAGACTATTTATCTCAGTGTTGGACAAGTAGATTTAGTGTACGTACACGTAATCCAGAGATTCAGAACATATTTGTCAGCGAGGCATGGCATTGTGTGTACATCAAATGTACCGCTTCATGACGTCATACGAGACTTAATTTACGAGATAGCATGATCATTATCCTGATCCACGAATCAAGGTTACACACGGTTAGGTTACGGTTCCATAGTGATTTCTCGAAAAGCCAACCTCCCACCGAAAAACCCATTTCACCTCAACTAAACAGGGGTGGAAATAACCCATTTTTTCTGTCGGGCAAGCAAATTTGTATATAACACTGTACCGGTGTCCAGTTGACTTTCCAATGTTAATAATGTTGTTTATTCAAAAAAATCAACAAGAAAACGGTCGGTATAGTGGGAAAATGATCAGGGCAAGTGATTTTACATGTGCCACTGCACCGGAGTACACTAGCAATTATAAAGTTATTTCCACCCCTGCTAAACACTTGACATTGCAGCACCCATCTCCCTTGAACGTGATGTGAACCCTGTTTCATCTAAACTCAAGACCCTACCTGACAGTGATGGAGATAGACTTGACTCTCTCCTCATTCAGCATGTCCTGCAAGGGCATGACATTGAGTGTGTTGCTCGGTGACGTTCGGTACTTCTGTAGCCACTCTCGACCCTGGCGGGATACACTGACCGTGGACCCGAATCCATGTTCCACTGCCTTCTCTGTCAGGTAGCCCTCGAAGAGCAGGCACTTCCCTACAACATGGCACATCATCATGGCCATCAATACTAGGGTCGTCACAAAATATCAATACAGTACTTTCAGTCCATCATTGCTGTTTAATTCTTTATACAAAGTGTGCAGTGGATGTCAGTTATCCAAAGGATATGTCAGGGTAGAGACTGCGATCTGGTAGAATCAGAGATTCTACCAGTAGAGATTGCGATCGGAGTCTCTACCAGTAGAGACTGCGATCGGAGTCTCTACTGGTAGAATCCGATCCTACTAGTAGAGATTGCAATCGTAGTCTCTACTGGTAGAGACTACGATTATATGGAATAACCTATGCAAGCAAGTGCAAGCTTATGCAAGCAAGTATAATAAGTGGGGATAATGTTTTCCTATTATTTGCCAGTTATAATTGAACTTATTTATTGTTATCTTGTTAACTTTATTTGTTAAGTCTGTTTTGGAGTAAGGTATTTTGTTTTTGTTTTTTTGAGTGGAGTCCAAATTTGGCAGCTTGGTCTCATGATGTAAAACAGTGTTACAAAACATTTTTATTTTTTATTTTGATATTGTTTACAGTGAGGTGTTAAATGTTTGTTATCAAAGTCTCAGTTAAAAGTAGGAAGTTCATTCAGATGTATTTCAAAACTTATGATCAGTAATTGCTATAAAACACTGCTTTCCAAAGAGGTGGGGAAATGAAAAGCTTGCGTCATTGTTGAGGCAATGCTCGACCTGGGCTGTTAGTTCACATATCTTTACTTTAGTTTAAGTTTGAGTACATATTGTAATTTATTGTTGTTTAAAACTACTAAGTTTAATGTTTGCCAGTTAACTGCTCAGTGCTGATTAAATACCTGACCTGCCTTACTTGGACCTGTTGTTATTAAACAATAACAGTTGATCTCTTGATGAAAGAAGTTGACTCCCAAAAACATGTCCATGACTCCCTCTCATGACACCAGGGGAGTCATGATGACTCCTAAATTTTTATGCCTAGGGCAAACACTGATTATGCAATTGATCTTGCTTGTAATCAGTTTTGTAATATATGTATATATTGTAATATGATCTCTCGAGTTTCTACCAGTTGAAGACGATTGCAGCCTCTACTAGTAGGATCGGAGTTTCTACCAGTTGAATTGGAAAATGTACTGGTAGAATCTCCGACAGATACATGAAATTTTATACCTGTATACTGATGGGACACTGGGTGCAATGGGGTAGCCTACTGGTTACAGTGTTTGCTTGGCATACCAGAGACCTGGGTTTGATTCCCTACATGGTACAATGTGTAAAGCCCATTTCCGGTGTCTCTCGTGCTAACATTGCTTGATATTGCTAAAAATGGCGTAAATAAATACTCATTAATTCACCTTATAATGCAATACATTTGTAAATGGTTCATACTGCAATATTTTATTGGTGTTGTGGTAAAATGGGCAATCTATAACCAGTTCACAGTCTTACACCTCAGCTCTTCTATCTGAGAGCTAACTCTGTTCACATTGAGATTTGGTCTCATATCTGATAAGACACTTGAAGGGGTGGTGGGGTAGCCTAGTGGGGTAGCCTAGTGGGGTAGCCTAGTGGGGTAGCCTGGTGGGGTAGCCTGGTGGGGGTAGCCTTGGTGGGGGTAGCCTAGTGGGGTAGCCTAGTGGGGGTAGCCTAGTGGGGTAGCCTTGTGTGGGGTAGCCTAGTGGGGTAGCCTAGTGGGGTAGCCCTGGTGGCCTAGTGGGGTAGCCTGGTGGGGTAGGGTGGGGTAGCCTGGTAGCCTGGGGTAGCCTAGTGGGGTAGCCTAGTGGGGTAACCCTGGTGGGGTAGCCTAGTGGGGTAGCCTGGTGGGGTAGCCTAGTGGGGTTGCCTTGTGGGGGTAGCCTAGTGGGGGTAGCCTAGTGGGGTTGCCTGTGTGGGGTAGCCCTAGTGGGGTAGCCTAGTAGCCTTGTGGGGTAGCCTAGTGTGGGGGCAGCCTGGGGGGTAGCCTGGTGGGGGGTAGCCTAGTGGGGTAGCCTAGTGGGGCAGCCTAGTGGTGGGGTAGCCTAGTGGGGTAGCCAGTGGGGTAGCCTAGTGGGGTTGCCTTGTGGGTAGCTTAGCCCAGGGGGTAGCCTGGTGGGGTAGCCTGGTAGCCTGGTGGGGTAGCCTGGTGGGGTAGCCTAGTGGGGTAGTGGGGTAGCCTAGTGGGGTAGCCTTGTGGGGTAGCCTTGTGGGGTAGCCTAGTGGGGTTGCCTTGTGGGGTAGCCTAGTGGGGTAGCCTAGTGGGGAAGCACGTCACGCCTATACCCGGGGGAGATTCCCCTCATGGGCACAATGTGTGAAACACATTTCTGGTGTCCCCTGCCGAGATATTGCTGGAATATTGCCATTGCTAAAAGAGTCGTAAAACAAAACTCAATCAATTTAAGACACTTGTACATGATGTCATCATCTAAATGACATTGGTACTATTGTTGGTTAACATTGCACTGTGCAATATTCTCACTGTATGATGGCAAAAGTCTGGACAAAAAATTAGTGATTGACATCATCAGCCTCTATCTGCACCACTGGCATCAACAATGTTAATGAGTCTGACCAACTAACCTGTGAGCAGTGACTAGCCACTGACCCCCTAGCCCGTGGCTAGTAAAAATCCAGTCTGGCCAGTAAATCTCCAGTCATTGTTTAGCTATACTACACTTTTAAATCCTGCAAGATTTTGGCCTGATAAACATGTTCATCATGATGATGACGAAACCTGTGCCATGCCGACAATATCTCATTCTCATCTTTTGCTTAGTTTCTACATTCAAATTTTGGGCTAGTGAATTATTTTGTGGGCTAGTAACTTTCAGGCATAGCTAGCCCGACTGGCTAGCAAAATGGGTAAACTATTTCGCACACTGCCTGTTAGTCACCTGTGAAGACAAGCATGGGTTGCTGAACGTAAATTTTAACCTGGATTTTCAAGAGTGTTAAATGTCATGTCACAATGGATCATTACTGAGCAACTCCAACAAACATACTAACCAATACTATTATTTAAATCCACCTACCAAATGCTTTCCACCATTTTAAACTTCTGTACCTGTAACACAAGAAGGTGAACACAGTAAATTACGATGATAAACAGGTTTCATTAAACTATAAACTATCCAAACACATACCCAGTGATTCATCTAGGATTTTAACCTCAGTACCTTTGACAACCTGTTTAGGAAACAAATTGATGTTACACTTGATACTGAATTGTTAAAAGGAACTTTAACACTGTACCCAGTGCAAAAAACAAAACCAAAGTATTAAAGCCTCCTTCTCTAATTTCCCAGTGATATAAATGACACCTTAGACTCAGTATAATTCGTTACACTGCTATACTGAGTCTAACAAAACCTTGTGGAAGGACGCATCAGGTAACCTTTGGGCGACCTATGACCGTCCAATCAAAGGCGAGACAGACAAACGGATTTAACCAATCAGAAAACGGCTACTATTTAGGGTTCGGCAGGACTTACAAATTGGATTTTCCCGTCCCCGGTCGCCAACACTGATCTCCCAACAAACGAAAATCCGCATAAAACACAGATATTTGACCTACAGAATATACGCTTTGGGGTTCCTGTTGACATGGCTATAATTAGCGAATATTTCCGCAAGTTGAATACTGAAAAAAAACGCTATTTTCAGCGAATGTTTACTCACTGCTGTGGCGTGTATCACTCGGAAGCGATCGTACGGAAAATAGCATTCGGAACCGTTCGGGTACAAACTTTTTCGAGGTAAAAGTTCAAATGGTATGTGCGAATGTCCACTTTCGCGATTTGGTAAGCTGTGTTCTGATTGGTCAATTGAAAAGGTTACCTTACGCGACCTTCTACTAGGTTTTGTTAGACTCAGTATAGCAGTGTAACGAATAATACTGAGTCTAAGTTTACTTAGACTGTGCTGACTTGGAGCAAAGCAACAACCTCTGAGCAGGTTCCGAATCCCTGAATACCTGTGCTAGACATTACAGGGTCAGCTTTCGTACTACTCTGGTGGTTAAAGCCAAATATGTTTTGTGAATCATACAAGCTTAAACAATTCAGTTCAACATCTGAAACGCATTCTTGGCGAAAACAGTTACATCTTGCAGAAAGTGATTGTGACATTACAACTATCATCTGTCAAAGTATGGGAGTTGTGCTTGCGCAGTTTTGGCTGTAGGAAGTCTGTCAAGAGTTCACTTAATGATGTTGATAAGGTTTGTTGTTTTTTTAACACCACACTCACCAATATTCCAGCTACTGTAAACGTACTTATTTTCGCATGGTGCAATTTTCGCGGAATTGACAGTTTAGACTACATCGCAGCGGTCAATTATTCGCGCAATCAGTAATTGCCGGAACTGCCAGCTGTCTCTTTGGCCGCCACTAATAGCAGTGAAAACAAACAGAGTGGCTTAACCTGTCAGGCGGCGTTTATTGCTTACTCACAGGAAATCCCTATCTGTGCGATATACTAGTACACAGTAATCCGTTTACTCACGGAAGAGATGAAAAACACATCAGTCTTATGTTCCGAATTCTGACGATCTGACGAATTAACTTCTACTGTATATGAAGCTCTTTGTGATTTCAAACAAGCAGGGTTGTTGTGAATGAGATGATTGAGCGTTAAGTGACTATTCGCTTCATGATGTACTGGTAAAAAAAATCTTAATGAATAAATAAAATACTGCTGTATTATTTCTTTCCAAGTCGTTTCATGGTAATCTGTTTTGTATCAAACCATCTGTCATGTGTGACAGGTTTATTCGCGGTGTATAAATTTTCGCGCTAAAATGTTTTGCGTGAAAATAAAACCTGCGCGAAATATAATACGTTTACAGTATATTGCGACAGTCCGTATATAAACAAGTCTGGACCAGACAATCCAGTGATCAACAGCATGAGCATCGATCTACACAACTGGGATACAATGACGTGTCAACCAAGTCAGCGAGCATGACCACCCGATCCTGTTAGTCGGCTCTTACGACAAGCATGGGTTGTTGAAGACCAATTCTAACCAAGAATCAGTGATAAGAATTTTTCAAGGATCGGCCTTTGATCAGCTACTTGTTATTTAACTGGAGGACGTACTTGCCAGTTCCCCAGACCTTGTCCTTGGTGAAGCGTTGGATCTTCTGGTTGTTGGACCCCACGAGGAGTTGTATCGGGGCAGTGATGCCAAACCAGCCACCCATAGCCTGGAGGGAGAGGACAACGGTCAGAGGGGGGTCAGCACGCTATTTTGTTTGTTATAGTGCAATGTTTCAGGTGTGCCACTGTAGGAGTGAATGTTACCGTATATGACCGTCTATAAGCCGAATTTTGAGGACCAAAAAAAGCAGTCTGTAGACTGTAGACCAAAGTTAATAATTATTGGTAACTGCCAGTTGTCTGTGGTCTGTGTTTGCCGGGATTAGGACCCCATCGCGGGGGATCGACTTATGCATGAAACATATAATTTTGACACTGATTTTAAGGGTCAAGTTTGGGGGTCGTCTTATCCATGGGGTCATCTTATAGACGGTCATATACTGTATGAATGTTATGGGTCCACAATATGAATTCACAATGCTTTTCAGAAAGAACATCATCCATACAGAAAATCATCAAGACATGATTATCATCAGACAATCATACCAAAATACAATCACTATAAGACAAGTATCCCATGAAAATAATTCTGAGACAAGTATCGCATGAACATTTTTACAAACCTGAAGAGGTTATGAATTCTTTGAAGAAAGTCCTTGGGGTACATATAAGCATTAAAATGGCCATCTTAAAATACCTACGACAGTTGTAACAATATTTCAATAAAATATTTTACCAAACAAAAAACTTGTTTTGTTTAGTGAGATCACCCCTACAGGGCCCCTCACAAGGCCCCCTACAGCCAAGAGCAGGTAACTCTGGCTGCTTACCTCGTACCTCACTTTTCATGCTGAATGTGTAAGACAGAATGAGGGGAGGTGGTCGGCCGTACCCCAAGGAGGACTTTCTTCAAAGAATTCATAACCTCTACAGGTTTGTAAAATTCTTTTTCAGAAGAAGTCCTCCTTGGGGTACATATAAGCATAAGACAGACTCCCAATCATGGCGAGCGGTATTCTGTCCCAATCGGGAGCGGTATTCTGTCTGGCTAACATACCCTTAGTTCAATCGAAGGCACAGCCGAAGCCGAGAGAGAGAGAATAAACACACTTTCCGAGTCACGTGACCGCTAATGTCAATCAGGCGGGGGTGTACGCAAGGCGAGGGTAGAAGGAGCCTAGCTTATATGCTACTGGCGAAATTACAATGATGGACATAAGTCCCACCCCCCAACCATCAAAATGGGAAGGAATGTATGGGCAAGTCCTAAATATTCCGCTCATAATCCCAAACCAGAGAGGTGTGGTGCAGGGAGGAAAAACAGTGGACATAGCGTATAACAACGCTAGAGCCAATAAAATCGGTAAAAACCACCACCAATATGATACCACCACCGATAAAAATTGTGGAATTTTTATAACCGACACCAGGAAGTAAAACAGTCGTGACTTCAAAAACTCATTCGGCTAGAGAGTCACGACACTGCCCACTGGTGAGAACTGTCTGGCCAAACCGAGCACGTTCCCGTGAGTGTTTGTCCAGCTGATAATGGCGGATGAACGTACTCAGTCGGCTCCAAATAGCCGCTGAGCAGATCTCCTCAATGGGCAGTGCCGCGGCATATGCCTTTGATGTAGCCACTGCCCTAACCGAATGAGCCTTTAACCCATCAGGAATAGTTAACCCTTTGTGAGTGTAACTCATACAAATGGCAGAGACAAGCCACCTAGATATGGTCTGCTTGTTCGCCGGAAGACCAGCCTTACCACCGCCATAACAGCAGAACAGCTGCTTATCTTTCCTGATAGCAGCCGCTTATTTGATATAAGCCTTGAGAGTCTTGCGGACATCTAAGACGTGAGCGCGTCGAAGAGAGGTACCGGACAATTAAGGCTGAATGAAAGCTGGTAGTTCAATGGGAGCCGTTATGTGAAAGGCGTCTGCGATCTTAGGATGGTAAGAGTCTGGCAACCGAATACTGACTCTGTCTTTGTGAAAGACAGTCAGAGCAGGATCCCCTGACATTGCATGGATATCGCCTACTCGTTGGCTAGACGTTACCGCCACAAGAAAGGCAGCCTTCCAACTTAACAGCTGGAGTGAAAGAGACGACTGATCGTAAAAAAGAGGACCGGACATCCAATCAAGAACGATTGACAAGTCCCACTGGGGACTAATCCGCCAGACAGTCGGACAAGTTCTGTCCAGGCCTGCTAAAAAGCGCTGCACAAGAGGGTGTTGCCCCAAGACAGCACCGTCGGCAGGTACATGGAAGGCAGAGGTTGCCGTGGAGTAGCCCCGGATAGCAGACGCAGTTAAGCCGGCCTCTAACCGACACTGTAAAAACTCCAGCCAACTCCATCCCTCTGCCAACACACACCAGCGTGTATAACAGGCCCATCTATCCTCATATTGAAAGTTTGTCAAATCAAATTAATGGAATGAGTAGTGGTGATCCGATTAATTGAAATAATCGAAGATTGGTCGCAGTGACTAAACGACCAAGCAATCGATCATGTTTTCTCATAATCGAACACAAACAATTCTGGAACACTTGTTTTCATGAACAATATTTTTCACAAGGTTGGTTTAGTCTGTTACATTTCATAAACGCTACAAGCTCGTTCCAAGTCATGATTGAAGTTATCTTCAAGACTCCAAGAAATTTATGTTCCTAACATACTAGTCATCCTTTAAAGATGTGAATTTTAGCCCAAACCCCCAAAATAACTACATGTTTTTTTCCTTATTTTTTTGTGCATTAACAAATTTCATAAATGACGCTAACCAATTATTTTCAATGATTGATCAGTGGTAATGAACCAATCATCAATTATGAGATTTTTACCAATACCCAACACTAGGAACTAGGGGAAAATGCCTGACACATGGTACAACCCTGGTTATCATGGGCTTCCTCCACCAAGCAACGCAAACATACAAGGTGGTGATCCTGAGGCGATAATGTAGCGTTACAGGTAACACACCCCTTGGACTGCAAAAAACAGAACCGCGCTATGACTAATAGCAAGGACTGTTTAACATAGTGGAATATGCACACAATAATAGAGAAAAAAGCAAAGCACGGGCGATACTTAACTGCTACAGCAAAGCTATTAAAATACTAGCATAAAGCAACAATAGCAAAGCCTAATTGTGCACATAACTAACAAAGAGCAACATTTGTGAGCGATACGAAACGAACATGCTACAAAATCACTCAACCATAACTTACCAAAAAAACGCTGAAAATTTAGGCAAGCATAACCTACGTAATGAAATATGAAAACCTTACAATCCCAACTTCAACGGCTTACAAAGCCAGCAGAAGGGATAAAGAAGGGATCACGCGGTCCGCCATCGTGCCTGCCACATGGCTGGAAACAGCAAACACGCCGGCAAAGTTACAACAAATCATGAATGAAAAAGTCATAACGAAGATTCCAGCTAAGCCCGTAATGCGAAAAGAAGGAACCATACATACAGGGATTTGAGTCTTCTCACTCATTTCTCTATCGTAGACAGGCTTAAGCGTGTCTTTACTGGACCATGTACAACCATTCTTGACAATGACAGCATGAAAAGTGAGGTACGAGGTAAGCAGCCAGAGTTACCTGCTCTTGGCTGTGGGTGGTCTCACTAAACAAAACAAGTTTTTTGTTTGGTAAAATATTTTATTGAAATATTGTTACAACTGTCGTAGGTATTTTAAAATGGCCATTTTAATGCTTATATGTACCCCAAGAGGACTTCTGAAAAAGAATGTGAGATACAGTCATTTCAAACCAATCACCGCTAAACAATCACAATGACACGACCATCAGTATCTGACCTCAATGGCAGCGAAGAGATCCTTGGCCTCCCGTGAGTAGTCGACTGGTTTGTCCGGCGCCACAGTCCCAGCATCCATTCCCCAGTTCTTGGAGCTGTAGAAGCCCTGCCTCTTCTCTACTTCAATTCTGTGGAAAATAAGTGAGTGAGTGAGTGAGTTTGGTTTTACGCCGCTTTTAGCAATATTCCAGCAATATCACGGCAGGGGACACCAGAAATGGGCTTCACACATTGTACCCATGTGGGGAATCGAACCCGGGTCTTCGGCGTGACGAGTGAACGCTTTAACCACTAGGCTACCCCATCGCCCGTGGAAAATAAGAGGTGGTGGGGTAGCCTAGTGGTTAAAGCATTTGCTTGTCACACCTGTCGATTCTCAACATGGGTACAATGGTGTCCTTAGCCACAATATTGCTGTAATACTCCTAAAGGCAGTGTAAAACTCAACTCACTCACTCACTCTCTGTAGAAAATAAGAGACTCGAATCATCATGAAGACAATGTCACAGCAGGTCATTCTGTCCCAAAAAAGTTAGCGGACAGCCAGGGTTCCAATCCACAAAGCATTTGTAGAGCTACAACATTCGTAAGCCTATGATAAACAATTGAGTTACTTAACTCTTTGAGGACAGGAACATGGTTGTAACGTTACAAACTCTTTGAAGACAGGAACCGTGGCATTGGAAAAGCCTTGTAGGTAACACCATTTCTGCTGTTCCCTGCCATGATATTGCTCACATATTGCTAAGAGTGACATAAACACACACACATTTGAAGGGTTAATCCTACTTTAGCATGAGCAGCTGAGGAGGACGGTGGATGGAGGTTCATTACATCACATACACTGTCATGGATCTACTAGGTTGGTTTGTTGTTTAATGCCACACGTAGCAATATTCCAGCTAAATATGGCGGCCGTTTGTAAATAATCGAGTCTAGACCAGACAATCCACTGATCAAATGCATGAGCATCGATCTACGCAATTGGGATACGATGACGTGTCAACAAAGTCAGCGAGCCTGACCACCCGATCCCGTTAGTCGCATCTTACGACAAGCATGGGTTACTGAAGACCAATTCTAACCCTGATCTTCATGGGTCAGATCTACTATGAAATAAATAGTTAATTGGATGGATAGACAAATAATTACTTCATACTTTTTCCAAGTGATAACAGATCTACTACGAAAAAAATGTAAATGGTAAAAACGTTTTTCTTACTTTTTCCGACAGTTATCGCAGCAGTTTTCGGTGCCACCGAGTTCCTTCATCTCTCGCCCCTCGAAGTGAGCAAGTAACACTCTGTCAGGGAAGAAAACCTCATACTCAATTATAACTGCTCATGTTTAACTAGTATTTTCTAAAATATACTCCAAACATGTGAATCTAACAAGCATCAGTGGTACAGATATTTGTGATGTGATTCAACTCCTTTATGTAACCAGACAGGAATGGAAACCCTTCTAAATGTGTGCAGGTATAGCCGCCTGTGTTTCAAGTACCAGGAAACAACAGTGATAACTGAAAAACCATCAGCCCGCCTCCATGTACCTCCTTCTGCACTGGACAAGGCTCAGATGCTGCATCTCCAGTCCTCACCCCCCCCCCCCCTTTGTACTTCTTTCTCTGGGCTTAGATAAAAACAACCCATCTGAACTGAACTGAGGTCCTTGCAGCAAAATTAGAGGTACAATCCCAGTACTGATTATACTAAATGTTCTGTACATGAAGACAATGTTACAGCATTATTAATATATTTTCCGAGTCAGCACAGAACACATCTGAGGATTCATGTACAAACAATTATGTAATTTTCTGAATAAAATTGATATTTTATACTTATCCTGACTCATGAGGTGAGCAATAAGCATGAGTCAGGATAAGGAAAAATAAGAAATATTCTTTCCACTCCTGAACTTTATTATGATTATTTCACATAACTTCTGTATTTGTTCCAAATCTGGGGTATTAATTATAAGAAGTTAATTCATATATATTGGCTGGTTGGGTAGCCCAGTGGTTAAAGTCTTCCCTCATCACGCCAAAGGCCCAGGTTCAATTCCCCACATAAGTGTAAAGTGTGAAGCCCATTTCTGGTGTCCCCCGCCATTAAATTGCTGGTATATTGCTAAAAGCAGCGTAAAAACACATCTCACTCATTAATTTATTTATACATGTTGGGGGTGGTGTAATAATAAAAGAGTTTCTAGCACATCTTCTGTATCAATCAATCCCCGCTCCCATCAAATCACAGCCTTCTCCCCTTCCCTCCCATGTACCGACCTCCCCCTCCCACTAACCCTCTCCCCATCCTCCTCATGTCCCTCCTCCCCCTCTCACGTACCTCCTCCTGCACTGGGCTGTGTTCAGGTACTGCACCATCTTCCCAAGCATCTTCAGCTTGTGCTGACGGAATTTCTCGTTGTTGATTTCATTGATGAAGTGTTTGCTGACGTTGAAGTCTGCACCAGAGTAGAAGACGTGACAGGCGCTAGGCAACCCATCTCTCCCGGCACGCCCAACTTCCTGGTAGTACGACTCGATGTCCTTCGGAGCTGAAAACATAAGACAGTGAGTTTGAATGTAGATCAATGACAAATTCAGATCCACCAAGGATTTATGATGACCAAACTTATTTTGTTCAGTAGTAGTATAGACAATGGGGCTTCTGGGACACATGCCCGTGTTTCAACAATTTCGGCTCCTAAACCTGACTAAAAACAGGTCAAATTTGGAACATCATTTGGAGTCATCAAAACCAGTTTATAGAGAAATGCCAGTTCTACAAAAAGGCAACTCCTGGTAGTACAACTTGGTGTCTTTTCAAGCTGAAGACATGGGAGACTGTGAGTTTGTGTGATTATTGTTTCCAAGCTATATAAATCTGGATCCAGCAGGGAATAATTATCAATGATTCCCTACTTATTTTGTTCAGAATATCCTTATATTCCCCTTTTAATTATTGAATAGTACCTTAACACTGTTTCCTGGCAGTACAACTTGATGTCTTTTCTAGCTGAAGACATGGGAGACAGTGAGTTTGTGTGATTATTGTTTCCAAGCTATATAAATCTGGATCCAGCAGGGAATAATTATCAATGATACCCTACTTATTTTGTTCAGAATATCCTTATATTCCCCTTTTAATTGTTGAATAGTACCTTTAGCACTGTAATCCTCATCTCAATGTCTAACAGGTCCCGTAATACTCACCTCCATAATGTATGACTTTCCTCACATCAGGCTTGTCAATACCCATTCCAAATGCCACCGTTGCCACGACAACCTGAATTCTGTCATTCACAAACTTATGATGAGCCTTTCCTTGCCGTAAGACTCAGTCCTGCATGGTAGGGAAGACACAACACCCCTTCATCTGCAAACACATGGATGGTACTAGAGTGACATCATTCCAACAGGGGGCGCTGGGGTAGCCTGGTGGTTAAAATGTTCTTCGTCATGTTCGTGTTTGATCCCCACATGGGTATAATGTGTGAAACCCATTTCTGATATTGCTGGAATATTGCTAAAAGCAACATACAAAAACACTCACTCACTCATGCCAATGTTGCATCACAATAAGATTACAATAACCTTAACACCTACATGGGACAAATGAATTTGTTCACGAATTGCCACTGTTCTCCCAGCAGTGAATGGGTACCCGGTGGCAGAGGCCCAGATAAGCTGCGTATCCAGGTAAAATATGCATTGAATATTTCCAAATACGCATTGAAAACTAATTGTAGCATATCAATTACGCACTGAAAAATGTTAGATATGCAAAAGGTTTAAACATATGGGTACGGAATATATTTCTAACTTGTAATTTTCTGACTACAATTGATATTTTATACTTATCCTGACTCATGCTAAATGCTTGTCTCCTTCTCCTTGCGAATGATAGTGGAACACTTGAAATGCCTTGAAGTAAAATCACTACTCACCCAGGAGTTGCCTCCCTTGCCCTTTTGGCGCCTTTTGGTCACCTTACAGACCATGCCTTGTCACTCTCTCCGTATGAATGCCCGGCACCCGGATTTACAGGGAAATCAAGAGTGCCATAAGAGGGGAGGTTGGGAGGGCTGACCTCATAAGTCAGGAAAAGTATAAAATATCAAGTTTAGTCAGAAAATTACACATTTTCCCTTATCTTGACTCATGCTAAATGCTTGCAGAATCCGTCGGAATCGGTGGTGGGTCAGGCCACTTCTGGATTCTCTGGCTGTTGATTTACATTCTGTATTACCCCCCTAGGGAACTTATGACGGCACTGCTGATGATTCTGTTCTTTCAACTTCTCTCTGATGAGTCTGGGGGGGAACCACAACTTGTCAGATTTCTTCCGAAACTTCTCCTGACATTTCCGTGTGGATTTTAGATATACTAATGTTCCATTAGTTATCTATTGCAACTCCATCTCTTGATGCGTGCATCAAGTGGAGATGCGACCCTTCTTCATGTACGAGTATGTCCTATACAAGTACAGGGTCTATCACTCATGCTAGCCTGTCCTAGACGTGTGCATGGACTTTTACCATTTGCTCTCCAGAGCATTGGTTTTCACAAGTCACGTGATAAAAAGGGTGAGATTTTTCTCAGCGCCTTTGTGAAACCGTTAGTTGTGCTATAACAAGTGGCCCAAACTGGTGAATTCCTGAGACGTCTTTGGTGGCAATGTCTCTGAGGTAGTGGTTGGCAAACACCATGTCCGATTTCCAAAAGCAGCCCTCCATTATTGTTGTAATCGAGCAGTTTCCATGCAGAGCAAGTGTAGATGCCAGAGCTCTGGATTCATGAGGATTCGAGGCTCAAGTCCTGCTGCTTTGTAGGCCCTTAGTATAACGGCTCTCATCCATATCGATATCGTTGTCCGTGAGACTTCCCCCGTAGGCGTCTCAGTAGATAAGGGCATGAATAGGCGCTTGAATTTTCGTCTCCTTGTTTTTTGTCCTTTGTAGGTAGACTTTTAGTGCTCTGACAGGGCATAAGGATAGATCCTGTGTATCCTGTGGCCCAAGGACTGTAGAGAGTGCTGGGATGTGGAACTGTTTGTCAGGCTGGCCGGGCAGTTGGTTCTTGGTGATAAAATCCCATCTCAGTCCAAGATGTACGATGCGATGTCACGATGTCTTGATTCAAATCGTGTTCGTTCAAAGTCCAGAGCATGTATTTCTGACATCCGTGCAGCTGTTGCTAGGGCGATCAGGAACAGTGTTTTTTGAGTTAGTAGTTCAAAGGATGTCCATTCTAGAGGCTCGTAGGCATCACTGGTGAGATGTTGTAGAACTATGTTGAGATCCCAGGCAGAAGCCTTAAATTTCTTTTGTTGGTGATCCAACTTGAACGAGCGTATTAAAGTACTGTCGGAAATGCTGGAAAAATGCTTTTTAGCCTTAATATCTTTATAAAGGTGATAAATATACTATGTTGTCAATATATCAACTCGCCTATTGTCTACCTAATTTTTATTTCAATCAATTTAACATTCCCATGCATTTAAAGGGCAGTTTACAGGAGAGAATTTGGTACCAAAACAGCAACTTAAGATTTTTTCAGAGTTCAACAACAGAAATCTGAAATAGTCTTTATATTTATGCTAATAATACAGGTGGTGTAAAAATATGAATTAACGTTTTTCCTAAACAAATAAATGTTGAATGTTTGTGTTACTTTACTTAATTATCGTTTTTCTTTATTGAAGAAATATTAATATAAATGTTAAGTCTTGATAAATAAGTTTCTGGCCGTCATGCATGCACATCTTTATCACAGCGTCCACTATGGCCAACGATTTGCAGTCGATTGTTGCAAAGGTTTATAGTCTTTTTCTGCTTAAAAAGACAGAGGTAAACCTTTGATTAGTTTAGAAAGGGTTAATTACAGAACTTGTAGAGCTGTTGGCATGTCTTACCAACAAGTTTACAATATTGTAAACAAATCAGACAAGATAGGGACCGTCTCAAATGCAAAAACCGGGACGTGAAAACCATCCTTGACAACTTTGACAAGGGAGTGCTTAGACGGGGCGGTTTACAAACTTTATGAGAAGAAAAAATATATATATTCAAAGAAGCTACACCAGTGACTTCGTTAAATCTTTGGCCAATGTTCACAACTAGATTAAACTGACCGAATTACATCCATATTTTTCATTTAAATATACTGTTGACATGCAAAACATTTATTAAAAGCGTTGCACATTTCTACAATCAATCGATAAGATAACACAAGTGATAGGATTCTTTCCAATGTACAGTAATTGCATGTTTATTTCTTAAAACAAACTTGGTACACATACACAAATGATCCCTTTCAATATTACCTGTATTACAATATTTTACATGACGGATTCATTTACATCACTGAAAGCTCTATTTATTAAATAGATGAATTCTAAAATCATGAAAGCTCAATTCTCAATTTCACCTATTAGCGATTTGTCTTGTAGGTTCATAATGATAAAAACTCGGTTCTAACACAGATTTATGAGAAGAATAATGTTTAAGAAACTCAAATTATTTATAGACATAGACCATTCTTGGAAGAAAATGTTTTTGGTATTTTCATCAGTAAAAACACATTTTCCAAGCATGTCTGAAATTATTCCATGAGAAAAATCCATCGAAAAAGTAGATGTCTAACCTCTGATGCCCAATAATTTGCCAATATATCTTAAGTAAGGAAAATATAACTTTGAATTTTAAATACCTATGAGAATCCATTTTTAATAATTTCAGCCAAAATTTTTATTACTTTCGTAATCTGGTGAGTACAAATATAGTTCCCCCAGTTTCCCCCTGGAATACAGCCTTATTTGAAGCATACTTTCCCAAATTTAGGAAGCATTTAAAATACGATGCATGAACCTTTTTTCTATGTGGAAATATTTAGTTCCCCAGATTTCGACCCATATAAAAAGAATCGGTAACATCTTACAATCAAAGATGGTACTCAGCTTTGGAGTTTTGAAAGAAATAAAAAGAATTCTTTTTGAATAACTGATATACAGATTGCATAGCCTTTGATGCTTGAACAGATAAACGTTTACAGGCTGTTGACCAGTTTAGTCTGGATGAGAATATTAAACCCAAATATTTATAATACGAAACTCATTTCAGCCTTGTATTACCATAATACCATAATACCAAATAAGCGTTTAGTCCTTCCTATGAGATGCTTAGAGCGTCTGTTGCCCATGCCTGAGGATCTGGAATCTGTGAGACGAATGTTGGTAGCTGTTTGTTGAGCTTTGTTGCAAACAGGTCTATTAGTGGGGATCCTATAGTCTGTATGATGAACTGGAATGCTTCTGGATGCAATATCCATTCCGTCCAGGAGATGGTTGTAGTGGACGAGATAGGGCATCTGCTATGATATTCTTTGCTCCCGGAATGTGGCATGCCTTCATGTAGATGTTGAGGTCGTCGACTATGCTGAACAGGAGAAAGCTGAGTTGTAGCAGACTTCTTGATCTTGTTGACCCTTGTTTGTTGATGTAAAATGACACTGTGGAGTTGTCTGTGTGTACCATGAGTCGCGATGCTTCTTTAGCAGCTGGACCAATGTTGATTACTGCTTTCATCTCCAACAGATTGATGTGTGACTTCTGATCCTGACTCGACCACTTCCCTGCTGCCACTTCATTGTTGAAGTACGCACCCCATCCTTGTAGGGAGGCATCCACATAGAGATGATTGTTGCAAACCGGCTCTGTCAAAAAGGTTCCTCCGCAAACATTCGACTTCCGAGTCCACCATAGGAGATATGGTTTCAGACTGTCTGGTAGTATTAACGGATCTAGGCTGTCTAGGTGGGCGGTCACAAATACTTGTAGTGGGCACAACTGTAGTCTCCCTCTGCGAGCCAAGTCTTGAGCTGAGGTGAGTAGACCGAGCATGCTTTGCCAAGCACGTAGTGTCAACGGAGAGAGCATTGCTTGAGATATCATCTGTTGTATCTTGACCCAACGATCCTCTGGAACGACTATGCGATTCACTGGTGTGATGAGTCGAATTCCTAGAAATTGCAGATCTTGTTTCGGCTCCAGTTCCGACTTGAGGAGATTTACTAGCCATCCTAGTTGAGTGGGCAGCCTGATGGTGAAGTCTAGTGGCAGTCTGAGTTGACTGGGATCTTGATGAGCTTGAATCCCATCTTCCAGGTAGAAAGCACTGCGTAGACCTCGACGATGTAGATATGTGACGATGGGCTTGGTCACTCGAGTAAACAACCAGGGGGCCGACGATATTCCAAATGGTAGCACCTTCCATTGGAAGTGACGTCCGTTGAAGAGGAATTGTAGATATTTCCTTGAGTCTGGATGTATACAGCAATAGTTTTAATGTAAGGTCCAAAAATATAAAAGGATATGTGCCGTATAGGGACCCAGGTGCTCTCACAACCATCCTCAAGGGCGAAGAAGGAGAGAGTGACAAGGCATGGTCGGTCAGGTGACCAAAGGGGCGCGCCAAAGGGGCAAGGGAGGCAACTCCTGGGTGAGTAGTGATTTCTTACAGATATGGATAGAGCCTAGTGACAAGACACTAGTGGCCCCTCACATGTATAAACATGCCCCTATCAATGACCATCCATGTGTGAAGTAACCTGTAGGTAAAAGCAACAAGGCCCTATCCATATCTGTAAGAAATCTCACAAGGTTAGTGCTCATGCATTAATTTAATGCCTTGCCCATGCCCAAGCATGCTTCAGCTTTACTGTCAAATAAGATGCCCTTAAAGGTATGAATACTGCTGACTGCTGAGTTCAGCTTTACAATGTCAATATCATGGCGGGGGATGGGCTTAACACATTGTGCCCTGGGGAATCGAACCATGCCTCGTGACGAATAGCCAACGCTTTAACAAAGGTATGCATTAAGTAAATGAACAGATATATCTGCAACTGCATTTTCCTGACTACTAAGTAGAAAACAATTCTGAAATGTTTATATCAATGACATGGTCAGACTCTTTCTTACTCTTGAGGACACTGGTCACTTCCATTGTGGACTTCTTGGTTGGACAGTAGACAATTGTTGGCCCATCAAACTCAAACTTATTGTCTTTCTTCACCATGTGTTGTTTCAGGTCATACCACACTTCCACCTTCGCCGCCACCGACAGGAACAAGTTGGGTCTGAAATACAAGTGTTATATGTTCGTGAGTTGGGCTTGACGCTGCTTTTAGCAATATTCCAGCAATATCACGGCGGGAACATCGGAAATAGGCTTCACACATTGTACCCATGATGAGTGAAACAGTAACCACCAGACTACCCCAGTGTTAGAAGTTGCAGGGATAGAAATACTTTAGTTTATAAGTGTGCCTTAGGGCACCAGGCAAATATTTTAAATGTGCCTTTCAGAAATCAAGTGTGCCCACATGTTTTTAGAATAAATGACTGTAGCAGTGATGATGATCATTTGAAATTTATTGTTAGTAAACAACAAATGTAACCTGTTTTCTCTTATCACTGATATGTCTTCTCTTTAAAATGGCTTTCTTAAGCTTCATTTGTTCTTTCCCAACACTTTTAATAGCTGAGAATTTTTGTGACAGGTAATTGTTCAACATATCTAACATACACAATTTCCTCTTCAATAACCTAACTATCAGTACTCCCTTCACTCTAAATGGAAAAACAACCACATTTCTTTACATCATCCATCATAATTCCAGTGATTTCCTGGGCGATAAAGTCAATAAATGTTTTGCTTGTTTGTCATTTGCGTAAGTGTCTTGTTTTGGGGATTAAATGACTAAAGGTGAGTTATGCCACAAGGGTACAGAGAACAGTTTTTATCCGTGCCATTTCAATATTTACCGTGCCATGGCACCCTAATATATGGGGTATTTCGAACCCTGAGTTGTCATCCATTCTGTACTCTTCTTGTGCAACATTGGTGGACACTCCATCTTCACTTTGATGCAATACTTGGAGCAACTGACAGGATCAAGATGGTCTGACATAAGCTGAACCTAAATAAGACTTATTGGTGCCGGCCATTTCCTGACTAGTATGGTTCTGTGCTTAGCTGCACCTGAAGTGCGTGACGGCTCTGTTCCACCAGCCGTGTATCACCCCTCAGTGTGAAGCGTGAAAACAGATAAATATTACATGATAGTTTCTTAAACAACGTTGTCCGTTATCATAAAACTTCAGATTTCAGATCCTGTTGGGTACAGAGGTTTCAGGACCATGTGTCTTATTTATGTTTTGTGCACTTATCCCTATTTCGAGATATTTATTCATTCATCATTCTCATTTGAACCCAAACTGACTGTAGGATTGCATCAACTCTAGTTACAGTACTATACATACAGGAACGTGATGGGTGTTACAATAAATCTTTTCAGACCTAATTCAAATTCATTAACAGGGCTCCAGATAATATTTCAACATCAGGAGTACGTACTCCTTATATTTTCAACAGAGGAGTACTGGAAAACCATATAGAGTACTAGTTGGACTTACAGGAGTATCAGTAATCTTGTGTTTCGTTTCTTATATGCACCACAACATTGCTACACTTATCTAAACAGGTCAATAAACAATAAAGCAATACATGTACTTTAAAAAAAAATACGTCTGTGAATGATTCTAAGACCGTACACCATTGCTGTAGTGCGTGTTTGCTACGTTTTCTAAATTATTTCCTACCGTATCGTGCATATTTTATATCCGTACATACGCCGATACAGCCCTTATCTGGAGCCCTGCATTAAGAATTACTTTTTGTGCACAGGTAACAAACTCACCTGTCGAAACCTGTGCATGTCACTACTGGGTTCTTCAGCTTTAGAGATCGACAAATGTCTCGCCTCACATCCACTGTGGCCGTCGCTGTCAACGCCATCACCGGAACCTGGTGGAGGATTGGTCAATGAGTTACTGGTCATATATTGGCCAGGATGATTGGATTTGTGTTGTACTAGTTGAAATGGTCATATCATATAACTGCCCAAGGTTAGAGAAACGACCTGTCAATGTTGAAAAAAACCACACCAGGCAACAAGTTTGTTTGTCCAGATTATTGGCCAAAAACGAATTTTATCACAAAATAAAACATGAAAATGTAGAGACCACATTATACAACACATGATACCACATTGAACATGACACTATATGACACCACGCAGAACATGACACCACACTGTACATGACACCCACCACACTGTACATGACACCACACTGTACATGACACCACACCATACATGACACTACACTGTACATGACACTACAATGAACATGACACCACACTGTACATGACACCACACTGTACATGACACCACACTGTACATGACACCACAATGAACATGACACCACACTGTACATGACACCACACTGTACATGACACCACACTGTACATGACACCACACATGTCACCACATGACACCACACTACATGACACTACAATGAACATGACACCACACTGTACATGACACCACACTGATACATGACACTACACTGTACATGACACCACACTGTACATGACACCACACTGTACATGACACCACACTGTACATGACACCACACTGTACATGACACCACACTGAACATGACACCACACTGTACATGACACCACACTGTACATGACACTACAGTGTACATGACACTACACTGTGTACATGACACCACACTGTACATGACACCACACTGTACATGACACTACAGTGTACATGACACCACACTGTACATGACACCACACTGTACATGGCACCACACTGTACATGACACCACAGTGTACATGACACCACACTGTACATGACACCACACTGAACATGACACCACACTGTACATGACACTACAGTGTACATGGACACAACACTGTACATGACACCACACTGTACATGACACCACACTGTACATGACACCACACTGTACATGACACCACACTGAACATGACACCACACTGTACATGACACTACAGTGTACATGACACAACACTGTACATGACACTACAGTGTACATGACACCACACTGTACATGGCACCACACTGAACATGGCACCACACTGAACATGACACCACACTGTACATGACACCACACTATATGACACCACACTGAACATGACACCACACTGTACATGACACTACACTATACATGACACCACACTGTACATGACACTACACTATACATGACACCACACTGTACATGACACCACACTATACATGACACCACACTGTACATGACACTACACTGTACATGACACCACACTGTACATGACACCACACTATACATGACACCACACTGTACATGACACCACACTGTACATGACACCACACTGTACATGACACCACACTGAACATGACACCACACTGTACATGACACTACACTGTACATGACACCACACTGTACATGACACCACACTGTACATGACACCACACTGTACATGACACTACACTGTACATGACACCACACTGTACATGACACCACACTGTACATGACACTACACTATACATGACACCACACTGTACATGACACTACACTATACATCACACCACACTAAACATCACACCACTGTACATGACACCACACTGTACATGACACCACACTAAACATCACACCACAATGAACATGACACTATATGACACCACACTATACATGACACCACAATGAACATGACACCACACTATACATGACACCACACTATACATGACACCACACTGTACATGACACCACACTGTACATCACACCACACTATACATCACACTTCAATGAACATGACACTATTTTACACCACACTATACATGACACCACAATGAACATGACACTATATGACACCACACTGAACATCACACCACTGTACATGACACCACACTGTACATGACACCACACTAAACATCACACCACAATGAACATGACACTATATGGCACCACACTATACAACAATACATGACACCACACTGTACATGACACTGCATGCCACACAGAAATCTGGCCATTACATGACAACACATATTGTTCACTTACATCAGGGAACTTGTCCTTGAGAGAGCCGAGGCTTCTGTAGGCCGACCGGAAGTCATGGCCCCACTGTGACACGCAGTGTGCCTCGTCAATGGCGATCAGGTCAATACCTGCAAGAGGTCAAGGTCAATATGGACATCCTCATTCAGTTTTCTATTCTGAGGTTAAACATACCCCCAGATATTGAACTCATCTGAAATCTTTACTTAACAGAAGCGGCATGATTATATCACTGAAACATTCATATCTTTCCTCATTTTATAAATTCTAAATAAAATAACAACATAATTTTTAACTGGCAGTAAAACCTTTGTCACAAAAAGACTCAATTTTTTTCATTTCAGCTGATCTTTGTGTCATGGGACATCATAACTTTTAATACAGAATGAGTTACCAATATTAGGCCAAACCTTAATTTGTTAACATTACAAAGCTTCATGAGACAAGGGGATACATTAGTTAAAATGTTGCAGGCTATTGTGGCCCTGTATTCAAAAGAGACTGGTTTGAATTCTGCCGATATGACGACAATTATCAGTTCTTTCCCACGAAACGCAGATCCCATCATATACATAAGAATTTATAGTTCAAAATAATGAAATTGTTTGGCTAATGACAGAATACTGTGTACCTATTTTCGTGTTGAGGTCGGTGAGCACATTACTTCCAGTACTTGCATACTCCGGTGTGATGTACAGAACACGGTACTGTCCTCTACAACAGACAGTGTGATTTCCATTAACGTTGGTTACTTGTTTGAATTTACATTCAGAAATATGCCAGCAATATGATCTCAAAACGTCTAGTCATTATAAACAGAGTGAACAACTAGAAACCCCACCATGAACTATTGATTAAAACCTGATAATAAAATACTTAATGAGGAGACCCCATCATGAACTTGTTACTCCTTTGAAACATCATCATGAGCTAGTCAATACTTAAAACTAATTAATCATTAGAAAAGCCTATCATGAATTTGATAATTCTTAGAAAACAAGAACTAGTGGATCATTAGAAACACCATTATGAACTTGTCAATAATCAAAACCCAAATTGATGAACTCATTAATCAGTAGAAAACTTTAACATGACCTAGTTAAAAAACATCATAAACTAGGTACTCGTCAGGATGAAAACCCAAAACCATGAACTCACTAATCATTGGGAAACATTATCATGAACAGGTTAGAAAACATCAGGAATTTGGTTATCTTCAAGATGGCATACCATGTTTTACATCCAAGACGGTAACTGCCAGTTGTCTTGTGGTCTAAGTTGACCGCAATTAGGACCCCATCGCAGGGGGTCGGCTTATGTACGAAACATACCATTTTGACACTGATTTTAAGAGTCGAGTTAGTGGGTCGGCTTATCTACGGTAATATACGGTACCTCATTAGTTCACTCATAACCTGACTTGAGTTTTCTTGAGCAGATCCCAGTAAACAGGCCTCGATGTTGGCAGCCCTGAAACACATAAACATTGGCTCTCAGTTTGTGTGTTGTATATATATGTAGATAGTAGTGCTGTAAGTTAGTGTAAGGATGCCTCAAACTATCAATGGATTGCAATTCAATGGTAGAAACACTGACTGACTGACTGACTGACTGAGTTTAGTTTTACGCCGCTTTCAGCAATATCACGGCGGGGGACACCAGAAATGGGCTTCACACATTGTGCCCATGTGGGGAATCGAACCCGGGTCTTAGGCGTGAAGAGCCAACGCTTTAACCACTAGGCTACCCCACCGCCCCTGATGGTAGAAACAAAAAATTACATAGTATACATCGATAGTATGTGTGACTATCGATAGTTTAGTAATTGACTTCCATTGATAAATGCACAGCGCAAAATACAGGAATTAACATATTCGTTCACTTTGATTTAGAGTTATCCACCCCTGTTACCTCTTAAACAAACATGGCAGCAAACACAGCATGCAACTCGGATTTTGAAATTGTGAATAACAATAAATTAATGTTTTAACTGATTACTTGATCTGGGTTTCAAATATCTTGTCAGTTATTAAAAGAGACAGAAACTACTTCAACTTCGTTTTATTTTATATAAACTGTACATTCATTTGGGAAATGACTTCAAATGAGACAATTCAAGGAGAAAAAAACTATTGCAATAGTTGAAAACAATAGTATCTTACAACAGACTAGCGCTATCGCAATAGTTGTTTCCCCCTCAATAGTCACCCCTAATAGATATATACACACAATGAGGTGTAATCGATGAAGTTCAGAGTTATAAAGTATCGCTATCATTTTAAGCTCTATGGATAAGGATAGCGTTCCTTGAGTACATGAAAATGGTACATGAAATCAGCAATACATGTTAGTCTTGACCCAGCCAACCAGCGACAGTATATCATCAACTCTTCTAACTGCAGCTCTGATCAGGGCATAAACGGAACAGTGAAATTACCAGGTCAGACCAAATATGGAGGGAGACTAACCATATTTTGACTATTTCAGACCAAATATGGATAAAATCTGACAAACCTGGGTCAAGTCTGACCAAATATGGATCAATTCTGACCAAATATGGAACCTAATCTGACCAAATATGGACCAATTCTGACCAGGTATAGAACCTAATCTGACCAAATATGGACCAATTCTGACCAGATATGGACCTTCTGACCAAATATGGACCAATTCTGACCAAATATGGACCTAATCTGACCAAATATGGACCAATTCTGACCAAATATAGAACCTAATCTGACTAAATATGGACCAATTCTGACCAAATATGGAACCTAGTCTGACCAAATATGGAACCTAGTCTGACAAAATATGGACTAATTCTACCCAGGGATGCCCAGGAGGAAAGGTTTCTAAACATAAGAGATCCAACAGAAAAGGAATTTCACAAGAGACAAAATTTTCCAGTTAAAATATGAAAACACAACTCACTTGAGTCCCAACACTTGGTCCTCCATTAGTGAAATCAGAGGGGAGATAACTACAGTTGTTTTACCAGTAAACACTGAGGGGTACTGGTAACAAAGACTCTTTCCATGACCTGAAGAAAACAAAGTGGATTAAAATAATGACAATATATTCAAGACTGATGTTTTGAAATGGAGTTGCTAATGTCGCATTACATGGATAAAGAGATGGAATGACTGTAAATTATTTACCCGTAGCCATGATGACACAGTTGTCTTTCTTCTCGTTGACAACAGAGTTAATAATTTTCCACTGCATTCTGAAAACAGAAATTCAGTCTATGTGTAGATAATTTCTCCCACTCATTGAAAGTGACAAGAGGCAATAATTTTGTGATTTTGTTCTGTTATGTGTTTTCTTTCACACACCTGTGAATTATATCAGTGTAACTAGCAACAAATGTGACCGCCTCCGTGGTTAGTGGAAATCCGCCCGGGACAGCGGAAGGTCGTGGGTTCGATCCCGAGCGTCATACCAAAAGAGCGTTAAAATATGGTACTTGTTGGTCCCTGCCTTGCTCTCGGCATTAATGGGTACAACAAGGACTGTCTACTTTCAGTCAGTATAATGTGTCTGAGTGGGGTATTCATGCTTCACTGTGCATGGTACCTCAGTGAGCTAGCACTATAAAACCAGCTTCAGTCTGGGCAGTACAAGCAGCCCCACATACACATACACGCACGCATGCGTCGTCATATGGCGAAATATTCTCCAGCGACGTTAAACCCAATTTCACCTCACCTCACTAGCAACAAATGTAATGATACATGTAATCAGTGAGTGAGTGAGTTTAGTTTTATGCTGCTTTAGCAATATTCCAGCAATATCATGGCGGGGGACATCAGAAATGGGCTTCACACATTGTACCCACGTGGGGAATCGAACTCGGGTCTAAGGTGTGACAAGTGAACGCTTTAACCACTAGGCTGCCCCACTGCCCCCTGCTACACATGTAATAATGCTACACGTAGCTAATGCTTGACATGTAATGATACGTGGATTATCAAACTGTTATCATGAATATACTTACGGCCTGAACTTTGAGTAGCCAAAATACTGCTTCAAGACATCCAGGAACTTTTTGTCCTCAGGCTGATTGTCAGCATCTGGATGAAGAAAGTATCCATTACTCCATCTTGTGTGCAAGCGAGCATGGCTACCCCCAGTGAGTGAGTGATTGGATGCTTGTGTGTGAATCACTGATTGCATGCTTGTGCGAGTGAGTGAATTGAGTGACTGATTGCGAGCATTGTGCAGGCGAGCAACGAGCGAACGCTCTAACCACTAGGTTACCATACCTTAATACAATGAACTTACCATCATCTTCTTCAATGTCACCAGGTTGTTCCTCCTCTATGGTGCTTCTCTCGGCTTCCTCCAGTATCTGAAACAAACATTTTTAATTCATTTTTTGCTGTCATAGAACGCATTTGTATTGTACTTGTTTGTTGCTTAAGGCGGCACTTGACAATTTTTAGTTAAATGACTGCAATCTGTAAATTATCAAGTCTGGTTTAGATAATCCAGTGAGTGACATCATCAGCATGGATCTACCACCACAAGTGCAACCACTTGAAGATGAGACCCCAGGTTTTGATTGTTGTTTAACATTGCAAACAGCAATACTCCCTCTGTACAGGGGTAGCCTGTTAACTAGCAAATTTGATCCAGACAATCCAGTGATTATTGGAGATAGAGTACAAGGACAATATCTGGACAAGACTATCTGGTGATTGTCTAGGACACGACGTGAAATTAATTGTCACCAAGTCTGCTGACACAATTCATCTCTTATACAACCAGTATACTTTTCTGAAAACCAGTTTTAACCTTTCTAGGTCAGACTTTGATATAAACCATCACTGGGTGAATCAGGGGCCGATGTCCATGCTTGCTTTATCTACCTGCATGTCATCCTCGTTGAAGTCATCATCAAACTCATTGCTAAACTCCTCTTCCTCTTTAACAACATCATCTCTCTCATTGTTGTTGTAGTTTTTGATGAGGCTCCGCATGTCCTCTTCGTCAAATGACGGCTCTCTATGAACCTAAAAAGGAGAATTTCCAACAACACCACCTCAGAAATATTCCAGTATACAGTATATAATCTAGTCTGGACCAGACAATCCAGTGATAAAATCCTATTTGTAATGATACAGCATGTTTCATTTCAACTTTCTGACTGCAAGTAAAATGTATCACAAGTCCAATGAAAATTATTTTAAGTAAAATTACCTATAGTAACCATGGTAACTCAGCAAAATAATTCCTACAGTTTGGATAGATTGAATATGGATTTAGTTTAGTTCATTGTTCTGTTTTTACCTGTCATCATGGTCATTCAACAACTCCCTCACACTCCATGCTCAAACAGTGGTTGGTTGGTTGGGTTTAACGCCACACTCAGCAATATTCCAGCTATATGCAGTGTATGAAATAAGGCCGATCCACACTCAGCAACTCCCTCACACTCCATGCTCAAACAGTAGTTGGTTGGTTGGTTGGTCGGTGTATTGTTTAATGCCACACTCAGCAATATTCCAGCTATATGCAGTGTATGAAATAAGGCCCGTCCATGGTTCTGTCTTTACCTGTTAACAACTCCCTCACACTCCATGCTCAAACAGTGGTTGGTTGGTTGGTTTATTGTTTAAGTCCTTTAAGGCCACACTCAGCAATATTCCAGCTTTATGGCGGTGGTCCGTAAATAATCAAGACTGGCCCAGACAATCCAATAATGCAGACAAATTTACAAACCTTTGCTTGTGGCCTTGTTTGACTGACTTTCGGAGTGTCAGGAATGTTGGAGAAGTTATCATCCTCAAAGTTAATGTCATCCAGATCATCAATATCACCTCCATTGTCATTATTCAAATCCTCTGTTATATCAGAATCAAATCCACCCTCAATATTCTCAGTTTTGATTTGATCACAATCAATTTTTGGAGAAACAATGCACTTTTTGTGAGATTCCCCATCACCTTCTGTCTGAGCAATTATAAACTTATTGTTTAATTGATTGGATGTATTTGGTCCGAGCACCACACTTCTGATGCATTTCACTTGTTCTAGAGCCTTATCAGCCAGTCGGTTAGCTTTGTCATCAGTACAGTTGGAGTCATCCACAATTACAGCTGCAAGAAGACTTGTCACCTCATCTTTCAGAGACTTTAACCGTTCTTGTAACGTCTTAGGCATGTTGATCTATGGTCAGTCTCTCATCTTGGCCTCTTGAGTGATTATTCTTCCTGACATATCCACACCTAAAGTCATCAATAGATTTATCATTGAATATTTTAGCTGATGTCCGGGTATTTATCCTGAATATAAAAATAAACACCTTTAGCTAAGAAATATTATTCCATTTTCTTAAAGTTCTTATAGTTTAGAGGTATCACAATGTACCCAATGCACTATAGTAAAAGTTAACTAACTCCTCCCCAATGTTCCTGTATTCATTGAAACACAAAACTTAGCTTAACAAAAAAATATCACATCAGATAGCTATATTAATATTTATAATTGGTTAAACCTCATTTAGGAATTTCTGCTGACATTTGTGCCAGCTTGGGATCAGATATCAGCCTCTGAGCATGTGAGGCATAGGCTGCAGTGATAAACAATGAGCGACGTCTTCAAGTAAATTTAAACGGTGATCTCAAAACGTTTGACAGTTTCTGCCCAGTATTGGGACCGTGTTGTCCTTGTGTATTTTTCAAATTAATTACCCATTCGTGTTGTCGTGACGAAGATGGCTAACATGGTTCCTAATGAAGATGTTGTCACTTGGTTGTGAATGTCTCTTCCGAAAATTATTTGGCAATTAATTTTATTCGCATATCAGCTCTTTCCCGCGGACACAACCGGAAGTCCTCAAATTCTAGACTTACCCACTGAAGAACACACCAAGGACAGATAACTCTTAAACAGCATTAAATCGTGTTGCTGGTGTAAAGATGAATTCATTATGCCGTGTAAACTGTGGAATAATATACCTATTTTGTTGCATCCTTTTGGAAAACGTAATCTAGGTTATGGGCGTACTTTTTCAGATTAATTAGCATTACTGACTTAGATTTACCCCTAGCCGAGAGCCGCGATACGGTCCTAAGCCAAATGTTAGAAAAATCCCTACCAGTTTTAGGATCTCTCAGCAGCAGTAAAAGCGTTATCCAGTAACTCCCACCCTCCAGAGATTATTGTCAACGTGGAACTAGACACAGAATGTATCAGGTTGCTGAAAACAAACAAGGATTACCCCGCTGTTGAAGCAGTGTCCACATGTTCAGAGACCAACTGCATGAGTATTAACCACATGGTTTAATGGACGGTGACAAGCACTGGTGTTCAACATGATCAGGATATGCAGTATGGGTGATAAGGCCTGGTGTATCATATTACCTGATAATGATGTTATCTCTACATTTGGCCTAGGAGTATACAGTCAAAACATGACCTTGTCTTGACTGTATAGTTTACTATACTGGGTTAGGTTACCCCAAACCCTAAAGAAAGTTTCATGCGGCATTGTTCAAGGGGATGTTCGTTAGCATCCGCATACAGACTACGTGTATCTACCGGAGACCGAGCCTAAGGCCTTGGAGTTTAGAGCGAATTAACGATCTGTACAAGTGAAGGAGGCTAGTCTGATCCCCTCCCCACTCAGTACTTGAAACGATTTTTGGTAGTCAAGAGCCTTCAAGCACTTTGTTTTCAAATATTTTATGTGTGGTAAAATTTAGGGGTGAAACGGTACGCTCTTACCACGGTACGGTACGTATTGCGGTACAAGGCCTTCGGTTCGGTCCGTTTCGGTTCGATATATGAGATATGATCATAATGCAGAAAATTGACATAGAAAAAAATCCATAATCTTTGTTATTTTGAATGAACAAAACAGTCATTTCATGACAACAAAGAAGAATTAAAGTATCACTGGAACCTTGGAGCTCACAGCTGTGTGGCAAAATAGCAAGTAGCCAAGTATGATTAAAAGTCATTAACATCACATCAGCATTTACTGCAGTGAAAAACCAAAAACAGCACACAAATCAGATCTTGTCGAATGTGACGTTGTTGATGACATATCATAGCTAAATATATTAAACAAATTAACACAACACAGTGGTCATAAGACAGTTACAGTTTGCGTGACAGATCATTGTCCTTGCTCTATATCAGTGTCTATCTCTCGTTTCAGTCGGTTAAACATTTAGAGACTTTCCACAGTCCTTGGGAAGTACTGCTACACAATCTTGGCACATTCCAGAAATGTGTTTTATGCAGTTTTCAGATTCATTCAAAATATATTTTATAGTTCACTCAGAAATGTATTTCTCCTTTCTGAAACAAATATGTTTTAGCTTGAGAATGCTGATTTCTCTTTTTATTGGTCGTTAAATGTTCATTGTTCTGATATACTAGTAGCTTGTAATGAGATGGTAGCAACAAACATGTCGTAAGAACTGTGATGGGAAAGCCACCAGATCCATATCCATAACTGCAGTTATCCCTCGCCATAACGCCGGTCTTGGGGTCCATGGATGAACCCCCGAGTTATGATACCCGCGTTATACATAACCCGGAATAAAAGCGAAGTAAAATTTTATTTTTCATGGACATAACAGAACCATAAGCGCCCACTGCGGGCCAGAAAATCGATTAACAGGGTCCCGGTTTAGCATCCACACGTGGATACTAAACCGGGGACCTAAACCGCGGTACACCCCCTACTGTATAATTCCATTTAGCATTATTTGGCTAAAAGTCGTTATTGTACGCTCCATGCATTTCCTGAATTCCTACAGTTATTCTCATTCTACTGACAATTACATATAATTTCTTTACAGCAAACACAATAAATTCCTCTTAACGAAACACGTGCTCATGTTTACAAACACCCAAAGATGTGCATTTCATTACATCCGCTTACATTACGTCATCACACAATTAGACGTCATCATAATATTTATATTACGTCACTTTCTTTCATTCCTCCGCCATTTTAGATAACCGTCATTTTATCAACCACTCTTTAGCAATTTCATTTTATCATCTTTTTCTCAGTTTCCCTCCCACCCTCCCCATGTTTGCCAAACCGTTTTATTCTATCACTTTCCTGTAACTTAAATCCGGCTTCTCATCTCAAACTTCCAAATACTACAACTGTTATCAACCCCCACAGGGGCGTGTCACGCTTAGAAACAGCGTTAGAAAGAGATATAGGTATATAGACCCTACCCTAATACTATATAAAAGGTCCTTTTACTAGGGTAGGGTCTATATACCTATATGTCTTTCTAACGCTGTTTCTAAGCGTGACACGCCCCTGTGATCAACCCTATCTCTATGTTACATAACCTTAATCTCTTTACCCACAGATTTCATCCTAAATGGTTTAACTTTGTTGTACAATTAGAGTGAATTAAAATGACGTCAGGTGGCGAGGTTCGGGGCGGACGCGGGACCAATCTCTCGCTCGATTTATACTTCGCTGCTGCTGCTAGGCTGTCTATTTTCCAATAGAGGCTACTTCCAACCTTCGGGTGGTCAAAATAGCATTTGAAACATCGCCGCTACCTGTCTCGTCTGTTCAGGGTCCAACGGAGAGCAGGTCATTAAATCGCTTTGGCTTGGCCCTGCGTCCGCCTTCGCCTTCCACACCTGGCCTTTGTAAATCCAATTCTCTACTTTGTTATCAATGTGTTGTTACATAGTTCATAGGAGAGTCGGACAATAACATATATAGAGAATACTACACTCGGTCTCATCGTGACCTTCCTATGTTATCTGACCAAATACGAAACGAGTGTCCTTCCTATGGTATCTGACCGAGCGAAAGCGAAGATAACATAGGAAGGTCACGAGTTTCGTATAATTCGTATGTAATGAGACCGAGTGTGGTATTTTATTTATTACCCACGTCTTACATGCATTAAATTGACAAAATAGCGTATTTTTGTTATGTTTTTGGTTTTAAACCGAAACCATAAAGAGGTTGCGGAAGAGTTAAGTACTGTAGTGGAATATTTGCATGACGTCACACTGTAATGACGTCACTGCCTCGGTAACCGACGTCACGATGCATGTCATTTGTCATCGCCTCGTACAGCCTCTTACAGTAAACTACTCCGTAGCACCTCGTTTCTTGGTTTCCAGTTGCTTCATTCGGCTAACATCACTGGTGGAAACATATTGCGTTTATGTTTTTCGACGGATATAATGTCTCAGTTCGACTCACAAGTAAACAGCGACACGGCAACGTTCGCAATGTTTACATTCCCACAATGCATTTAAGTTGAAGAATGAATGAATTCACGTGCTTGTTATGAATGAAAAAATAGTTACGTCAGAATGTGACCTAATTGAGAGGTCATCGGTTATCCAATCAAATCGTTAGAATCTCAGGTCAAGGCGTTACGACACGGGTCAACGCGATACGACACTTGTGTGACGTACGAGATTAGTATGCAACTACCAATACGTTGACCTCGTCGGTAATATTATATAGTAGAGGGTGTGGATACTAAACCGGGGCCCTGTTTATCGATTTTCTGACCCGCAGTACCGTTGACTTCCCGCGGTACCTGTCACTTTGATTGTAAAAACAAAATGTTGGCAATTAATTGTGAAATATGACTTCAATGAGTCAATAACGCGGATCTTGGGGTCAATGGGTGTCTGTTCGTGATTGCTGAGAATAATGTGAAATTGGTGCTATCGCGGTGGGCGCGAAAAGCGACCCTTATGAACAAGGTAAGCGGAAGTGGTACGCGAAAGAGGTGATGTCATTTCACACACGTTTTCTCCGATGTTACTGTAAACAATTTTAATGAAAATGGGATTAAATTTAATCAAATAAATACTAATACCGCGGTATACCGTTTCACCCCTAGTAAAATAAAATTGTCAAGTGACGATCGAAAATGAGTCCCAGGAATTTGGCCCCTTCTAGTACCTTGATGGGAGTACCATCTGAATATAGGTCTGGATCTTTACAGTGATCTTATCCCAATGGGCGATCTTTTTCAAATTATCTTCCCTTCACTAATCCGCTTGGTGCGCTGATCTGGACAGTCCAACCTTTAATGGCAGCTGGCTGACTTGGTGGACACGTCATCATATCCCAGTTGCATAGATCGATGTTCATGATGTCAGTCATTTGTTTGACAGGTCCAGACTCAATTAATTACATTGCCATACTTACATTATAACATTGATAACACCCATGTTAGAGTTTCTAACGTAGCACTATTTAATATTCATATTACTGTTTTTCTTCCAACAAGTTTCATTGGCTGACTCCAATATGATATTCTGGAGGGGAATTTAAGCTTATCAAAAACATTATTAAAAATAATAATCTGAAATTGTTGAAACTTTTGAACACATCCCTTGCACAAAGCGCCTTGTCTTAATGACGACAAAGTTGCTAGGAAAATCATTTCAGATTCATCACCTGTGTTTCAATGTGCCTTGTCATAGGTCAAACAGAACAAGGAAATCCCTTTTAACATTCTGTACAATACTAAACAAAACCTTTAAAAAATAATACTTCAATTAGGAAATAAAGTTCGCTCTACCCCAATGTGTTTTGTAATAAAGTATAGTTTTGCCCTGAACTATTATAATTAAAGCACGAGGACGGTAGTCCGAGTGCTTTGATGTTATAATAGTTCAGGGCAAAACTATAATTTTATTACAAAACACATTGTAGTAGAGATGAACTTTTACATCTTTCTAAGATGCTAAATTTAATACTTTCTAAGGATAATTACGATTAATCTAAGGCAGAAAACAAATGACGGTGTCGGTGACCTAAATTAAGAATCCTCGCACAGGGCTAACTGGTGCGCTGTTCTATTGATGTGTCTGCCCCCCTACGTTAAGACGAACGTTACCAGAAAAAAACAAATGATAACAGTTTGATGACGGTTTACGTTCGGATTAAATATCTTCTCTGAATTATTTTAATTACATCTGTCATTAACGTAAACCATATGGGGCAATATGAACGTCGCATTTCTACTACCAACGTAAGTTTAGATCAGTACATCCAGATGAAGCTGAGTAGTCAAGCGACATTCCACGATTGCATTGTGGGAATGTAAACATTGCGAACGTTACCGTGTCGCTGAAAACTTGTGAGTCGAATTGAGACATTTTAACCGTCGTAAAACATAAACGTAATGTTTCCACCAGTGATGGTAGCTGCGTGAAGCAACTGCAAACCAAGAAACGGGATGCAACGGAGTAGTTTACTGTATGAGGCCGTACGAGGCGATGACAACTGACATGCATCGTGACGTCACTTACATTGTGACGTAATGTAAAATGATTCGATTACGAGGGGGCACACTAGAATGGCGCAGTGACGGGAAAACGTCATTCAATTGTTACGTCATCAAAAAAACTATACTTTTATTGTCTCATAATGTATTCTTTTTTCGATTGTTCTAACCGCTAGGCATCTTAGAAATGTTTATAACTATACACTTTCATGCACACTGATATGCTCATGCCAATACAATCACCCCACCCCCCCCCCACACACACCTCAAACCCCCCCTCTCCAACTAAAAAAATTGAAGGGCGTGACAACCATTATTGGCATGAGTATATATCTGCAAATTTGTTGATTTATAGGAATACAGAAAAGTGTACATATATGATTTGTATAAATATGCGTGTTGATGTATATTATGCGTATGAATGGGTGCGATAATTTTATATTTGTCCGTATTTAATTATCTATTGTTGTAATTGCAATACATATTTTATTGTATCATGTCATGCTCTGTATGATATGAAAAGAATTTCATTTGGATTATAAAGTGTTATCTTATCTTATTAAGGAAAACACCACAAATCATGTTACCTTTTTTGCATTAGAAAATGGCATAACATCAAATAATACACAGTTACTTTATTCAAGTAGTATAGTCCCGTACATCTGTAAAACCTGTACAAGTGGTGAATAGTGTGAACACCTGACAGACCACAAAACTTGGGACCATAATCTGGCATCTTGTAAATGATGGTATGGAACCTATTTCAAATTCCAATTGACGTGGATTTGTTAGACAATTTGGGTGAAAATGTTATCTTCAAAATTTGTATTTTATTTGCAGTTCGTACTTGTTTAAATTTTACTTTCACCATTGCATTAAACAGAACAAAGTGTTGGAGTCTTTTCAACTTATCAGTGACACAAGTTGATACAGCTAACCTGATTTAAGTAATTTTTTAAATTCATTTAATTAATTCAATTTTTTACCTTGATAGTACAAAGATCAGAGGGGTAGGCTAGTGGTTAAAGCATTTGCTCCTCATGTCCAAGTCATAGGTTTGATTCCACAGATGGGTACAATGTGTGGAGACCATTTCTGATTCTCCCGCCATGATATTGTTGGAATATTGCTAGAAGTGGCGAAAACCCATACTCACTCACATGGGAGTACAAACATGGTTTTCCATTCATGACAAAGAGTTCAGCACTGTAAGCAATAAGACTCATAAGATGTACCTTTTAAAGAATTTTATTTAATATTTGAGCAAATCAAACAAGGAGTGTGGTATAGATGGTAAAACATATGAGCCTCAGGGAATGGTAAAAGCCTGTCAACAAAACAGGGCTAAACCTGCTATAAAAATCTGAAGTCATGTGTATATAATACTATTCATGAAACAAAACTAATTCAATATTCAACCCTTAAGATTATTTGAACAAAATCAATCAGGTATTTTGTAAAACAGATGACAGATGAAAACTGCCATTCAGATTACAGTTGAATTCCATACAGGTGTTATGTGAGTGGAACATGTCATCGCTTTCGTAGTGTTGTTTAACGACACACCCAGCAATTTTGCAGCTACATGGCGATGTAAATAATAGTCTTGACCAGACAATCCAGTGACTGACATCACAAGTATCATCTATGTAATTGGGATACGATGACATGTGTCGACCTGTGCAGTCAGCCTGACCACCCGATCCCATTAGTTGCCTCTTATAACAAGCCTGGGTTGCTAAAGACCAATCACGGGCCTATGACTGCAACAATCTTCAGCTATGACATTTTTTCAATTGTCATTTGGATTCAGTTCTACCCAGGGCTTCACAGGTTCAAGCATAGTGGTATTGCACTGGGTTGCTAAAGACCAATCACTGGCCTATGACCGCAACAATCTTCAGCTATGACATTTTTTCAATTGTCATTTGGATTCAGTTCTACCCAGGGATTCACAGGTTTAAGCATAGTGGTATTGCACTGGGTTGCTAAAGACCAATCACGGGCCTATGACTGCAACAATCTTCAGCTATGACATTTTTTCAATTGTCATTTGGATTCAGTTCTACCCAGGGCTTCACAGGTTCAAGCATAGTGGTATTGCACTGGGTTGCTAAAGACCAATCACTGGCCTATGACCGCAACAATCTTCAGCTATGACATTTTTTCAATTGTCATTTGGATTCAGTTCTACCCAGGGCTTCACAGGTTTTAAGCATAGTGGTATTGCACTGGGTTGCTAAAGACCAATCACGGGCCTATGACTGCAACAATCTTCAGCTATGACATTTTTTCAATTGTCATTTGGATTCAGTTCTACACAGGGCTTCACAGGTTCAAGCATAGTGGTATTGCACTGGGTTGCTAAAGACCAATCACTGGCCTATGACTGCAACAATCTTCAGCTATGACATTTTTTCAATTGTCATTTGGATTCAGTTCTACACAGGGCTTCACAGGTTCAAGCATAGTGGTATTGCACTGGGTTGCTAAAGACCAATCATGGGCCTATGACTGCAACAATCTTCAGCTATGACATTTTTTCAATTGTCATTTGGATTCAGTTCTACCCAGGGCTTCAAAGGTTCAAGCATAGTGGTATTGCACTGGGTTGCTAAAGACCAATCACTGGCCTATGACTGCAACAATCTTCAGCTATGACATTTTTTCAATTGTCATTTGGATTCAGTTCTACACAGGGCTTCACAGGTTTAAGCATAGTGGTATTGCACTGGGTTGCTAAAGACCAATCACGGGCCTATGACTGCAACAATCTTCAGCTATGACATTTTTTCAATTGTCATTTGGATTCAGTTCTACACAGGGCTTCACAGGTTCAAGCATAGTGGTATTGCACTGGGTTGCTAAAGACCAATCACGGGCCTATGACTGCAACAATCTTGACAGCTCATTTGATTCAGTTTTTCAATTGTCATGGGCTTAAAACCAAATCACGGGATTGCAACAATCTTCAGCTATGACATTTTTTCAATTGTTCAGGATTCAGCTTCATCATTTGGTGAGGTTCAGTTGTGCATAGTGGATGCCCCGTCTACACAGGGCTTCGTTAGGTTTGAAGCATATTGCACCAATCCGCTGGCCTATGCTAACAATCTTCAGCCATGACATTTTTCAATTGTCATTTGGATCAGTTCCTACCCAGGGCTTCACCTATTGCACTGGGTTGCTAAAGACCAAACATGACTCTTCAGCTATGACATTTTTCAATTGTCATTTTGGATTCAGTTCTGCAGGGCCTTCAGGTTTACATAGTGGGCTTGCTTCGCACAAGGTTCAAGCATAGTGGTCAATTGTCATTTGGATTCAGTTCTAAAGACCAATCATGGGCCTGGTTCAAAGCTATAGACATGGGCTTGCATACAAACAATCTTCAGCTATGACATTTTTCAATTGTCATTTGATTCAGTTCTACACAGGGCTTCACAGGTTCAAGCATAGTGGTATTGCACTGGGTTGCTAAAGACCAATCACTGGCCTATGACTGCAACAATCTTCAGCTATGACATTTTTTCAATTGTCATTTGGATTCAGTTCTACACAGGGCTTCACAGGTTCAAGCATAGTGGTATTGCAACTGGGCTGCTAAAGACTAATCACGTGCCTATGATCTGCAAACAATCTTCAGCTATGACATTTTTTCAATTGTCATTTGGATTCACTTCTACACAGGGCTTCACAGGTTCAAGCGCATAGTGGTATTGCACTGGGTTGGCAGAGACTCAATCATGGGCCTATGACTGCAACAATCTTCAGCTATGACATTTTTTCAATTGTCATTTGGATTCAGTTCTACACAGGGCTTCACAGGTTTAAGCATAGTGGTATTGCACTGGGTTGCTAAAGACCAATCACGGGCCTATGACTGCAACAATCTTCAGCTATGACATTTTTTCAATTGTCATTTGGATTCACTTCTACACAGGGCTTCACAGGTTCAAGCATAGTGGTATTGCACTGGGTTGCTAAAGACCAATCATGGGCCTATGACTGCAACAATCTTCAGCTATGACATTTTTTCAATTGTCATTTGGATTCAGTTCTACCCAGGGATTCACAGGTTCAAGCACAGTGGTATTGCTCTGGGTTGCAAAAGACCAATCACTGGCCTATGACTGCAACAATCTTCAGCTATGACATTTTTTCAATTGTCATTTGGATTCAGTTCTACACTGGGCTTCACAGGTTCAAATGGTATTGCACTGGAAAAAGATTTCACCGAGTTCTTGTCCTTATAATTTACACTGAACTGGTAAATTCACTTAAATCTAAATCTTTTGTATTCACAACAGTTGTTGTTGTTGCCTGGTTGCTGCCATATTGAACCAACTTTGCAACCATGCTCCATTTTTTTGTTTCAAGGTCATATTTATGCATGTCTTTGCTTTCAACCAATCGAGATTTGGCAAGACCTTCACGCCTCGATGTCATCCGACGAGCTCCACCACAGACATAGATACAGTTGTCAAGAAGTGCCACAGACATTACTTTCCGATCATCAGGAAAGTCATCTCCGATTTGAAATTTTAGTGTTTCTGGATCAAATATCTCAATTGCAGTTGTGTTCTGAATCTTTGTACCTCCACCTACGATGTAGATTTGGTCATTATAACTAATCGCAGTGCTTGAGAGTCTTGGATGAAGAATTTCAGTATCCAGAATGAACCACGTGTCATTTGAAATGGAGTACTGCAACACTGTTGTGAAGAGTTCAGCACTGCTTTCTTCACCACCGAATACATAAACACTATCTTTATACACAGTAGATGCATGATGGGATAGGCCGGTTGGCATCGGCGCCATCTGTTGCCATAGATCGAAAACTGGATCGTATGCCTCCACAAGTTCCATTGGAACTCCTCGTGGATACGACAAAGCACCACCAAACACAAACACTCTCTCCTCAACAGCACATGCGGCAAAGGCACATCTTGCAGTGATCATAGGGTGACAAGGCGTCCACGTTCTGTCTTTCATCTGGTACTGATACACGGAATCTCGAGCCAAGCCTTGCTCTTCAAGATGGTAATCATCATAGAATATGCCACCCATGAAGTATATCTGATTTTGATTGTTGGTAATCAGCTTGTAATAGTCGACCTTGAACTTGAAGTCAAACGTTGGGTGATGTTTGGCACCCATATAATTCTTCCCAGTTGATGGATCAAAACAAGAAAAGGCTCTTTGCTCTTCTGACATTCCTCCACCTGAAAATATCAACATCTCTTTCCGAAACATTCCATGACGACGACAAACACTGAGCTCATAACCATCTGCAATTTTCTGCTTTTCTTCTTCAGAATCTTGGCAGTCCATTCCAATTCGGCACAACTTTGTCATTGAGACAATAGCACGACAAAATGGATTCCCAACAACCAAATCATGTGTGTTAATATGTTCACAAATATATTCTTCATCAATAAGCAGAAGTCTTACTTTTCCAAATAAATCACCAAAGAACTTCTTCCTCTCCTCAATATCATATTCTATCCACTTCACAAGAAAGTGGAAAATCACTTCCTCTTTATCAACATTTATGTCATCGGATGAGATAAGTTCCTTGACAGCAGCCTTCTCTAACTGCATCATGTCTTCTTTCTCAACCATTTCACAGAAGTGGTCAAGGATGAAGGACTTCGCCGCATCCTTCAATGTCTGGAGAGACTGGTAATCTCCTAGGTTGTACACGTCCAGACAGTTGTCGACACAAATAGCTCTCATCATGTGATCAACACAGTATGACGCCAAGGTGTCGAGCTGAAACATGCTGGATGCTGTCAAAATGGACTGCACGCTGTCATGAGATATGTCTACAGGAAGGCAGTACATGAATTTCACGGCCATTTCCAGTGCAGAGTAGGTGATATTGCTGATGTATATTGTTTCTTGGTCCCGTTCACAATAATCTCGGAACATGGCTCTGAAGAAGGAAATTTTTAAATTAATCAATTAATATACATTGTTTTTTTAATATAACTGTGAGACTAGATTACCAATGAAGGGCCATAAATATTCCGAGGGACATAATCCGACTGGAACCACACAGCTTCAAAACCAAGGCTGTACACCTTGTCACAATTATCAAAGATGGTTGAATGCGTAAGCAAGCTGAAAAAGTAAAGAGTAAAGATGTAATCTATGATCCAATGACCTACTACAAACGTCATCAAGAGAAGGCACATCCTGGCCCTTGTGCACGTTACTGAAACATATATTAATCAGATTTAGCAAGAACAGGCACCACATGTTGCACACCAATACGAAGGCTATAAAATGTCCAAATCTTTTGATGGGATTCAAACCACAGACTTTTGATCCTAAGCAGGACATCCTGTCCACATGACCAAAGAAATTAAGATGAAGATGTCATCTATGGAATTGCATAATACCCTGCAACACTAATGGACCTATTATTGAAAAACAGGGACTCACTTGACTTGATTTTACTGCTATGTTAGAACAGAGACTTATCTAGGATTCTAAGCTAAGTGACCTTGGCCGACAAACTGGAAAATATCATTTCAGTGCAAAAGTGGGAATGTTGTTAATTAATTATTTTCTTAAATTCATATGTACATGTATTTAAGCATTGTCTCCAACAAAATAATACCTTTTTTATTGTCTTGATTTCTGTCACCTCTATAAAGCCAAAACATCATTGTATCTTTATGAAAATGATTAATTGAATAAAGAAAATCTTAAATCCAAGTTTGGAAATTTTACTCTTTCTGACAACTTGGGGCTAAAAACAGACCTCTGAAATAGACCCTACAGTACCAGTAAAAATAACGGAACATATTGCAACATACCAAATAATGTGGTGTTTCATGCAATCAGATTACCATATAGAATTTGCAAGCTGTGTTCACTGCTTTGCCATATCTTCTCATCCTCATTCTGACTGGAAACCTTACCTTATCATTCCATAAGTATATAAACAATAAACAATGTGGGAGCATGCAAAATAAACTAAAACTATCAATCAGCAGATCCTGACACATCTAAGGGCTGCAACTTAGCACAACCACAGGTGGGTTTTTTTCTCACACAAATGTAGGCTCCTATAAGTCATTAGAATCATTTAAACAGCAAAACATACACTCCAGGTGATAATACTGTTATAATGAAAATATAGATAAAGTAAAGTAAAGTTGGTGATCATGGGTATTTTGGTGAAAGGGTTAAGAAATCATGTGCTGTCATCAAAGCAAAAAGCATCCCCAAAATACTTGATCCCTAAATTCTTTTGTTACTATATATCACAAACCATGACACACCGTGAGCTACAGTCTGACCAACTGTGAAGGGTCATTTACCTGAAGTATGGACTGCTGGCTGCAAGGACACTTCTGTGACAATGGAGGTCTTTGTCCTCCGCAACAAGAATGACATTCGTCAGCTCTTTGGATGTGAAAAGTTCTTGAATTCCCTCCAAGAGATGCTGCTGCTGACTGTTCATGGTTGAGTTCCTGGAAAAATAGTTCATCACAAAAAGTAAGTCACATTTTGAATGTTCATTTTTAAAGAGAAAAATTCAGTATTATTATCATTATGTTCACTATCAGCGAACGGTCAACAATAAGAAAACTTTTCTAAGCATTGTTTTTCACCTTCATTTAGGAAAATGTTTTGAATACAAATTTAGGAGATTTTGTCCAAAGTTCTAATTTACAACAAAAATAATACATACAAAATATAACAAGGATTGTCACTAAGGTGACATAATCCCCCGCCACAAATTATCAAATCAAACTTAAAAAGTAATGAAAGTGAAGGTCGTAATTTAAGATGAAGTTAAATGTAAACAAAAAATGGCCAGTCAACCTCTCTTGATATCTTGCTCTGTAGTTGTTCAAACGCACAAATCTTTTCAAGACTCACTTTGGGACCTTGACATGAATGTCTTAGTGTATGAAATATGCAAAAATAGTAATAAAGAAATTGCTTATTGAAAAACATTCAAGGGAAGTCTTGAAAGTCTATGAAGAAAATCCAGTGAACTGGTCTTGAGATATCTTGCTGACAATCTTAACATGCAGTTTAACATGCTGAAATCTTCAAAGTGTCGCCGTGACCTTGAACATTATGTGAAGGTCACCAAAATCAACTGGAACTTGCACCTTCCCTAGATGAAGCTTGGTGTCAAATATGAAGAAAGTCCAGTGAATGGTTCTTGGGATATCTCGCTGACAATCTTTACATGCAGGTTAACATGCTGAAATCTTTAAAGTGTCGCCGTGACCTTGAAAATTAAGGGAAGGTCACCAAAATGGACTGGGCCCAAGGCCTTTCCTATATAAAGCTTGGTGTTGAATATGAAGAAAATCCAGGAACTGTTCTTGAGATATCTTGCTGACAAGGGTAAAACGTTAAAGTCCCCTTGTGACCTTGGAATGAAGGTCAAGGTCACCAAACCTGACTGGGACCTTTCTTTTACTGTGATGAACCTAGGTACCAAATATGAAAAGAATCCAGTCAACGGTTCTTAAGATATTCCAATTCGTACGTACGGACGGAGCCTAATACTATATATCCCCACTTTGCGCTAAACGCGCGGCGGGGGTAAATTTATATTACCATAAATTGTAATAAATCTCAATAAAATAATCAAAGTATACAGTTATAGAAAAAATATGTGAATATGCAATACAACTTGGACCTACATTGAACATTTTCTATCTTTGAGGCTTAAATAAACTGAACTTACAATATTATACCTCACACATACAGTAGGAAAAATCAATGACATCCTCTTTAAAGCCATTCTGGTTTAGTCAAAAGTCGTACTTTTGAGTGGACAGTACACTTTCGAAGTTAAACAAAAAATAGGAGAATCTCCTGGACCCAGCGAATAGCCATTTATGGTAAATCTCAACTCACTTGGATGGATCCGTGTAATCTGATACTCTTATGCGTAATTAGTGAAATGCATTAAACATTTGGCATAATTCAGCTAGCTTCAAAATTACTGACATGATAGTTTCATTGAAAGAAACGTGTTACTGGCGGGTACCTGTGTCTGCATAGTTTTCCCGAAAAATGTCAGCTATGAACAACTTTCGTCATCTGCTGCAGATGCACGTAGGCATCGCTTGTTACAATGTGTAGAGTTCTCAAATTTGACACTGTAAAGAGTCAAACATGTCGCAAACAACATGCAGATTATTTACTATTATCAGTGACCAAATCACTCGTATTGGAAACTAATTTACTAATAATTATTCCATAACTAAGAATGATGCAGCCATATTGATTGGGAAAACCATAGAAATCAGAAGAATTTTATTATGTAGGTTTCTGGCGGCTTAACCGGAAGTTATAAAATCAACATGGTTGCCAAAGACGTTTTTGAAAAGAGTTGACAGAGTGTGCTTCGCGTTTATGAAGTCTTAAGAATCAAAATGAATTTCAGAGATGCATACAATCCAACAAGAGGGGTGAAAGCAGACTTCAACAAACTCCTTGAGACTTTTTCTACTCGAAAGACAGTTCGTTATGAACATTTTGCTGATCTTTGGAGATCAATGAAGTTCTCGTACCTATATGCCGGGCGCAAAAATGACAGAGAATGTCGAGAGGTATGCACTAAGCGCCGCTAGAAGAATAATATTAAGTGTTAATTATAACTCGACATCTCCTGTGGATGTCTTTCATGTTTGAGAAATCTCCGAATGTGCCCGTTCGTCGCCGACTCAAAAACTCGTAGTTCCACGGTTCCAGTGACCTGAACAGCGTTTATGCTGAACTAATGGGGACCTCAGATGGTAGCAGTGATTAGTAGTCGTAGTTAATGGCATGTCGATACTTGCAGTCTGTCTTAGTACATAGTAAGGGACCATTATGCTGAATGTTGTGAAAGCCGAGACAATCTTTATTGTATACAGCTGACACTGGATGCTGTTTTGGTTGAATTCGCACGTGTTTTAGTATATACTTTAAAAATCTGATTGACACATACTCCGAGTCTAGTACTTTGACAAGTTTCAACATATTAGTATTATTACTGTCTTGTAGTCTGCGCTTTTCTTCTCACAGTCCAATTATATTACTGGTGTCAACCAATTATCATCTCTAAAACCTCAGGCCCATTTTAGCCATATTCACAGTGACAACAATCCACCATTTGCATCATTAGGCCAAAATACTATACTATTTAGGTGCGCATCATTCTCTCAAAACAAGACCATTGTCCAGTCAAAACAGGCCTATATTTGTGGTATGTTATCATGATTGTGCATTGTTATGATTTATCAGTAACACCAATCTTCTCTGTTTTGATTTTCTAGTTCTATGAAGAGGTAAACCATATTGCCCTGAGTTTTCACCTGCTACCATATGACTTCCAAGTGAGAACCGGCGGACTGTACATTCTGTACGGCCTCTACTTCACGCAGCCTTGTGTTCCTAAAATACCGGTAAGTAGTCCTGTTACAGTTCCCACCACTGCAATCCCTGCAACCTATCATCAATGGTGTGTCGGTGGTAAACTGTAAAACAGAAACAACAGGCACACTAAGCTGAGAGGTAAATATTACCAGGAATAAAAATTATTTAAACGCAAGTATATCTAAGATTTGGAAATGCATAAAGGTTCCAACAGACTCTCTTCCTTTAATCATCCCTTAGTCATACATTGCTTGCTGTATTTGTGTGCCTTGTAAAACTCTGTACACTTCAACTCTATCTAACCATAACATGTCCACAAGCGGGTATTTCTTCCTCAAACATCAATTTGGGTTCAAGACATTTGATGTTATTTTAGTCAATGAGATTTTTGTGTAAACTTGATAAAATCACAATTTAAAGTGAAGTTGTTCCTCTGTTACAGATACGTGTGACAAATCAAGTCTGGAATGAGATTATGGATTTCCAGAAGTGTGCACACTCCCAGAAGCATTACGATGTGGAATATGTGTTTCAGAAACTCTTTAGGGAGCATGCCTTTCTATTTGTTGCAACACCAAAAGAGGTAGGTACAACTGTGTCCACCTACCCATGAATATCTGGGTTAGAATTGGTCTTCAGCAACCCATGCTTGTCATAGGACCCATGAGTGAGTGAGTTTGGTTTTACGCCGCTTTTAGCAACATTCCAGCAATATCACGGCAGGGGACAGCAGAAATGAGCTTCACACATTGTACCCATGTGGGGAATCGAACCCGGTCTTCGGCGTGACGAGCGAACGCTTTAACCATCAGGCTACCCCACCGCCACAATAAGACCCATGAAGAACCAGGTTAGAATTGGTATTAGCAGGTGTCATAAGAGGTGACTGAAGAGTTCAGGTGATCAGGCTCGCTGACTTGGTTGACACATGTCAGTTGTCATCATATCCCATTTGTGATGCTCGTGCTGTTGATCACTGGATTGCCTTGTCAAGACTTGAACATTTACAGACTGCTGGCATACAGCTGGAACATTGCTGAGTGCAGCGTTAAACAACAAGCAAACAGACGAACCAGTGTCCACCAGACAATCCAGTGATTCAGATCTTGAGGATTGATTTAAGCAGTTGTGTTACAATGACTTACATCAACCAAGTCAATGAGCCTGATCAGCTGATCCTGTCCCAACCAAGATCTTCATGTGGGACAAACTGGTTAATAGTAATTACTATCCATACACCCAGTGGAATGGAACATGAAAAAGTTTATAGACATTAAGCATTTAGAGTATTTTGTATCCTATCTGGACTGAAGTACAGCACTATGTATCCATGTACTGAAGCATGACGTGCTATCAAGTTGTACTGTTAATAGGACAAGTGTTGTATGTGTATCATGACAGCCCTAATCCTCATTATATGCCTATTGCTTAAAACTGGAACTTTTTCCATTTCCAAGAACTTTACATATTTAAGATAACTAGTTTGAGTATGGTGAGTATTTTTAATGACCACTGTTTATGTTGGATGCTAAGACACAAATAAAACAATGTGTGAAAGGCTGGCCAAGGCATTTAAGGCACCACAAATCTTTTCACAGAGTTGCATCCCTTTAGTATGCCAGAAAGCTATGAACTGGGTTTGAATTTCGATTCTCCACAATAATGTTTCCAGCTTTCTAGGTCAGCACCATATTTGTGCATGTGGGTTCAGCAAAAGCGGTAAACATCTGAGACAGGTTTCCTTCATGCATGAAACTCACATACTGTGATATAACTGGAATACTGTCCCAAGCAGCATTAAACCCATCTCTCTCTCTCACACACACACACCATTAGGAGCTGGATGGAGACTGCAGACATAAACCAGTGAAATGATAAAGTTTTTATCACGATGCACTGTCTGGGGGAAAATGGAAAGCTTTTGGTCTTGAAGAGGACCTTTAAAGCTGACTGATGCAAACGCTGATATTGTGCTTGTTTTGCAGGTGTACATCAAATCGAAAGACAAAACCCAGGCGGACAAAGGAGGCGACGCTGACAGCCTGACGAGAGACAGTTTGAGAATGGAGGATTCTGTGTCCACTGTGTTTACACCTGATATTCTACAGGTCGGTGAACAGTTTAATATACAAGACAAATGCTTTTACACAAAAGGGTGGTTTGTGAAATACAGAGCAGACTTGCCATCTAGTTCAGAGATAAAATATAGTAACTCAAGATTCTGTAATTCTGTAAAAACATTAAGCTAATACAAGATTTTTAAAGAAAAAAGTGAAGATTATGATCTTATTTAGATTTTTAGGATGCTTTTGGCAAAATCTAATCATGATATGATCAATTCTAGCTAAAGATTGAAAGAATCGTTATTTGTATTTGTTGATGAAGGTTATCATGGTGCTGTATATATGGTTATAGTGTGGTTCCTAATGATAGATGTAGAAACTGGGTGAATATAATCATGTTGATTATAGTTTTTTCACATTTGTGTAGCAGGGTAAGGGGTGGTATGTGAATGAATGAATGAACCTGTGAATGAACTTTATTTCTTTTCCACATTAGTAGATTTGAAATTAGCAGAACCATAAACCAAGTATTATGAAAACAAACAAAACAAATATACAGTCTGCAACTTAGCCAGTATTCTGAAAACACATTAGTAAATTTCTTTCCACTTTAGTAAATTTTAGAATTAGCAGAACCATAAGTAAAATAATATGAAAACAAAAATGTTAAAATCAATCTACAACCAAGCTACTATTCTGAATGCAGAGTCAAGTAAATTTTCAGTTGGCCTCATAAGCTCAGCTAATATAAGTCTATATAAAATCTACTGCTAAGCGCCGTGTCTGGGTTGGTAGACTCCAAACATTTTGGCATAGGCTGTCATATATTTAGATTTCATGTTTTTTTGTACTGTATCTAGATAGCTTGTAATGTGTTTCCATAGCAACTGCGAGCCATCCATATGCAGTACCAGCAGATCAAGTTAGGGATCGCAGGACCGAACGCCCTTCGACCCGACCGATCCCTGGATGTTGTTGAAGATGAAATCATGCACAGTATTGATAAGTAAGTGAAATAGTCAGTGATACAGGATGAGTATTCTGCAGCTCAGTCTCGATAAAGTGTGTTTTTTAACATATCCATCGCTGATAATAAAGAAATTGTCAAACCAGATTTTAGTTTTGAGACAAAGAGACTTCTGGCTTTTTCTAACCTTTTCAGAAACATTTAGTAACAAAGCTATTTCACTTAACTGAAGTTGGGGAGATTCATCAAACCCTTTAACCTTGAACATGTCAAGTCCTTGTGCCCATAATTATACCTTCGTATTTTGCATAGGGGATTCCAACAGATACTTCAAAGGCTTATGATCTGTTCTGATCGTAAACTGGGCATTATGGAGGTAATGATCCAGGTTTTGTAGGGCATAAGGTATGGCAAATGCTTCCTTCTCAATGGTGGACCAGCGTGTTTGTGTATCTGTAAAAATTCAGTGACCAGCGATAAGAATTTTCTACGGATCCGCAGAATTCTGTGAATTTCATAAGGCCAATGGTCATTTTTGTGATCATCTAAATCCGTTGAGAAATTTTAGGGGGGATGAAGTTGCTGTGTTCATGATATTGTCATTTCTGAGCCAGTTTTAAAGGTCTAAAATGCCTAAATATCAGCAGCTTCGTGTCTCCCCACCGAACTTCATTCTCATCCCTGAGTGACCACCTTGACTATTTGTTTAATCATTCATTGCAGCATATCTTTAGTTTGTGATCAAACTGCAAATGGCTTTGTAAAATGTCTCCTAAGTCGATGCCTGTATTGCATGTCATCAGTGTTGATTTTTAAGTTCACTTTCAGCCGTCTGGTGCAACACAATCAAAGACTTGAGAAGATCCGAAGTGCACAGGTATGTCAAGGCAGCTCATGGTGTATACATGTAAACTACATATTTCACTCATACAGGTAGCCCATATGTCTCTGGCATTGTCACAGAGTTGTCTCCCTTACAGAGCTACAGATCACTTTTGGGGTCATTGAGTTACTATATGTACTTGCTTGTGTATCCTAATTTTCCTTTGAGTAACCAAATAAATTGTACCCACCTCACTCAAACTCAATTGGGTATTTTCCCATTTTCCATTAATTGTAGAAATATAACAAAGTTTAAATGTTATTAGTATTAGATCTGTAATATGAGAAACGAAAAGCAAGACTTCAAGTTGCCAAGTTCATGTGTTGAAATAGAACCTCTGAATATACCTCAGTTGTTGTATCTATGCGCCGGTACGCAAGCTGTGATTTGACAGTTTTGTCCATAAGCATGTAAGATCAAATTTATTGAGTATTTACAAAAATTCAAGCTACTTGTACGCAATCGACTTAATAAGAATTGAGTTTTCACATAAATATTTGCTTAATTTACACAGATACGCAGCTTATCTGTACCTCTGCCTTTGTACATGCCCAGATTGTGGTCCTAGTCTTGACAGCATGGTACATCTATTTCTCAATTTGGTTAAAGGCACAATGTCACACATTTTCGACAATATTTTGGCATATATTATATATATATTGGGGCATATGCACTCACTTTAGCTTCCTATTGATGCAATAACAGACCAATTATCCCTTACGACTTGCCTGAAATCGATAATTGAAACTTTGAGGCGAGGAGCTTCCAATTAGGGAACACATGCTGTAAACAATTGCTGTACATCAAAAACTGTGGACATGAAGATATCCATAAAGATAATTCTATGAGGTTCGCTTGAAATAATGTTTGGATCGTAGAGAGCGCGAGAGTTGCATTAAAACTTTCAAACTTTTTGATCTCATATTGTAGTCTAAATATTTATTTTTGGAATAAATTATATGGTAGCTTCCCTGAGTACTGAAAGTTAGTATTATTGAGAGAAATGCACTATTTCTTTTTAGAGAAGTGTGGTGTGAAATAGTGCCTGAAACATCAGTGGCTTTTTGCACATAATTTTTCACTTTTGCCCACTCCCCAATTCTCTTTTCTTATTGACATGCTTTAGTTTACATCCGAGATCTGTAGATAATGTTCCCTTCACAGCGAGGAAGACAATGGAAACTAAGACAAGAGGAACTTGACTCAGATGAAGGGGAATCCTCGGATATTGACAATCCAGATTGTGTAAGTTGAAGAAGCAACATTAGTAAGACACTCTAGCTGTACATAAACCTGGAGGCTCTACAAATGTTTAGTTAATATATATATTTTTTTTGCTTATTTAGTACATCAAAAGGTGCCACACGTGTGGTTTGCCTTTGTAAAAATAAGAGTGCCAATACCTTTTGGGGATTCAGTTAAACTAAAAATGTCAGAAAACTTATGTCATTTCAGTTTCTTGTTAATAAATCAGTAAAGATCATGTTATCATTTAGACATTTAAACCTTTTTAAACCTTTTAAACCTTCAGCTGAATTTGACAATATTCCTCCTTGACAATGGTACAAGAATCTGTATCAAAATGTTGCACTCACAGCAGGGATTTACAGGATGCGAATTTCTGTATCCTATACTCATAAAAATTGACAATGGACACAACAAAATTTATAAGCACATCCACAGGGACGCAGAAAAAGTCCAAATACTTTTTGAAAAAATTCCAATCAAGTAACAATAAGTTATCAAAGAGTTTGCTACTAGCTGGGTTATGGTATGATTTGTAATTCAATTACTGTAACAAATAATGTCATGATCATGATACACAATACAATAGCAGCATGAATAATATTTATGTGTATGGGACCCCCATTTTGTTGTCCGGGACCCATGAAAATCAAGAGTATGAGTCCTAGGGACCCTCAAAACCAGTCACCCGTGAAGGTCCAGGTTAGAATGTGCCTTCAGTAACCCATGCTTGTTGTAAGAGGCGACTAACGGGATCGGGTGGTCAGACTCGCTGACTTGGTTGACATATGTCATCGATTCCCCATTGCACAGATCGATGCTCATGCTGTTGATCACTGGATTGTCTGGTCCAGGCTCGATTATTTACAGACCACCGCCATATAGCTGGAATATTGCTGAGTGCGGCGTAAAACTAAAGTCACTCACTCACTCAAAAACAGGACTCAAGGTAAATCCCTCTCACAGATTATTATTATCCATAAAGTTTGTCTATATTGAACCAGTAAGTGTGAGTGAGGGAGTGAGTTTTGTTTTACGCCATTTTTAGCAATATTACAGCAATATCACAGTAGGGGACACAAGAAATGGGCTTCACACATTGTACCCATGTGAGGAATCAAACCGGTGTTCAGTGTGACGAGCGAACACTTTGACCACTAGGCCACCCAACAGCCCAATAAGCAGTTTGGTAAGGGGCCAGCATAGCTAATGTTGTTTGTCTGATGGGACACACCCCCTTGTTTAAATTCCATAGTGTTCCCCCTCCAACTAACTCACATCTCTTTCACTCACACAGATACCAGTTCCCAAGTCTGGTCAGGCGAGGGTCAAGGCTCAGGCGTACGCCCAGCAGGCACAACAATCTAAGGCTAGGCGCCACAGAACCGTCATCACGCTGGACGCCTCAGAATCTTCCCCTGAGAAGCCCATCAGGAAGGGGCAGGGGAAAAACAAAAGCGATAAAGGTTTGCTGTCAAATTCATTGGTTCAAAAGTGCATGTAGTACTGACAAGAGATTATAATCAGAGGCCCAGATAAGCTGCGTATCCGGGTAAAATACGCATAGAATTACGCATTGAAAAATAATTGTTGCGTATCAATTACGCACTTAAAATACGCAAAAAGTTTAGAACAAATGCGAACGGAATATATTTGTAGAAATCGCTTGCATAATGAAAAAGGCAACGATTGCTATCAATTTGTACTGTTAGTATAGGAAAAGTGTTGTACTGTCAGTACAGGATGAGTGATTTTTTTATGAAATAATTTCCATTATATTTAAGTTGGTTTTGATTAGGCATGACATAAGGCAGAACATACCTGCTTAGTAAACTTACTCAATGACATAATACTCAGGTGAGTAAAGTGACTGAAATACGCACATATTTGAAAGCAGTGGGTAACGGGAAATGAAATACCCACTCAACATTCATAATACCCACTCCATAAAAATACAGTGGGTACAGTACCCACATGAGCTTAATCTTATCTGTATAATTATGCATTATATTATATAGCCATTCCTTTATGATAATAACAGAGAGTCCAACCCATATGATTTTATCATATTCGTTACGAAAAAAACAACACAAAATACGCGACTACGATAGCAGTAAAAATGTACAATTTAAAAATAAAATACATTAAATTTAATTATCAAAATGCATACGTACCATACACAATAAATTTCAACATTTTATTCAGTATCAAGCTATATGTCGATACTTACTACTGATTTAGGTGAGTACAATGTTAATAACAAGTTGTTAGAATAGCTATATATTCTTTGGAAAAGTTCATACTAATTTTGGCAAAAAAATACTAAATGTGCATCGTTTTTTGGCCAAAATACTAATTGGACTGAATTAGGGTTGGCATCTCTGTAAATAGACTAGACCAATGTTTCCACAGCTTTTTTGGGAAGTCTCTTGTGTGGAAACTCTCATGCACACACAAATGTAATTTCACTGGGCTGTTATTTTTAGCACAGAGTCCTTCAAACTGGAAAAAAAATCTGTGGTAGCCGATGCATCCTGGGTTATTTACCATGATAGAAAGATACAGGATGAAGCATGTTCATAAGGTTTAGAGGGAAGTTTTCTTCTTTCGTTGCTGAAACAAATGATTTGTATTCACTTAACAAGATTACAAAAGAAAATTATCTTTATAAATTGTATCTAAATATTCCATCGCCTTATCTGTGTCCATGTTCAGTTGGTAATTGACAATTAATTTTAAATGTACAATGCATGTATTTAATTCATAACTTGATGAGATGAAAGGTATTAGTGACTAAACATCAGAGTGAAATAGAGGATTTGCATGCAAGGATCAGCATATCCTGGCATACCAAAGGGAGACAACTCTTTAGCTAGAAGGACACTAAGATGTCTGTACCTTCCATGTATTGTGTATTTGAAAGAACTACAGACAAACAGTTTAGAGGCGAGCCATTTCTACAACTGTAACTACAAATGAAGCATACATTATTACGTCCACATTGTGTTTCTTCCCTTCTGCATGATAATGTGCCCACATAATGTTCCTTGAAATATGTTGCAGTCTAGTTTTAACCCAACATGATGTCATGGTTTCCCCCAGATTCATGGTTGCCTCAATCATTTACAGGTGATGAGGATGTGGATGTATTTGAAGCACAACTGACGTCTCCCACTGAGGAGTCCAGCGACCAGCTTCTGTCTCCAGTGGAATACCTCAGTATGCCGACACTAGACATGGAGGTCATACACACATCAGGTACTAAGACTGACCATGGAGGCAGGTTCACAATCATTGTTACTGGTTGATTCGTATTTGTACCCCTGAGAAGTATATGTATCAGGGATTTACATGGAGTCCCGAATTTGAGGGTCCCTGGGACTCATACTCTTAATTTTCAGGGGTCCTGGACAACAAAATGGGGGTCCCAGACACTTAAATATTATCATTAATACTGTTACTGTATTGTGTATCATGATCATCACATTGTTACAGTAATTAAATTGCAAATGATACCATAACCCAGCTAATAGCAAACTCAGTGATAACTTATTGTCACTTGATTGGAATTTTTACAAAATGTATTCAGACCTTTTCTGAGTCTCTGTGGATGCGCTAATAAATTTTGTTGCGTCCATTGTCAATTTTATGCGTATAGGACGCAGGAATTCGCGTCCTGTAAATCCCTGATGTATCCTCCAACAGTGTGCGTTCCCTTACATCCTCCTCACAGCAAATTGAGATTGCTGTGTGGCTTTATGTAATAATCACTCATGTTACATGCAGGAAAGTCTATTCATCTTAAATTCATCAGATTGCTTGTCGAGTTGTTTAAGGAGTAAGAAAAGTCTTGCAATATTATTGTATATAAGAATTATTATTAAATATATGCAATTATGAACATATTCTGAATCTCTCTCAGACAACAGCATTTGAAATTCCTTGTATTAAGTTTCAAATTGAATACTGTACCTTAAGTGCTCACCTAAAATTACATTTGTTTTATTGAAACACCTTGTAGTGAGTGAGTGAGTTTAGTTTTACGCTGCACTCAGCAATATTCCAGCTATATGGCGGCGGTCTGTAAATAATCGGATCTGGACCAGAAAATCCAGAGATCAACAACATGAACATTGATCTACGTAATTGGGATACGATGACGTGTCAACCCAGTCAGCGAGTCTGACCACCCGATCCCGTTAGTCGCTTCTTATGACAAGCATGGTTACTGAAGATCAATTCTAACCTGGATCTTCACGGGGGAAACACCTTGTAAGGTGTATGGAGTATGAGTATGGTTTTATGCTACTTTTAGCAATATTCGAGCAATATCACGGCGGGGAAACCAGAAATAAGATTACACATTGTACCCATGTGGGGAATCAAACCTGGGTCTTCGGCATGACGAGTGAACGCTTTAACCACAAGGCTACCCAACAGTGCTCATGTTATCACTCACTGGTCACGTCAAGAACTGACTATTTATAGACTACATTCGTATTGCTGAAAATTATCTGAATGCAGCTGTAAACAACAAACATAACTTTGATGTAATGCTCAAACCTTTCCTTATGTCACCAGGGCCAACAACCGAGAGTGATCTTACTCAAATCAAAGATGGACTGTCAAAATCTAGTCCTTCAGAAAAAGGTCCATCAACATCCAAAACGAGCTCAAAGACAAGCACTGGTTCTTTGGAAGCAGAAACAGATTCTTCAATATCAGGAACCACTACTTCAAAAACTTTCCAAGAAGCCACTCAAGAAGGCCAAGAAAACTCCAACAAAAAGTGCCTTTTCAGAATCACATGATACGTCTCCAGCAAAGGCAAAGGTGACTCCTAAGGCTAAATCAGGTAAGCTGAAGGGTACGCCGAAAGGCAAGCCAAAGGGTATGCCGAAGGGCAAGCCAAAGGGTAAGGGAGGATTAGCAGCACAGCAGAAGATCCAGGAGGTGAAGAAGAGGAGGCATCAGTCCGGGGCAGGAGAAGAAGCTGATGGAGCACCTGCTCTGAAAGTTGAAAAGACAACACCTTCCAAGAAAAGTCCTAAGAAGGAATTGCTTTCACCGGAAGATTGTTTATAAACCTTTGTAATGTGTTAGATATGGAAATAAACTTGTTGAAATTTCTTTCTTTGTTCTATTGAATGGAAGCAATCTTCTTAATACCAATGAAGCTAGGATACGGTTTCGCCCATCACAAAATATTTTGTTGTGATTTTCTTTGGAGGGCATTTCAGGCAATACATGAATCACTTCAAGGAAAGGATTCTGAACTACAGGTGGGTCATTCATCTGAGACGACGAAATTAGCTGTGCAGTGCTATGCTAGTTGGCACCACAAAAATGGCAAACCTCTAAGACTTGTATCACTTTTTTCCTCATCCAGCTGAGATGCAGTGATATAACTCAGGGGCGGATCCAGAGGGGGGGGGGGACACCCCTTCTCCCCCGAAAAAAATTTCCCTGAGGAGCATTTTCCTCTAACCTTTGGACTTCATGATTTATGTGGACCTCCCCATTCTCCAAGATCCTGGATCCGCCCCTGTATCTGGACTGCTGTTCAAAGGCATTTGAGCATGGAGGAAACCTGATTTCAGTTCTTGGTGATAATTGCATTAGGTTAGTCAGCACTATTGCTGTGCATGTTCACTAAAGTGGTTGAAAGACTATGTCCTTTGTACAAAACGACCATAGCACTAAGACTAGCGTAAGTCCAGGCCCCATTTCTCGAAACATACTTAAGCTTTTACTCAAATTTCAAACTGAATTTCACAATTTGAAACAGCTGAATGTTTAACAAGACTGCATTTTTTAAATTAAAAAATCCCAAACAACTTAAGTAATCTATCCACCTAACCCAAATTGTCTACTAAGTTTCAGTTTAATATTGATTTCAGTTTATTCTGGGAAATGTATTTTCCTGTGTTTTCTCAAATTTGAGTAAAAACTCTGACTTAAGTCAAAACTCAGACTGAAGTATGTGTTTCGAGAAATCGGGGCCAGTTTAAGTTGTTTACAACGTAACTAGCTGTTGTTGCCCTGCCTCAAGCTCGACATTAAAGGGATAAAACAAGGACAAGTAGGTGTAGTGTGTATGATGGGATGTCCTTCCTTATCAGAAGCTATTAAAATTAACTAAATAACCGAATGTATTCATGACTCAAAGGGGAAACATTCTCATGGAAGTCCCATATAATAAAACCATTTAATGTCATTATTCAAAAAGCATATATCATCAAAACATTAAACCCATATGTGAAAAAAGTAAAGTAAGTTTGGTCAAAGTGAATTTCACAGATGTGTCTCATCTCATCTCATCGTGTTGATGCCACAGTTGTCAAAGGTCATTGGCTCAGAGTTGCCTCCATTAGGCCACCAGAAACCTGTTTATTTCGTTGATTGCGAATTACATTGGACAGTTTCTAGGATACAAATGCATAAAAAGCGATTCGTAATGCGATTAGGTTGTCTGACAAAACATCCACTTGCACAGTTTGAGATCGATTGGGTCATTAGATGAAGAGATATTTACAAAAAAAACGGGTCCACATGCATTTCATGCCAAATTATAGTAAATCTCTAAGACCAGCACCGTGTCTGCTTTCCACCGACTTTTGCATGACCCGCCGTGATATAACTGAAATACAGTTCAAAACCGTGTTAAACAATGGGGTTCTCCTCCTCGTTAAATTGACAAATTGCTAACGCCGTCGGTTCCAAATGAATTCCCGTGCTTCAAATACTCAATAACATACTGAAATTGGCCAACACATGATGTTTATCTCCTAAATGTCGTCTTTATACATAGACTGTACAACACCTTGTCAGTGGTTGCCCTTACTTGGCACAAACATCATAGCAACAACATTTAGCAAGGTATATTTCAAACCGCCGAAGGCATTGATGGCACATGGCTCTACGTTTTGATTCTGCTTACGTATCCAGGACCACGAGAGCGCAATTCGCCATGCCTGTGGCGTTTGACTCGGCATCTAAAAGGGTCCATCCGTTGATGCTATCGTCTTCGCCATGCCTGTGGCTTTGACTCCTAGGTCCATCCATGGTATGACCCTAAACGAGGGCGTCATGGAAAATGACAGCTTTAAACTTCTTTGTAGTAGGCCCATATATAGTCTCAGAAGAATTCCTGCCAACAAACCTGATCTTGTCCTTTTGATAAAGAGAATGAATTTATTTATATCATTGAATTTTCTGTCCCTTTGGACAGCAATGTGATTGGCAAAATTCGTGAAAAGCGTGCTAAATATGCGGACCTCGCCTTTGAATTGTCTTGCTTGTACCCAAGTAAACTGTCGTTAGACTCCCCATTGTTTTCTGTGCCCTTGGTTTGGTACCTCCTGATCTCTTGGCGCAGATCAGGAGAGTGCCCGGGTTCTCTACCGGGAGAACAGCCCTTCTGACACTCTGGGTAATGCAGAAGGCTGCAGTGTTGGGGAGTCTTCATATTCTCCGGAAAGTTCTTGGTGGGTTCGACTAGGCAGCGTTTCCTGGGAGAAGTCCCATTCGCTGTAAGGGCCCTGAGCTGATGATGATCCTTACCAGCCAGACTGTGCCAGGATCACCCGAACATTCTCTACTGCAACTTCATCTGAATCTGTTAAAAAATACTAGTAATAATAGCCCACTTGAAACGCGCTGAATCCACGCTCAATACGCGCTCTAAGCGCACATGTCTGAGAGGAGATGAGTGCTACACAGAGAAGGACTGAACAGGAAGGTTTTGGGTTGGGTCTTAAACGCTGACAATGATTCAGTCATTCAGGTACTGGGGCAGAGAGTTCCAGGCATTTTTGGATGAATATGCAAATGTTCTCACCCTAAAGCGGAATGTTTTTACCATGGGAACATGGAGCAGGGTTTTAGTTTGGGCACGTAGAATTCTCGCTGTTGTGTAGGTTTTAATCAGATCAGATATGTAGGGAGGAGCCTGACCGGACAGAGACTGGAAGGCAAGACAAAGGATCTTGTAGGTGATACGCTGTTTCACAGAGAGCCAGTGAAGGCTATGGAGAACAGGAGTGATTTCTTAGTCAGTGTAACAGTCCTTGCTGCAGTATTTTGAACTCGTTGTAGTTTGTTTGGCTGCTCCAGACAGTAGGGAATTGCAATAGTCGAGCTGTGACACAACTAGTGACAGGACCAATGTGGCTGTAGAGTTCTTTTTCAGGCACTTGCGAACATTACCAATATTCCTAAGGATAAGAAAGGAGGTTTTGGTAAGATTGTTGACATGAGAGCCAAGTGAAAGATCCGAGTCGAGGGTGACACCAAGACTCTTAACCCCAGACGACAGAGGAACACGACTGTCTCCAAAGTGGAATTCGCAGATTCCTGCCTTAGCCCTTCTGTGCTGAGAACCAACGAGAAGACATTCACTCTATGACTCATTCAGTTTCAGCTTGGTCTGAAACATCCAAGCTTGTATATCCCCACAGCAGCCAGCTACCAGTGAAACTGAATCGTGAGCATCTGTACCATTGGGAGAGAAAACCATATTCAGGTGTGTGTCGTCTGCATATTGTTGTCGGCCGACAGAGGACGTGTCTAGTACTGATCCCAGCTCCTTAATATACATGGTGAAAAGGATAGGTTCCACCACGGAACCCTGAGGGACTCCATACTTGAGATGAGCTGTGGCAGATGAGGTGTCATCAACTAGAACATACTGGTGCCGTTTTGAGAGATAGGAGCAGAATTAGTCCCAGGCACTTCCATAGATGAAAAAGTTATCTCTAAATAGAAGCGACAAAACTCTCTCCACATTCATAAGAAATCTCGGCCAAAAGCAGAGTCGATTGTACAGCTGTGACAATATCGTGAGTATATAATTGTTTCAGCAGTGTTACAGCTGTATCATGTTGTTTGGAAACAAATCGAGTCTGTCTTTGCAGTAGTAGTTGGTGGTCTATTGTGTCGAATATGGCACTTAGGTCGTGTAGAACCAGAAAATCGACATTGCAAAACAACATATACATGTAGATATTAAAATTGAAACCGACTAAAGTTAGAGCAATAATATTAGGCCATTATCTTGTCCGAGGAACGTGTCCATCAATATTTACATAAAGAAACGAAATGCCATTCATCTGCAGCTGACAAAGAAACCTGTTCTATGGCATGTATCTTTTTACAGTCTAATATGCTAAAATGTATAAACCGTTATAGCTAGTGATGAACTGGGACGGGTTGTTTTATAGATAGACAACTTCTTTATTGAAATCGATGCGACGTTTCGGTGTAGATGCAATAATGTCAGGCCATTACCTTGTTCGAGGAATGTATCCATCAATATCCTCATAAAGGAACGATATGCCATTCATCTGCAGCTGGCAAAGAAACCTGCTCCATGTCATGTGTCTTTATCAGTCTAATATGAAAAAAATGAATAAATCGTTAAAAGTAGTTATGAACAGGGACGTTTTTTTGTGGATAGACAACTTTTTTATTGTAATCGACGCGCTGTGAAATAGGTAAAGATCAGCATCTACACGGTAACGTCGCATCGATTGCAATAAAGAAATTGTCTATCCATAAAATAATCGTTCCTGTTTATCATACTACCTTCACAATGCCACTCAAAGAACAAGTGATAGTTTCTCAACTGGACACGTGTGTTGTGTTGTGCCCTAAAACAGATGTTGTGCCCTAAAACCTACAATGGTCGTAAGAGCAGAGAAATCATGAATATTCATGAGTGGGCGGAGCTTATGTCACTAAGGAACAGTAACTTTTGTAATAGGGCACCTAATGAGAGAAAGGTTATCCATGCAAGCCAAAGTAATGCTAC